GGGCATCACGTGGGAGTGGGGGATTGTGTTTGTCGAGGCCACCATGTTCTTTATGGGCGTGGAGGCGTGGAAGTGGGGGAAGCGAATTTACTTCCGTCGCCAGGATCGCAAAGCAAAAGCCTCTTCTGGAGATTTGAGGATTTCCGATGTTGAGCAGTAATAACTCTGGGCGAATTGGGTTTGGTTGGGGATGTTAACGTGTTCTTTTGTGCTCTGCAATGGCCTTTTCCAGCTCCATTTTCAGAGCCGTGCAGCGCAAAGTTTGCGTAGCATCTCTACTTAACCTATCACCTTTTGCTCAATATCCTTGTTCCGCCTCCTTTCGCCGACCTGAAAATATGGTCGACGAGAGGAGGTTGGAGGGCGTCCTGATACTCCAGTTGAGGCATGCCCACAATCATATATCAAGGTGCACGCATCTGCTAAGCCAAGCGATGCTCAGTTTTGCTTCCGGTGAGCTTTCTTTCTTTTTATTCTTTCCTTTTCCTTTTTTTTTTTTTTTTTTTTTTTTTTTTTTTTTTTTTCTTTTTCTTTTTCTTTTTCTTTTCTGTTTTGTTTTTTGCCATTTTGATTCTCTGATATAGGTAGGCTTGGAAGAAGGCAAAGTATGGTGAGGATTATTGAAAAGAGGCTTTGGTGCAGGAAGGGTGCTGTTGACTGTCGTCAACAACCCTCCTGTGTTATCAGGCCAGCTTTCGTAATTTGGGTGCGGATATTCGTACGAACAGAAGCGTTTTATTTGAGTTTTTTTATTTTTATTTTTATTTTTTTTCGGCCAGATAACAAAATGCGATTCTCCAGTTCTAGTTAATATTCTATTAGCATATCTACATCTTTGCCTGTTTCATTTGCTTCCAGAATTCCCCAACATGCATCATGTGGTTGATAGATTGCGCTCTTCATATTCAGGCTCTAGGCAATGGGTTCAATTTCCTAAACCAGTGAAGTTGTTTTCTGAATACTCAGCATCGTTTTTGCAATTATCTATCGGTGACTTACAGGGAAAATGGCCAACAGAAGGGACAGGAGGAGGCAGCGTTGGTATGGTGTGTGGGGATAGCCATCATTGAGAAGGGTAAACTGAAACTTTCCTATCTGTATACCCAACTTTATACACTCCAACAATAATATGATTGAGATTCAAATTCAATCCACTAAGGGTGTTCACATCTGCTTCATCCATGTATCAAAATGTTGTACATTGTAGCCTTCGTATTATCAATCTAAGTCTGTTCCAAATGCACTTCTGCCAGGTATCCCCCCCTGGCAGATATACGGGTGTTTCTCTGGGAGATAGTTAACTGGAGGCCAACTTGACAACACTGTTGTCATCTGGCCCGTGTATGTTCGGAAAGCCGTGTGGAAGAGTTGCGTCCCGCGTCCCGCCTCTCCGCCAGGTATTGATATCACCAGCTTAGCTTGCTTGATACTCAATTCGGACAAGTCCCATGCTTCGCGAGCTCCATGTCCAGAGTGAAACCGGGAGGAACTTCAATGGGAACTGGATCTTTCAGTTCCCTTTTCAGCCGACAGGTTCATTATGCAAAGCGTGCAATTGCATGAACATGCAACTATTCTTGGGGCCTGTCTTGCTTAAAATAGCCTCTTCTAGAAGAGACATATTTTGGTGTTCTTTTTATAGATCGATCTTGGAGCCTATTATGATATCTCTGAAGCTAAAATCAGATGTCCTGCGGTTGGTTTGGTTGGTGGGAGGAGTTTAAAAATGGTTCTATCCTGTGAGAAATATTCATGGTTAAACGACGGTAAATTCTGCGCTCCAGGATCCCGACCATCCTTGGTAACTTTCATATCCAACTAGGTAATTAACTCCTCTTAAAATGGTTTGCTAATTATGGCCATACTGGGCGCAAAGACAAGTCCAGAAGAATATAGTTGAAGGGGTGCTGTGACCACAGTTATCGCAAATTTACAGTAGTTGATAGTAAGGGAGTGAGTGCATCTCCCATTAACGACCGGATTAACTACCAGACCTTCTAAGCTTTCGAGTTCATGTAGCCCCGTCGTACGAACTGCCCTTGTGCTTAGATGGGCAACAAATTAAGCGTTAGCCGGCGGCTCTTTCGCTAATTCTTTGCTGCCATCAGTCAACTACTTGCCGAGAAATGCCAACGAACCTTGACACCGAGACGTTCGTCCCCTGCATCCGCCTGGGGGCGGAAGCCAGGAATTTCCATCGCACAGAGACGGCAGGATTTCTACCAGGCGTTGCCTAGACAGAAAGACCCGGGTTGGACCCAAAGGGACATCCATCTCCAGTTAGGAGAACAACTAACTTATTCCATAGCCACTGTGTATATTTATAGTTATATTTACGACTGACCCAACCTCTCCCTGGCCACCTAGTTAGTTATTTGGCGCATCTGCCACAATGCCATAATCAAGAATCAAGACGCTTAACTAACTAACCTCGCCCGCTGACCTTTCGTGCTCTGTCTTGTAGTAGCTAGCACCGATTCCCCAACCCCCAAGACAACATTCGTTCTTTAGCTGTCTTTTTGATGACGAGCTGCGCCAAACAGGCAGAGCAGACCCTTCCCTTCCCCGATCACGGGATATCCCGATATCGGAGGGCGGGGGCGTTCTGACCCGGACGAAGGTTGTCGAATCTCGGGCCGATGACGCTTCATGAAGCTCCTGTTTACTCGAGGCACTGGGTTCCAGCGGCTATATATTCATTCTGCTTCTCTTCTTCCCACAATATCCATCCACATTGTTCCTGCGCCGCCAATTGCCTCTGCGATATACCCTGAGGATCTTTTCGCCCCTGTCTCAGTGTTAAATGTTGAAACTGAGACTCCATTGACCGGAATGGGCAAATACAATATCGTCGTCTTTGGCGGCGACCATTGCGGTCCAGAGGTAGGCGAAGGGGTTGTAAGGTGGGACCGTTTATTCAATTACTAATGCTATGTTGTATAGGTGACGGCAGAAGCAATTAAGGTGCGAAGCACAGGGGTTCAATTACCAATTGGCTCCTAGAACAATCGTTCAATCAATGAACATGCGTCCATTAAGGGCCAGACTCTATTTTTTTTTTTTTTTTTTTTTTTTTTTTTTTTGTTTTTGTTTTGTTTTGTTTATCTTGCGAAAATGCTGATTTCCGATCTATACGGTTCTAGGTCCTTCGCGTTGTCGAGAAGAAGAGATCAGACATCGAATTCAATTTCCAGGACCACCTACTTGGAGGAGTCAGGATACCCTCCTACCGTTTCTTCCGTTTATTGGGCACTGACGAAATCTTCCTTTATTTTATAGGCCTCCATTGACGCAGCTGGAACAGCTCTGACCGATGAAGCCCTCAACGCCGCCAAATCCGCAGATGCCGTCATCCTAGGTGCAGTTGGAGGACCTGTACGTACCAAAAAAACACCATTCCCGTCTCAGCACGCCAAGAGGAATTCTAACCTTGAAATCGTGATGAACAGAAATGGGGCACCGGCGCTGTCCGCCCAGAACAAGGGATCCTTCGCCTCCGCAAAGAAATGGGCACCTTCGGCAACCTCCGTCCCTGCAACTTCGCCGCGCCCTCCCTCGTTGACATCTCCCCACTAAAAGCCGACGTATGTCGCAGCGTGGACTTCAACATCATCCGCGAACTAACGGGTGGTATCTACTTTGGCGCTCGCCGCGAAGACGACGGCGACGGCTATGCCCTTGACACAGAGCCATATTCGCGAGCGGAAATTGAGCGCATCGTCCGTCTGGCCGGACATCTAGCGATGCAGCACAACCCGCCATTGCCCGTGTGGAGTTTGGATAAGGCTAACGTGCTCGCAACGAGCAGGCTGTGGCGGAAGGTTGTTACAGAGATTTTGGATAAAGAGTTTCCGCAGGTGAAATACGGGCATCATCTCGTTGACAGTGCGGCGATGTTGATGATTAAAGACCCGCGGAAGCTGAATGGGATCGTCGTCACAAGTAACTTGTTTGGCGATATCATCTCGGACGAAGCGAGTGTTATTCCCGGCTCACTGGGTTTGTTGCCAAGTGCGAGTCTGAGCGGTATTCCTGATGGGAAGAGCAGGGTTAATGGCATCTATGAACCTATTCATGGTAATGGATTTTCTTCTTCTTCTTTCTTCTTTTCTTTTCTTCTCTCTTTCTTTTCCTATTTTTTTTTTTTAACCCTTCAAACTCCGTTCCCCAAAACCAACACTTCAGATTTTGCCTTACAGAAGACAGACATTTTTCTCACACAATGCCATTGTATATATAGGTTCCGCACCCGATATCTCCGGCAAAGGAATTGTCAATCCAATTGCCGCCATCCTCTCCGCGGCCATGCTGCTGCAATATTCTCTCAATCGACCTGCTGAAGCTAATGCCATCGAGACCGCTGTACGCAACGTCATCGAGAGTGGTGTACGGACAGGCGATATTGGCGGCAAAGCTACGACAAAGGAGGTGGGTGATGCCGTTGCGGCGGAGTTGGAGAAAATTCTATAAGCAAGGAAACGGAATATTTTTCGGTTCTCCTTTTTAACTGCTAATGATAAAGAAACTATTTCAATATGTACAACTAAATATCTTACAGAGAAATTAAAAGCGGGAGCATTGAGGATTTAGCACAGGATTAGAAACGTAACGACAATTTCTTCTTTTCTTGACTCATTCATGGTTGTATTCATCAAAAGGGGTATATGAACCAAGGCATAAGATAGGTGTGTAACGGATAACTCCATCATATCCAGACCGATATAGGCGGTGGAGAACAAATGTAGAGGTAGAGGGTTTATAATAACTGGAGGCAGCCAAGAGCAAAGAAAAGGGGGGGAGGAGGAAAGGAAAGGTATTGTCAAATTGGTTCCCTCCCAGTATATAAAACAAAGCCTGAAACGCCAGTTTATGCATAGTTTTCCCCGTGTTTTTCACCACTAAATGCAGAGAAATGCCCAGTAAGAAAAATACATACGCAGTATGGTATATGTACTACGGACGTTGCAATCATAACTCATTCCTAGCCGTCGATTCATATCCTACCGAATCTCCATCTCCCCCATCCAATCATCCTCATCAAACGCGGTTCCAAACACCTCCACATCCTCCACAGCTCCCCCACCATGCTCCGCAGCGACAGACGAACCAGTCCCCACTTTTCTCGCGTCAGCTGCACCAGTTCCAGCAGCACTGGTTCCCCTGATGGACTTGCGTGCACTGTCGCGTCGCGGCTGCGCAAGACGGCGATCATCACGAGAGAATACTTGGAAACCGCGGACATGCGTGTCTTTGCCGTTCTGGTGGTTCTCGCTGATGCGGACTTGGATGACCATGGCTTTGAGCACGTTGTCGGATGAGGAGTCTACGTCCAAGTCGTCATCGTCATCGTCATCATCATCGTCGTCGTCATCGTCATCGTCATCGTCGTCGGTGTCATATTCGGTGGAGTCCGAATCGCCCCCCACAATTCCGTTATTCGAGGGGTCCCGCCTTTGTCTAGTAGAAGGTACATCTCTCATTCCGCTTAGGATCCCACCCGTACTATTTTGCCGTCGATGGCTTTTTCGACGCCCTGCCTTTTCATGCCGTCCACCAACCCCTTGTAAATCGATATCTACCCATCCAGCAGGAGCTTCACCGTGCCACGTAGAGAATTCCACAAGATCATTGCCTCCCATTCCAGCTAGAAAGATCATCTTTGTAGGGGTGTAGCTCTCATCAAGCTCGAAGTCCAGATATACACGAATGCGCACGATGGAGACGCGCTTGAAAAAATGGAGTGTTAGTGTGTGAGGTTGGGGACCGTCGGATTGCCAGAACTGCGAAGGGGAAGGGTGGCGGAGGGCAGCGATGCCGCAGCCAGGTTTATGCGTCGATACCGTCCAGGAGGCTAGGGAGGAGATTTCGCGAAGGTTGGCGGGGATCGGTGCAGAGGCGTCTTTTTCTATATAGTTATTAAAACCAGCCAGAATATAATAACGGACAGTTAATTTCCCTAAACGCTCGGATAGCACATACCGTCATAATCACCTTCCTCTTCCTCATCTTCCTCCTCCTCAACCTCTTCATCCTCCTCATCAGCATACTCAATCTCTTCTTCACCTTCCTCTTCCCCCAGCTCCCCATCATCCTGAATATCAACGTCGATATCATCTTCCAGCCCTTCTGCCCTCTCTTCTATATCATCCTCCATATCTCCAACATCGGGATCGCCTGCAATTGCCAAGTCATGCGTACGTGTATGTGTATTAAGGGGATTGCCTTCTCCGCGGGGGTTCCGGCTAACAGCTGAGTCATAGAAGTTGGAATGGCGGAGGGGTGAATCAGCTGTTGGAGTTGAGGCGGAAGCTCCGTCCTCACCTGGGAAGACAGAGCGGCCACCGGGAGCCCGTCGCAGGCCTTGGCGGGGCATTTCGAGAAAAAAATCAATCACCGATATGAGCTCATTGAGAGTGTAAAAGAGTGTTAAGTAGATGCCCGTTAGTTGCACTCGACGTTGTTGATATCCCTGTCACTGCGGAGAGTTGGCGCGCGTCTAAATTAACGCGCTGCCCGCCAAGACATTTATTTGGGAAAACAAGCTCATTTCCCGGCTAGGAAGGCGTTTCTTTGATTACCCAGCTAATTGATCCAAGGCGATGAATCTTTAACAACTGCATATTCGGCAATACGATACTTTGCTACCTTTGAAGCCCTGAATTCTGATATCCAATGTTAAAGTCTGATATCGGAGTTAAAAAGTAAAACTTGCACCTACTGAAGAACATGAATTAATTAATGATGAAGAAACAGGAAAGGTGCGGCAATAATGCGCAAGAAGTCAATTTGCATCTAGGCGGAGAGTGCGCCGAGTTCAGCAAACCCGAATTCCTTATCACATCCACTAGACCAAGAGGGAGATAATTATATTCCCATTCTTTAAGACAGGATGCCAAAAGAACCCGGGAGGGGCGACAGTGAAATAATTTCTGATAGGAAGAAATACTTTAATTTCAATCAAACGCCCCGGACCAAATGGGGCCATACTCATATGTGATAATGCGACGGGCAAGGAAGAGGCACAAGGCAACTTAATGCGGCAAATGCTGAATTGGGGACAAAAGAGTCTTAATGTAAAAAGGTGGACAAGTATAAACAACAAATGAAGACAAAAAGTGAACAAAGAGAAGAAGGAAGAGGAGGATAACGAAGAAGAAAAGAGAAACAACTATTAGAAAATATTTGAAAAATGAAGAAAAACGGAAGAGAAGAGGAAGAAAAAGTAAACGTAATGATAATTAGAAAAAAATACTAAAGTCAAAAGTTCAGAAGTCGGGGATACAAGAAGATGGAATGAATGAATAACCCGAAGGCAGCAGAAAGAATAAAGAAAAGAAAAAGAAACGAACGAACAATCGATGCTCGCATCCATCCCAGGAATGAACAAGAAGCAGAACAGAAGGGATGATGAAAAACGAAGGCAGAACCCACATCTGCACACACACCAAACCAAATCACACCCAGTGTTTCGTTTTCGTTATCCCCTTTCCCCGATAATGGATACATGCCTTCCCGCTCACCCTAGCCAGAAACTATTCTCCACGGGGTTAATAAAGGCAAAAGAAAGAGAAAAAAGGGGCAAAAAAAAAAGGGAGGGGGGGGGGGAAAGTCGAAGACCAAAATGTACAAATTGAACCAACGCTCTGCAGTCTCTCAATGGCTCCAAGGGCGCAAGATACGCAGGAGTGGATAAATGTAAAAATCAACTTTTAACGCTTCTGTTTTCTTTCTTCTTTTCAACACGCAAATCAAAAAGTAAAAAGAAAACCAACAGATTTTCATAGAATGAATGAATGAAAATGAATGAAAAAAATAATAAAACAAAAGATGTAAAAAAATCAACATCACCGCTCCTTACTCCCCGCCCCCGCCCCCGCCCCCGCTCCCGCCCCCGCTATCCCCATCTGCCTCCTCCTCAGCATATCCCCTTCAGCCAGCCACTTACTCGCTTTGACCATCTGCACAATATTAATAAACTGCTTCCCCGCCATGACAGGCGCAGAGATACCCGTGAGAACCCACGGCCAGAAGCTGTCCATCTTGTTTGCACGGGCGAGCTCGAGGGCTCCGGCACTCCAGGGGCTGGAGAAGAGGGTTGACAGCGGGGCTAGGGCCGGTGAGCCTGGTTGAGCAGATGAGGAGATTGGTAGGCCGTCGGCACCTATGGCGGGTTGGAGAAGGGAGGGGGAGAGGGTAGGGGAGGAGAAGGAGAGGAGATATAGGCCGATGAAGAAAAGTTCGTTGAACATGCAGAAGAGGAAGAGGACGGTCTTTGTAGAGGGCGGTGTTAGTAGGGGCTTTATTATATATATATATATATATATATTGGATTAAAGGGTTGCAAAAACTCACCTTGTTGTGATAGTACTGATGCAAGATCCAGCTCCTGCTAGAATCAACCTTCTTATGACTCTGTCCCGAACCGCCCATCGTCAAAGTCGCATACATGTGCATGTAATGACTCGCCAGGTCCAGACTAATAAGGCCCTGGAACAGGATCGCCCATCGCGGCCAGGCGGAGCTCAGGAAGACCAGCAGACAAGCTGTGGTGCAACGGTCCGTGACCATGTCCAGCACAGCACCGAACGTAGTGGACTGATTGAAGTGGCGGGCTGCAACGCCATCGAGGGCGTCGAGGAAACATGATACGCTGTATAGGAGCGAGCAGGTGCGCGGGTGTAGGGGCATGTAGTAGAGAGATGCGATGGCCAGGAAAACCCGGAAGTAGCCTGAAATGATGAAAAGAAATTTAACATTCGACTTCCTCTTCTTTTTCGTTTTGCTTTCCTTTTCCTTTTTTTTTCATTTTTCATTTTCATTTTCATTTTCATTTTCTTTTCTTTTTTTCTTTTTTCATTTTTCAATTTTTTTTCTTTTTTTTTTTTTTCGCTTTTGATGGGTTTAGGGGGAAATATATAAACGTACCGATCAGATTAGGGTAGAAGAGGAATATATTTTCTTTTTCCTCATTCTCCTCAGGTGCGGTGGGGGAGCAGGATCGTCTCCGCTTGGGGGAGGGTGTATTCTTGTACAGGGAACCATTGGCGGCCGCCAGGGAATCTTCACCCCCCCCGTCATGGGGTGACAGTCCCCTCGTAGCTTCGGGCACAGCCTTTTGCCTTCTCGTGCGCATGCTCATGGTTCCCTTTCTCTCCTTTCTTTTGATATTTCCTCTTTTGTTGCAGAAATAATCCTTACACGACAGCGTTGGGTTGCGGTAATAAAGGACACAGACTGGTTGTTGCGGAGGTGCCGGATCGGAGGTCGAAGTTCGCAGTTGGATAGGGGGTTGGATTAGGATTGTCTGGTTTGGATACTAGAATGGCCAAAGCTTAAAAAGGTATAAATCGTTGCTAGACCGCGGAGAGAGGGAAGAGGTAAATTATGTCCAGCGGGGGATTATTCTGGATTGAGGAGGGAGGTTGATTTAAAAAGAGCGACTGGTGAAGCTGTACACGGCCGAGAGCTGCAGTAGATATAGATGGAAACTAAGGGAGCGACGCAAACAACCATAGACGGGGCAGGATGAGCAAACGAGTCAGAATATGGAGAACAAGCACCGGATATCTTAAGTATCTCTTGAAGATGTTTGAATATTTATTTTCTGTTTCCCGGGCGAGGAAATAGCCGCGTGTATTGCGTCTATGGCGTTTACGCGTCTATGGCGTTTATTGGAGTAGATGGCATCTGAAGATTCTCACAGAGGAATGTGGAACATAATGAAAATACAGAACCGAGAAAAGTATTGGGGGAAAAGGGCATAGAATAAGATAAAAAGTTGCAGTTGAAAGGAATTTTATGCGTCGTCACTTAAAATAATGACCAGGAAGATCTGCAAACCAGGCGACCGGTAACTAATTACATAAATAACTTTGGACTCATGCAAATTAACTAATGAATCAATAAAAAATATCTGATAAGAAAATAAGATATGCTAATTCTGCCCTGCGAATCAGTCCAATTAAATAGGAATACATTATGACGATATCCAGAATAGAGGGTATATTTTGGGCAAGACAGCACTCCAGGGGTATTCAGTTAAGACCTTTAACTAAGTTAGTTAGCATTTAGGCAACCCTGTTCAAAGGATAATGAATGAAATATGCAACTTCATATCCAGCCCCCTTTTCAACAAGAATATAATAATGCGGAAGAGAGGCCGAAGCTGCTGGGTCGTTGGTGCATATAAGAGCTGCAGTCCAGCACAGGTATTCTGGCCATCTGAAAGTTAAATTGAGTGTGAAGTGCTCTCTAATCCCCATAATAAACTTTGCTGCCGTGTTCGGGTGTTTTCCTCCTTGACAAGAACTGAACAGGACATGTAAAATGCGCTCAGACCTTCTCCCTCGCGGCCAAAGGCTCTTCAAATATCAAAACCTGCTGCAAGATCCACCGGGTCTCCGTCCCCTTTTATTCTTACGCGTCTGACATCCGTTGTTGGCTGCTCAGCACTCCCGGTGAGTGAGCCCAGATTCCCTTGCAAGACAGCATTTCATGTATTAATGCTTGAGCCTGGTACAGAAAATCTTCCGGGGAGACGCTATGAATGAGACAAGAGTTTTCCAACTTGTCATGTAGTGCCTTTCTCGCCAACAAATATATTTGCTTTCTCCAGTCAAGGTATTGCACTGTGACACTCGTCTGTAGCTGGCTTCAGCAAGGAAGGTAATGCTGGCTGAGCTTGGACAGTTTGAGCTTGTGAAGAGGAGAGATATTTATGGAAGAATATGTTCCAGTTCTTTCATTATGTCATGCCAATGCCATATGTCTGCCTTTCGGGGAAGGTTGCCGTCAGTTCCATCATAGATTTCCAGACATTTAGTTTCTGGGACCGACAGATGCGAGGACAATAAGAGAATGCACCGGCAATAGCTACATATAAGAATAAATCCACTTAAAACGTGTGGATTACCCTCTGAATGGTCCCGTTAATGGGAAGGCAGTCGATTGTAGAAAGGAAAGAATATGGGGCCATCTCGACGTGCCGGAATACCGATAGCTTTACGGCTGTAACCAACATGGTAGAAGAAAGCCACAATCCAACCACCAAAACACACTTGCGAAAATGAATTATGATGATTTAGCCCTGCATCTATCTGTATTATCTATGTCTTATTATGTCCATATGCACAACATGAAGGAAAATGCCTAAAAAAAAAAAAAAAAAAAGGCCAGCTGAAGACAAAATAAAAGGGAAAATATCCCCTCAGAGGAATCCCAAATGCAAGCATAAGCAAACATACAGATCACATTAGACCTCCCGCCCTCCGCCCACTCATCCATAACATATCAATTACCTCCTCTTCCTCCTCGGATCCGTCGCCTCCACGCGCCTCCACTCCCTCTCCTCCCTCGTCCCCATACTCCCCAAACCCCCCTCAAGCCTCCTCTCCCACCCCCCCAACCTCACAACAAGACACGTAGCATTATCCCCATCAGCCCCCACCTCCGTCGCAAACCCCACAACATTCCTAGCACCCTCATCCGGCGTCTTAGCCTCCTTCACAACATCCACAACCTCCTGATCAGACATCGCCCCACTTACCCCATCCGTCATAAGCACCAGGAATGAATACTCCGCCGGGCCCATTTCCACACGCCGCACTTCAGGCTCGGCAGAGACTCCGATACGCTTGGATTGCATGTCCCCGAAGGCCCGCGTGTTGGCTAAACCACTCATGCGCTCTTCGCCAAAGGAGTCCGTGACAAATGCCGCCGCGTAGCGGCGCAGTCGGCTCCCCTCAATTGGTGAGGAGGGGTGGTGGTCCGTCGTGAGCGGGATAGCGAGGCCTGTTGCTGTGGAGCAGAGGAGGATGCGCGTGTCGCCGACGTGGGAGACAACGAGGGAGGAAGGGGATGACGGGTGCCAGAAGGGCGTTGGGCTGGGCGTGGAGATCATGGCAATGCTGGCGGTGCTACCACCTTTAAAGCGGTGGGGTCCACCGAGCATGGGGTATCGGGCTCTGCTGGGGTTGTGGAGGATGTCGGATTCGTTGAGGGGCTTTTCAGCCTGGACAGGGTCGTCGCCCTGCTTGAGGGCTTGGGCGGCGATGAAGTCAAAATCCGCTTTTAGGAAAGCATATTCCAGCATTTCTTCGATTGTGGCTCCTTGAGTTGTTGTAGTGTAGTGGGAGTGGGAGTGGCCATGGGAGAGGGCGTGGGAGAGGGCGTGGGAGTGGCCGTGGGCGTGGTTGTGGGCATGGGTGTGGGAATGGGAATGGGAATGGGCGCTAGAACTGGATGTGCGGTTTTCATCAAAACAGGAGAAATGCTGTGGGCGAAACCGCCGATAGTATCCCCCGACCAGATTTTTCCAGTTAACCACCAACTCCTTTTCCAATTCTACAATCTTCTGCCTATTAGCAGGTTGTATGATCGGCAGGTCGCCCTGTAACGGTAATGTCTCGTGATTCTTGCTATGTGTCGAATTGCCACTCTCAGTCTCCGCCTCAACACCCGAACTTTTACCTGCTTCCATAACCCTACTCCTTGTCCACGGCAACCTCCTCGTAGCCGTCCGCCCCGTGGCAATCCCCTTCTGCAAGCTTGACTGCATCTCAAACGCCACAGCAGCATCCTGCACGTACTCATGCAAATAATCCCTCAGGTACTCACTACACTCGATCCCGCCATGCCCATCAAAGACACCAAAGTAAAACACCTGCGGGTCCCCATTTGCGCTATCCGCCCCACGGTTCTCTTCCACCGCCTCTCTCTTCCCTTTCTCCACATCACCGGCATTACCCTTAGCGGCCGCAGACCGTGCCCCAATCGTTAACGACAGCGGTGCCCGCCGTGCAAATGCGGGTATATCAATTACGCCAGCCTGGTATGTGTCTTCATTAGCAGGGCGAGTCCCACGCGCCCCGCAGACGCCAAAGTGGTGCTTTGCACTGCGCAGTGGGATGCGGACGACGGTTGTCTCGCGTGATAGGCCTATATGTGACTGCACGGTGGCCGGAGACGGACCCCCTGCCTGACTTGATGTGTGCGGCATCGATGCTGAACGGGGCAGTTTATGGTGCGGGCCTGAGGAGGCACCGGAGTCGGGGTGTAGCGAGGATCTCGGGAGGTGGGTCACGAAGTAGTCGTGGAAGTGCCGGGAGTGAAGATAAGCTTCATCGTGCTGGCGTCGTCGCTGGCTGTGCTGGGGGTACTGCTGGTGTTGGTGATGATATTGATATTGGTTTTGAGGAGGCTGATGCTGGTGCTCGGCGCTCGTGCTGTAGCTGTGACGGCATAGGAAAGTCGCGATGAAGCCTTGATTTGAGCGCAAGTTAGTCAGGAAGAGGATCATGTACTCAAGTAAGGGCAATAAAATTGGAATTAATATTTAATTACATACTGTAACTGTCCGCTAGGGTCCAGGTGCGAACAGTGGCACGTTTTACTGCACCAGAGTTCATTGGAATAGCACCATGTACAGATGATATTGAAATTTGAAGGTTGTGAGAGAAGAATAACTGAATGTCTGACGTCTACAAGGTGGAATAGTTGGTGGCTTTCTTTTTAATATTAATAATAGCAATAATAGCGTCTGCCGAGATGCTGTGGCGGAGTTTTTGTTGTTGGTTTGGTTGAGGTTTAGTTATTTTCGGTTGCTTGGAAGAGGGCAGTGAATGTAACTAAAATGATGGAAATTATCTTCGAGGAGATTTTAAGATGTTCAATTACATTGTGATATCTGATCTATACTCAATTTAGATACAATTTAAATAAATACTTGGTCTCTTGTCTTTCCATCTTAAATTCGGCTGCACGCCACATTTCTACGCCACAGCGGTCTCAAATATATTGTTCATCACTCTCGGGATGACATACAAGAATGTCCAGGGGGGTTAACTATGGAACCCCGTTCTGGAGGTTGATCAACCCAATCACTCGAGTTCGTAACAGAAGTTATGCTACTAAATCAAGACTTTGTTAAAAAAAGAAAAAGTAAAGTAAGAGGGAAAAACAAGAAAAGAAAAGAAAAGAAAAGAAAAGAAAAGAAAAGAAAAGATAGGGACATTAATGTTTCCATTCACTTTTCCTGCAGCCCATTCTACATCCATCGACCAAGAAATTCTCTTATTTGCGATCCTCTCGGGGCCGAAATCAAAAACCCCGGGGATCTCTCAAAGCAGGTTTGGCTGCTTGATGATCGGTGATCCAACAAGCCATGTCGTCCGGGGGCAGAAATAGGCCCTCCGCGAGTTCTTGCAGCTGAGCTCTTCCATCGCAAAAGTTAAGCTCAATCGCTTTCGCAAGCAGAAGAGTGAGACTTGGCACCATTCTTCGTAGATGTCCATTTCATCCTCAAACGGTCCTGTCGCGACGTGTAACTATGGGACAGCACCTCTGAACTGCGGTAACGGTAGAGCTGCGACCTGAGCTGTCGATGCGAATCAAGGACTTCACCGCTATATTGATAATGTTACAGTGTTTCATCTACTAAAAGTAATGGAGCAGAAAAGCAAAGTCGTAGGTCCCATCTACATAGGACAAGAGAATGGTTGGCAACATCCCAGTCCACAATTCCCTGAAAGCCATTGATTTTTTGGCTCGGACAAATCTCCTGATTCTGGACGTATGTGTGAGTGAAGAGTACATCCTAGAAGGGTGACGTCTTCCAGATCTGCCCGCTTTCGATTCATGACAGTCAACTTGTCTTTCAGCTCAGAGTCGTTTTGCAGTTTCTCTGCAGGCTTAAGACCTTCTTCGCGAGAGACACCAAAAAGCTCATGGTTTCCCAGCATAAGATAGACCTGTTCGAACTTTTGGCACACAGAGCATAGAAAATCACGAAAGGGTTTATAATCTGCAAGACGACCAATGCCACCAGCCATCTGGTAATGTGGTTAAGTTAACTAAAAACTGTAAGCGCTTACGAAGCAAGCTCGGAGCATGGAAGGATTTCGCACCCTAGTAAAGTGGATAAGTGGATACAAAATGGATGCAAGCATTATACAATGTTTGAAGATGAAAATTTGAGCTTTTGAATGCCAGTTGGGCAAACGCCGGGGAAACATAAATCGGTGGACATCGGTGTCAGGTTTAACAAAGATGAGAAGATGAGAAGAAGCAGAAAAATCTAGATATGATGGATTGGCTGTTTACCCCCTATATCTTGCTCTGTGTACTCTGTTATTCACTATTTACCTGGTTATATGCGGCGATCTGTTCATTTTCCCAATCCATAGTTAAAATAACCATCTTCCTGCGGCGTACCAGAGAGAATAATGAACAAAGCGGCGGCGATTCAAAGCAAGGAAGAAACAACGACAGATTGTCGAGACTGTGGTTCCATCGGTTTTCTGGGTTTAGCTAACTACCTAGTTACTGCTGTGCAAATTGCGTTGTACATATATTTCGAGATGTTCATCCCGCAGTCAATGGTAGCTCTGGAGGAAAATCACCGGATCGGATACCAAAGACTCGACTTGACAACTAAAATAATACAGGTCTCGAGAGAACAAGCAAGGAAAAACAGATAGTGTAACCAGAGTGCACAGATACATGTAAAAGGGGCAGATCAGAAATATTGACACATTGAGATCGAATATCCCGATATACGGATCTACCCCAAAACATGGATATACTTTAGTTTGATGTGGAATCCAGATCAAAATAGACAAACAAGTTGATAGGGATACTGATGCTATTCAGGGGACTGGATGTTCCCGGAGCGGAGAGAGAAAGTTGAGAACGAAAAGTTTCAGAGCACTGTGGTCAACAACACGAACGCAAAGCAGCCGTTGATATCGCCTTCCAATGTACCAACTCCTTAACATCCGAACGAGGTAGTCCAAGGCCAAGGCAAATCCAGGGATAAGCTACCTGCCCAACGGAATCCCAGGATCCAACGTCATATCCTTTGCCTTTGCATAAAACTCCATTCACATAAACTTCCCCAAGAAGACATCACACCACATCCTCGAAAAATTGGAACCCTGGAAACCCACTTCACAAAATTGCTCTCAGTGCCAACAACAGTCACACATACTACTGCGCTTCCGAACCCGGAGGCATCAGAAGGACATCCCCAACAAAAATAGTCGGCATCGCATCGGTCCCAGGTGCAGCGTTGTCCCGAAACACAATTGTCGGGGCAATGCCCAGTTTAACACGGTAACAGCTCTTCATCAGCGTCCGAGGATCCATTGTGTCACAAATCCCGCCCGTCTTACGAGAACACATCGTTTTCATATCGAACAGGTCGCCAACCTCCGCGAAGCGCATATGGAACTCGTAGGGACCAGAGAACATGATTATCGCGAGGCTATGAGCTTCTTCGATTAACTCGACGAAGTCGCCCCAGATGGTTGGATGGTTACGTTGGACAAGGTGTTGGATATACCCAAATAAAGATTTTGCGTTTTCGCTCTTACGCTTGTTGTAGAAGTTGCAGAAAAGGGGTTTGTTGCGGATGCGGTTAACCTGGAGGCGAATTGCTTCATAGAAGATGACGCGGACGTTGGCAGATGTCGCTGAATTGAAATTATTATTTGGATTAGAGGCTGGAACGTTGTACTTGGCATCAGGATATGTTTAGCTGTGGAAATTTTGGTGCTTACCAGGGAAAACAAGGTCTAGCATTTGCTCAATCTCAGAGTCAGCGGTGGTGTCGAAACCAAACAAGACACAGACGTGAAGCACCTTGATGACGAGATATAAGTTTATCGCCTTGATCAAGAGAAGGGTACGAGATTTCGGGTCCCTCTGGAAAGTGGGTAGTGCGCTCGGATGAGAACACGCCTGCAGGAACCCTTGGATGTCGGAATCAATCACGTCGTCGACAGTTGCATCTGGTGTGCTGACGTAGGTCTGACCAAAAGTTTCCGTCTTCTTGAAAAGGGCTTTGAGCTTAGCCGTGAAATCCTTCCCGTTAAGACTGGCCGCTTCCATGACCATCGAGCCCTCTGGCGCCACCGCGGGCAAGGAGGACATCGCGACAAGCTTCTCCTCCACAGCAGGACTAGGCACAAGGGGCGGGAGAAATGCATTCAAGCGGTCAATGGGTGACATGAAAGCAGCAATGCCAGCATTAGCAGGAGCTATAGAAGTCGGAGGAGCTTGAATTCTGCCAAAGGCTGGTGCGTTTGCTTGGGTCTGCATGCTCGCCAGCCCAAACTTGGGAGGCGGCTGGCTGAAGACATGCTGGAAATGAGAGACACGCGGACCCTCCTGGTTGAACGGATGATGTTCCTGAGTGCTGAAGCCACAAGACATCGCGCGGGGCTTGGTCCTGGGAATAGCAGGTCCAGGGCCAGAGATCGTCCTGCTCTGCAAGTTGATAGTCATTCTCTGTTTCTCGATGATGTCTTCGAGCTCGATAATTCGTCTTTCCATGTCATGCATCGCTTCGCGGTCGCGCTGAAAGCTGACTCGGGCCTCAGCGAGTTCAACCTTGACGTGATACAAGTCGCTTTCTCTTGCATCAAGGGCAGTGAGCATCTCGTCAAGACGATGCTGCAGGGAGTGGAAGGTCTCTGCCTGTATAGCAGCAGGAGCGCTCTTTTGCAAGAAAGGGAGTTGGAGGCCCCGGAACTGCTCTGGCTCCAGAATCGGGAACCTTATCCGTGGGCTGGTATTATCAATTTGGTCTGCCATAGTTGATACTGACGTGATGGTTGACTTTGAGAGTGCTGGACGCAAGATAGAAGCTAATACACGCGGAATTCACGCTGAATAGACGAAATAACTGTTGTAAAAGAGCTTAAAAGAGAGACAAATGCCTGGTAACGAAAACACAACTGTGGAGTAGGTCCCACTCAGTATTTTGCAGCTCTCGCGGCTCTTCAAGGGAGACTGTCGAGATGGAAAGGCCTGTGACTTGAGTGACTGCAGATTCTAAGGAAATGTGGCAGACACAGCTTGATGTAGAAGGGTGATGGAATAAGATAGAAGAAAGCAGTTGGAGAGAAAGAAAACAACTTTCACAGAAAAGTGAAGAGTTGACTTGTGCTGTCCCTTTTGAAAGAGAAGAGGTGTTGGGATGGCGATGGTATATCTGTCGTGATGATTAATCGCACAGAGTGTGAGAACTATACTTTTGTTGTATGCATCAAGAGGTTATCAGACATATAATGCAGGGAAACAATACTTTAGAGTACAGTTGTCATATCATGCGTGGACTCGAAGAAAGAAAACATCCAAAATAAGAAGAAACATATAGCTTTTCCGCCAGTTTACTGTATACAACTTCAATAAAGATTAATAGTGCAGTTGTAGCAGACGCTACAGCTGTCAAGTGGAGGAGCCAACTCCGTATAAAAGAGAGCCTAGAAAATCAAGGCGAGTGGATGTTGGACCCGGAGAGATAGTTGTATTATGCCAATGATCAAAGGCATTAAAGTGGTCGGGGATATAGCTGATGACTAGCGGAAGAGTGACGTGATAGAAGTGGAAGAAAGTGGATGGCAATAAGGTAAACAAATTACAACGACCTAAATTGAAAAATAACATTCTAGCTACTGCGCTCTGCAAGAGAAATATTCAAATCAATGTCACAACGGAAACAAATTTTTTCTCGCGAAAAAGGCTCAGCACATACCACTGGTGAAATCACGTACACACCCTGTATATCAATGGTAACCACCACTGGATGCATGTCACGTTTTGTGTAAAGGTGTTTCAACACTCGATCGGGGGGAATAGATTTTGGGAAAATTGAAATCACAAGGTCGACGGCCCTAGACAAAAGCGTCAAAGGCTGTCTGTTAAAATATGTACCTACTCTCCTTGATGACTTTCTCCTCTGTTCAGTTGACCTAGAATTCGTTAAGTGACCTTTCAGATGGCTTTGGTGCGGGAGAAAAGGCTGCTGTAAACCGCGTCAACAACCGGCTGCGCGCTAATTTGTCTCCCTCCAAAGAATCGTCCGTTCAAGCCCTTGATGGCATTCTCGCCTCCTTGGACACGGTCGAATTTGAGATAGATATCCCCTTGGGTATTTGGATCTAGTGCAATGTGAACAACGTGACCATATTTTTCCTCGCACTCAGCCCGGACATCATCTTCTAGCTCTTTAATCCAACCGTCACCCTCTTCCCTAGGCAAAGAGTCAGTATATATACTCAATAATTAATAGGCCTGGTAAGATCGGCTAGCTTACTCTGCAGGGTCGAACATGTTTCGAAGCAGAACACATCTGCTAGCCATGTTGACAGTCACAGGCAATGGCTTAGCATTAAGTTGCGGTTTGGGTACTTTACGTTTCTCATCGGGTTTCGGTTCTACAGCAGGTTCATCTGTTCTCGCGAGTTTCCTCATCAATGCATCTCTGCTATAATTATTGAAGTTCACACCAGCAACGTCCGTATCATCGAGGGCACTAGCACCACCAGCCGCTTTGTCATTGTCTCTGCCTCCAGCGCGATCAAAATTACCGGAACCGCCAGCTTGAGCTCCGCGACCTCCGTGGCCAGAGAATAGAGAACCCTGGAAGTTATGGTGGGCACCTTGTCCCTGGAATCGCTGCAGTAAATTGGCGGTCGATTCAGGGGTAAACTTATCATTACCAAGGCCAACCCGAATTGGGCGACCAGCAAGATCGAATCCATTCATCTTCTCCAAGGCTTCTCGAGCTTGGTTGGGATCGCGGAACCTAGTGACATTTGTTAGCAAGGGGATGCTGAGAATAAAAGTGGGGAAAATTAAAAAACATACTGGACAAAGCCATAGCCTCTACTGCGACCCCCTTCTTCCTTTTGAAGTTGGACAAAGTCAAGTTCACCGAATGGTTCGAAGACCTTCTGCAAATCACTTTCCGTGATACTGAAATGGATGTTGCCGACGTACAACCGGTGGAAGGGAATCGAGTTTTGGTTTCCGCTAACATTGGCCTCGGGGTTGCGGGCCTGTCTGTTTTTCTCGGCTTCGGTTAGTTGAGCAATAATAGGAATCCCTAGAAGCTTTTGGCCAGTAAGCTGAATGGCAAGTGGGACCGATTCTTCATCCTTAAATTCGACATAACCGACGCTACATATACAATTAGCAATTGCTGAACAAAATAGACACAGGGGTAGAGGGTTGCTGCAAAGTAACTCACCCTTTCGATCTCCCACTCACACGATCCTTCACAATTTGAGCTTCTTTGACCGGACCAACTTTCTCAAAGAAGGCAATTAGCTCTTTCGTTCTGAGACGGGCAGCGAGTTGCTGTACGAAAACGGTTCGTCTGTCGCGTTCATCTTCCGTCAGCTGAGGTTCAGGGGTCCTGCTGCGGCGCCCCCTGCCACCGCTGAGACTTCGCCTGCGCCCGTCCCTATCGCGCCTACTTGTGCGCTTATCATCATCACGCTCATCATGGCGGGGGCGTCCGGTGGGTCTGTAATATCTGTCATCGAATGGAGATCTGGAGCGGGAGCGGGTTGTTCGACCACCCCCGCGATAGTAGTCACCACCGGATGATCGATAAGATGGGTCGTCGCGGTCACGACGGGAACGGCGTCTCTCGCTATCACGGCTCCTACTTCTCTTTCTGCTTCTATGGCTCCCGTTAGCACTTGCGCGATCGCTCTTTGGGCTCTTCATTTCCTCGTCCCCATCGGCATCTCTTTCATGGCGGCGATCACGGCTTCGATCTCGTCGCCTGCGCTCTCTGTCCCGGTCACGGGATCCATCTCGATGGCGATCGCGGTCACGGTCACGGTCACGACGTTCACTTCTAGAGCTGTTTGACTCATCGTGGCTTTTGTCGGGGTTCTCTGCAGGTTCCGGGGGCGGGTGGGGAGCAGCTGTGGACTCTAGAAGAGCCTCCACATCAATACCTGACATGGTGAAGTTACGTTGAATACGATCGTCGGTTTGGCAGGAAAGGGGAGACGGAGAAAGAGTTGATCACTTTGCTTTCGTTAGAGAGGGAAACGAAGAGGGTCAGACGAGCGAACCCTTCTTGAACTGAGGCGTTGCCAACGCAAGCCCTGGTAATCCTCCTATACAGAATCGATATGACTTGGCTGGCACAGTACTCTGAGCCAATTACACGTTTGATCTGGCTGGTGTATGACGCTGAAGATTGTTGTTGATAAAGCACACTTGGGAGGGGAGATTCTCAAAGATTCAAGTCCATAAAGCGCCGGAGGTTGACTGGGCAAATCACGTGGATTAGATCCAAACTACGGTGTTTATGTCAGCAGGATTGCCCCTAAAGTTAATTAGGGTCTTTGAGCCATTGAACCAACAGAGATAGATATTCATGCCCAATAGAATATATACTCTTTACTATACAACCTTATTCACATATCTCCAACATAATTGTTTGTATAAACACTTGAGTTTACACAGTGTGAAACAAACAAACCACTCCCCCCCCCCCCCACAAAAAAAAAAAAAAATGGTGAAACAAAATCGTAAACCTATCACATTATACCCTCAGCACGCTCACTCTCCACTGACATGCCATCAAGGCTCAGGGGGGTGCGAGCAGGGTATATAAAGGCGAGGGAAAATATGAATCCAGTCATATATACTAAGAATCAGAGGAGAGTGAGGAGAAGCAAAAAAATTAAAATAGAAGTGGGGAAACAAATTGAGGGCTGAAGTATCATATCTGAAACTGATCAATCATCACCGTAAAATTGATATGAAATAGAAGTACAATACAGTATGTGTACAGTGCTGCCATGTTTGGGACAGGCATTTTTTAGGCGAATGGATTAAACGGCTCTAATGGGAGAATAAAGGCAGAAGAAAGGCCAGGAGAAAGAAAGGAAAGAAAGGGGTACATAGTTACCAGATGTTGCAAAAATATCAACACCAGGTAAATGGAAGAAAAAAAGGAAAATAAACCCTGAGTTGTTAAATTTTCAAGGGGGCATACGTTTTTGGAATACATTAATTCATTCAACCTTGACTGGCTGGAGAGGTGGAAGTTCCGTTCCAAACACTTTATCCCAGAAGCGGTTGCTGACGCCAAAGCCATTTTCATAATCAGCGAAATGGTGTTGGAGATGGTATTTCTTGAGTTCTTTATAGTAGTATGGGAGACTGTTTAACGAAACAAGAAGAGACTATGTAAGTTCATGTACTTGGAACATATACAAGATGAGAAGGCGCAGGATGAGAGTTCATACTTGCGATGATGAAGGAAATAGTGTGTCATATCGTAGCAGACATATCCAAATATTCCGCCCGAGTAAACTGTTACGGCGGCGTACCAGTTGTAGAAAAATACGACTTTTGCGAGATAGTAGAAGGGGATTGCGAGAACGATGAATAGAGATGGGGGCATGACCAGACGGTACTTGTCCATTGGGAGGTAGTGGTGGATGCCATGCAAGAGGAAATGTAGACATAGGCCAACGCGGTTATCTGGGAGGTATCTATTTGCATTCAGGTTAGCAATCTATAGTAAACAGAGGGTGTATGATGCGGGTACCAAAAAGGATTTCTAAAAAAAAAAAAATGGAGTGGCATACTTATCGATGTGAAAGACAAAGCGATGTAGACTGTACTCAGCCAGGGTCCAAAGGAACAAACCCAGGAGCCAGTATGCGGAGGCTATAATGAAATTCTGCAAGCCGCAAAAGCCCACAACCGTCCCGTAGGCCACTGGCGGGAACCAAACAGTTGGAATCACCCACCACGCAGTCTTCGTCAAAGGCTCCAGAAAATTGCCAAATAGGGGAGCTGATTCGCCGCCTTTGTAATGTCTTGGACGGTGGACCTGCTTCAGGTAAAATTCTTTGGAGAAACCACCATTCCACAACTGTCCGAATAGCGGTCGGTTTAGATCGAGGAACTTATGTGTCCGATAATCTGCAGTCAGGTCGGTTTCGACAGAAAGATCCTCCTCGCCTGACATCCCCGTAGAGCTGTAGACTGGCTTGGTTCCATTTGGTAACCCGTTTGCATTTGAAGCGTGCGCAGCACCATTGCCGTTCATGTTGGATGAGGCTGGAGTGCAATCTAAAAATCCAACATGATACTCTTCCAGAATCTCATATGCGGCCTCAGAGTGGTCGTGGGAGGAGATATCATGCATGATTTCGGAAACATCTTGGCCGGCATAGTTCAGTATCAATTCGCCTCCGCCAGGGTGATCGTTAAGAAAAGAGGTCACGTCGTAGACCTTTGAGCCCCGTGTCACGTAGCACGATTTCTCCGTTGTATGCGATTTGAGTTCGGCGGGGGAGAAAACTGGCAAGGTTCTGCCCAGCATAGTAATGATTGATAAATATGAATAAAAGGGAAAGAAATTTAAAATGATATGGGGAGAGGGTTAATAACCCGCGTTAAACCATCTAAAACCAGCTCACTACTCAGGGGAATGTTCTAGTGTCCAGAGGGGTTGTAAAGAAATTGATCACACAATTAGGGATATGGCGAGATACCGCGCGTAAGACTGAAATGAAGGAGGGTGGCAGAATCGAAGAATTGGAGATTGGAGATGGAAGATGAATGTGGTGCGTAGTGTTTACAGAGTAAAAGGGCAAGATGCTCAAGGAGTTGATTATTTGTTCAACGGCTCAAAAAGTCAATCCAAACTCTGGAAAAAACGAAGTTCCCGGATGGGCTGAGGGCACGGGGCTTGGCAACGGTTCCTGACAAAGCAATTACATAACTAACTAGCGGAATCCACAAATCCACAAATTCACTAACCCAAAAATTCCAAACATTCCAGCTGGAACAATACAAACGAGCGACGGATTCACGGTCGACATTGGATTGGTTATCTGGAGGGAAATAAAACAACTGGGTAGTTACAGCTCATTCATTGTATTTTATAACAGCTTGGTTCCTGAAATTTCCTTCCAATTCCCAAATCCCCAATGGTCACATGCTGATTCAGGTACCACCAACGTTAAACATACCACCTTAGGCTCTTTTGACAGCTGGACTGTAAGGTAAATAATCAAATACAGCAAGCTAAAGTTACCTGTTTATCGAATTTGAAGCAAAATTACAAGTGCTCACATGCTCGGCCAGACTCCAAACTTCATGTCAGGCATGTTGCTGCGGAAGGCTTCTTAGGGCAGGACAGCTCAAGAGGATTCTCCTGAGCGGATTCTTGTCACAGGAAAGGGCTTTCTAAGCAAATACTTTTCGGTGGCCAAACTTCACCATATCCAACAGCTGCGGAAATTCCCTGTGTTCTAGTATCATGAGTTCAACAGCGTAAATATGACGGTTGAATAGGGAATTCTATCATTTTTGACAGCCTTACTACGAGTATCTCCAGACGTGCTAAAGACTCATCGTACAGAAGTGATTCCTGCTCTTGAGACAATTGCAGAATGAGTTGGAGGTAACAGCTATTCAAAACTCCTTCAGTGCATCACATCAGCAAGCCGCTGCTCCCTATAAGCATTTGTTGCAATTTACAACCGTTTCTCAACATGCTGCTTATGATGAAAGCAGTCCAATCTCTTCTCCCATCTCTGTCAGTGATGGATCACGACAGCACACCTCCCGCGATTTAGTCACTATTGAAGAAGAGGATTCAATCGCTTTTCCATTTTCTCTCAACAATGGACCACTTCAGCAACCCTGCAGTTCTTTAGAAGACAAGAATACAGTTCCCGATTGCTCACTGCTATCTTCTGCACCTCCGCAGACAACTCAACCTCCTCCATGTCGGCTTCAACAGCTCCTGGATAAGATACAAGAAAATCTCGAGGATATTGTCAAGTTTTACAATCAATGGGAACTCAATAGACAACAGGCAGGAGGGACAAGGTTAGATGGTGTGTCCAACAATGCCCCATCGCCCAAGGGAGGGTTGGGGGGGGGACGGGAACTTCACATACTATGTACAACATGTTCGCTGGCTCATGACAATCAAACAGCCTACAAAGCGCTTAAGCGTGGAATTAGACAGCTGATGGCTGAGGAGAAGTGTGGGTTCCCTGGAATAGAAGCGGCAATACCGTTTACGTATCATTACTTTGATACTCTCTCTTATAATGAACTTCACGAATTTGCCTGCCTACTTGGAAAGGAAACGGGCATACTCGTTACCCTCAGACTGGCTTCGTCCTGGGTTGAAATGGGCCAATCAATATACAATGGTGAGATCGACTAACAATTCACATGGAATCCCATTATTTTTACTTTTCCCGTAGGATACAGGAAGAACAAAGGACTTCACCCAGAATCAGAATCGTCTTGACCAGGAACTAAGCACCCACAATGGGCTGCAACAAAAGGCCGTATCCTTCCGGACATTAGACCACAGTTCCCAAATGGGACCATCTCTGAAATGCCTGTTGACACGCGAAAACCGGAAACCCGAGAGCTCATCAGCGCACAGCAACTATTCCCCGGAAACTTCTTCAATGGAGCCTCAAAACTCAGCAGTCCTATATGCCTCAGAGCGGAGTCTCCCTCTGGACCTTGCAGATATCATAGATCCGATAGACTTTGCAAATTCATTGACATTTGCATATTCCCCCCAGAATTCAACTCTTCTACCATACCCTGATAGCGCATCACTAGAAACAGGTGCACGACCTTCAGTTTGTTATGCAAACTCGAATGCTCCATACATGTCATTCCAAACAACATACGCAAGTAAACTAATATGCGACCCATGCAAAAACCATCACACATCGGATAATCAACCAGTCGAACTCTTGAAATGGGGGTAAACAGAAGAAGATTTTTTTTTTTTCCCCGCCTTGCTGGTTGCTGAACCCAGTCGCTCAGCAGTTTTGTCCTGGGTTTCCAGTCGGTGAGGTAGCTAAGCTTCCTCTTTTGGTACGGGGCTGTCTAGCTGGTCGGCTTCCGGTATTAAAACAATCAAAAGATCCAAATTTGCAATGAACGTTTGAGTAGTTGAGTATCGCATGTATTCTCCAGGTTGAATGAAGGTGTTCGAGATGGTAAGGACCCCTGATAATGGGAAAAGAATATGATCAAAACCGCTGTGTTTAGGTATTGACCCATACCCAGCTACTGAGAACAGAGAATGTGTACAGTCCTACAATAGTTAGCCCTGTCCTTTTTGTGTAGTAGAGGTTCTCCTACCTCTTTCCAAAGGCCCATCTTTTCAAGAAAGGGCTGGAGTTTGTCAAAACGGTCGTTGTCTGTACATACACTCGCATATAATGTAACTTGCCTCATTTCTGAGGTTGGCATCCAATCTGCCAACGCTTCCAACTCTGCTTTGGCATCGTCGCTCATTGAAAATGGAGGCATTTTTAAAGCGAACCTGTTTGCGCCACCATGAAAGTCGGCTTTCGAGATGATAAGGGGGTCGTAGAAAGAAAGCTTTTGCTTCATCATTCATCATTATCCTTGAGAGCGCAACTATATGGTGATAACCCCTCTTTCCCTGCTTGGTTAGAATCAGATCCCCACGTGATCCTTACGAGGGAATCTTCCCCCCTCAATCCTCCCTGTCTCCTCTGGGCCATTATCGCTTGTTCTCTCAAGCCTACTGCATCTACTCCGTCCTGAGTAGTTGGTTAACTAACTAGTTACGGAGCGAAGGACTGCGCACGTAAAAAGAATCCTTGGGTTCCGAAATCTGCATGTTTTCCTTGCCCCATCCATATCTTATCTGGTTATAATCAATGTTAATCCCGAGAACCACGGCTGGCTATGGCCACGACAACGAGCCATGCATGCCCTCTTACAGGAGCGGAGAAACAGGAACAATCGACCAGTAGTTTTGTCAGGTCTGGTGGTCTGGTGGAGGGGTCCCGTTGTAGCCATCAGTGTGATCTGGGCTGCACAAAGAGAAGCTTGCAAGGCAAACAGAGCACGGCGTTTCCGTAATGCATATTTTCAGCGGACTTCCGATGCCAGGCGAAATGAAATGTCCGTCCCTCTCAGAAGGAAGTCAGCACTGGTGAGAAGCCGGCAGTACGTAGAGGTTGCCTAAGTTCAGGATACTTGTTTTGCCGTTATAGTGCTGCATCAACGTCATTCAATTGATTTCGAATTCCCTTGAGACCTGAGCATATAGTTAGGCACCTAATTGCCTGTTCCGAAACTCAAAGGCTGACTGTAAAACCTCTTCGTTGGGCGCCATGATGGGTGGTTGAAGTTGGGCACTGATGTTGCAAGAGGGAGGTTGGTTGGATTACATTATGAAGTTTTCGTGGCTAATTAAGTGATTCACTAGTTGTTAGTTAACTAGTTAGTTAGTTATAGTTAGTTACGCGATAACTAACTAGTTAATTGTCAATATTCCTCGCGCGAAATCATGTGATGCGCTAATCAGGTGCCCGATGCTTACATTAGACTGTAACTCTTCTACGGTACTCTACTCCTACTCTACATCCTCATGGTCCAACACCATCGTCACAAACATTCCCTAGAGGGATTCCTCCTCTCTAGCGTCAGAGGAGAGATATCTACTGATGAGTTCCTTGATTATTTCTTTAACGTACGTTTACGGCAGCGTCGCTCTGGAAGAAGAACGCAGACCTAGCTCTGGATTTCATCAACCATTCATTCACTTACTCTAGGGATTTCTCATCGTGGAATTTGAAGCGAGGAGGAGAAGCTGTGATTGTCATTGATAAATTTGCTGAATACATGATTGATAATGTTTTCATGCCATGTCAGTTGACTGGTGTTTCCATTCTCCTTTCTATTCTCCTGTCTTTCTTGGGAAGTTGTGGATTGTAGTTAATCTAAGGTATGAATTCTAAAGTTAATTTCTGTCATGTAGTTTTGAGCCTCCTCCGCGGAAACTGGGACGAGAAACCGTTGTGTGTCGGAAGTTACGACAAGAATGCCTTTTCCGCGACCATCACCACTGTGTAGTGTCGCGAAAGTTTGATAAAGCCGAAGTCAGGAAACGGCTTAACACTAATAAGGATAGCACAGATGATGACCGGAAACCTTTGAAGGATCTAAATAAGCGATGAATTTGATACGTAGAAGTGGCCCACACAATCCCTCACTTTCTCACGTCCATCTCTCCTGAAGACTCTCAATTAGTATGTTATCCCCCCTTAGTAACGGATAGTTGTTATACTTCTCAAATATTGTTCATTAAAGTGAGCTGAAACAGGTGGCACATCACATTCTAAAAATATTTGATCCGGACGTTATCTATCTTATCGAAGTCCAAGATATTGATAGCTCAGAAAATGGGTTGGACACTAACACAAAAGGACCATCGGCTTTTCAGAAAATTTGAGATATATTTCGAGCCCACTGAAAATAAGTATGAATATAAAATTATAACACAACTGAAGAGAGGCCCTCCCTGCACGACTAATTGCTCCCAGACGTTGACCAGCTTTACCTGAGCTCTGAAGATAATATTGATCCACCCTCACCTCAGCTCCTTGCAGTTCACTGGGCTGTTGCATGCATTCTGAAACTGAGCGGTGCGGGTGAATACATAGAAAACATACGTCAAAGAATTGGAAGATCCTTGCGTGGAGGCAGATGGATGAACAAATTTAGAACGCCTCCTAAACTGGGGGCCTAAGGGGTTGGCCGAACCTCATTCGCTCAGAAATAGTGGGCACATTGATAGTTATATTTGCAATTTGGCTCTTCAATTCGTCCGGTCTTCTTTTCCTGTTTGCCAGAATTTGTATTTCGGCAGTTGTTAAACCGGCGAAGCAAGAGAAAGTCATCCGCCGCCGATGACACTGCAGAAATAACTTTGCTAGGTCCCAAAAAGCGACGAATAGGACAAAAAAAAAATGATTCTATCAATCCTACTATTCTTCGGTTCCTGTCTTACAAAAGGAAGTCTCACTGTGGAATGGGTTGCCTACAATGGTTTTTCACGCGACCACCATGCTATTCCATGGCAACAAATGATGATGAATCTGGCCACGTTTTCCAAGTGACTGGCAATATTCAAAATGGAACCTTTTTCGAGGATAACACCGGCAAGAAGCTAAAGGAGTCGGCGAGTTATCTAAACAAGATCCTCGTTAGAAAGGTGTCAGCAGCAAAACTTCTCTCTCGTGTCAAGGGATCTGTGAAGCAAATTCTCCCACCAAGAGGCACCTCGAGGGTCCTCGGCGGCTCTATCCCCAAGAGCCAATTAGGCACTGTCAAAAATGGACGGCCGAAGCCATTGAGGCGTTAGTTAATGCACGTGTCCTCGAGAAATAAGACACCGATAGAGTTAAATGTTCGTGTGAATCGTCCTCCTCATGTTTTTGGGAAGAACTAGCGAGGGCAAAAATGTTGAGCTTCATCTAAATGATATAATGTATAAGGGTCATTGACAGGAAACCACATTTGATAATTACAACGCCAATCATTGTGTTACGGCACTTCTGTTGACAATAACAACGAGCATCTGATTACTCACGATAAAGCAAATCCTCCATCTTGTTGCTCTTCTTCAGAATCTGATGGGCCTCATTGGCATTAACACTCATGTCCTCCTGAACCGACATCTCCAGCAGTTCAGGAATCAAGACCTCCTGGGCATACACAACAATATCATACTTTGAAACAACACTATCAATGCCAGCCAAGCAAGTCTATGGCCCTTTGAAATGAGACACAACATTCGCTGTGCTGAGGAAAGAGTCAGTGAAGATGTTCCTTGATGAATTCGCAGGAATGAGAGAGACAGCACTTACAGAATCTCATGGCCTCTAAGGTAATAGTAGTCGGTTCTGTGCAGGACATTTCAAAAGAGAATCTTCCTATCGTGTTTCTGCACTTTTTTTTGCAACACATTCTTGTAGCAGAAGCAGTATTTGATATAAAAGTGAAGAAATCGTGAAGTCAAAATCACTTGCGTTGTGTACTTTTCCTTTGATGATTCTCACAGAACTACTAACTATTCTCGAGATAGAGAGTTTCCAGATATAATACGTCTATCATCCTCAAGTCATCAAGTTGGCCTTTCTTTCATCAACAATCAATTATATCTTGTATATATATATTCCATTCCAAAATTCTCCTTCTAGATGTTTTGCTCCTTGATTGCAGGCGAATACTTTTTTGAACGACCAAACCTTCTCTTCCTTGGGTGTACATAAAGACAGTACCGTACATATATTCGGTACGGTACAGAGTCCTGTTTCCACTTCCACAGAACCGACGGGCAGCCAGGGGGAGCACAGATCTGCATCCTATCCTGCCCGCAAGGATGTCATGTCTTTGTCCTATGGAGGAATATCGAGAAGTAAAACCTGTCAATAGAAATCCGCAAACGGGGTCATGGGGTTTCATTTTGGTGGGCTTCCCTATTGCTCTCCGTCCCAGTTGACGGGAATAACTGCCACTGAGGAGACGAGCATATGCAAGTAGCCGGTTGGTCGTAGTAACAACAACATAAAAAGAACATCAACAACAGCGATTACGACAACAATGCTGAAGTAAATCAATAATACATATGCATACTGCTGCTTCTCATTGTGACGGCCGGGCTGGTTGGAAGTGTACCCACCTATTTTTGTCCTGTGCATTTCGTTTACATACGTTCATTCGTATTCCCGTATTCCAGCGGCAAAAGGGCCGTTTGAAAGAAAATACAAGTTCTTGTTCACGCTCCGAAGTAGGAATTGTATTTACCTGCCCAGCTGTCAAGTTTCCGATTCTGCTTCAGGGTTGAACGCCCCAGGTCCCGCTTGGTCCGCGAAACCCGCCCGAACGGATTTGGCTTTCATTCTATGCACGCCACGCTGTTGAATATTGTCAATTGCTGGCCTGTCCGGTAGCCACCGATCACTCGCCACGGTGCACCGCATCATTTGGAAATTGGAAAGGAAAAAATATCAAATTAAAATATAAAAGGTGACAATAATGTTGAAGAGTTTTGAAAAAATCCCCTCTTGAGTCGAATGCCAAGTGAAATTTTGGAAGTTGATGAACTGCCTTTCTTATAATGCAGGCTTGCCACCGTTATGGACAAACCTTGGGTTTGAGGGAGGAAGTCAGCTGTCGAGTCTGCACTCTGCATCTGCTGCATGATGATATCTGGCAAAGACTCGGACAAGATGCTAGCTATCCGAACAACGGAGGTTCGGATAATTTGAAATCCCGTTGCAGAGAAAAAAAAGAAAGAAATCAACCGGTTGAAATAAAACATCTATTCCCGCTTTTCGTGCACGGCACATTAATGAGCACAACTCGTCAAAACTGGGCTCGAGCTTTTTTCAGGATCCTCTCAATCCGTAATTGAATCCTGTTCATGCTGCTTGGCGTGAAATTAGATCTCCAATCTCTGTTGGCAGGCTGGCACTGAGCGAATGGCAGCATCACGATTCAACCAGCCACAACGGGGTCTCGGCTCTGAGCGTCTTGTGGGGAGAAGGGCTGATTTTAGCCGAAGAAATAAGGTCTGGAGCACAGGAGAATATCTTGCCCATTAACATCCAGCCAGCCAGCGGCTGCCCCCGCAGGCTGCTAACACTGTTAGCTGTCCGGAGTAACAGCCCGAAGTCACCAGCACCAACGACATCTCCCGTGTTATCGATAACGAGTGAACTAGTTAATGCCACCAAAGTCCAGCTAAAGGCTTGGGAGACATTGCACGTAGGCCTGACTCGAATCGCGGGGCCAATTAATTAATCGAGTGACACTGCAGATCTGCGATTGATAACTGCTCGGTCCAGCTACGCAGAGATCGATGCAGGATGCAGGCAGATTGGACTTTCTGCAGCCCACTTGGAACTTGGAAGGCTGCTTCATGTACCAAGCAGCATTAAAGGTGGGGAAGAGGCAAGTCGGGGGTCAGTTGCAAAAAACAAAAGAAACAAAAAACACTTTGCCAACTTGCAATGACAAACAAGAAGGATGTGGACACAAGGTAGCTAGAGGTTGAGGCGCCACATCCGCAACAATAATAAGAAGAATGCAGCATATCTCATTGCTGTCTCCTCTCCGGAGACCCAGAGTCTACTAGAGGGGCAGGTGTTTATGCATCCTTCATCAAGGTTCCTCCAAGCCCTGTAATTATTAATATCTTCAGCAGGATGTGATGAGCTGCATCCCACACTAGCTGTGGCACCGCGTCTATGCTTCAAGGCTGGCCTAGGAACAGCCCTCAAGTCTCACTGAGAGGGCTGACCAAGTGGCCCCCTGCATCGAATTACTTTTAGTCCTGGAGAGGGGGATGATCCTGGGTGGAAAGCTCCGAGAGCCAACCAGTGGCAATCGATCAATCAAACCTATTGAGGGTTTTTGTTTAATAATTCTCATGGCTGTGGATGTTAACATGCCACCTTTTATCATCTTTTTGTTTTCAGTGCCATTATTACTGATAAATCGACGGACTGCTGCAACTTCACTTTCTCTTCGTTAGTCCCTTGATTTAGGTTCATGTTTTGTTTTTCTTGTGGTCTCATCCGAGTTGGCTAAATACGCACCAGCAGCCCCCCAAAAAGGAGCAAGGTTGTGGAAGACAAAAACTCGGGGTTAATCTCCCACTGCCAACAAAGGGAGCATTTGAAACTTAAATGGCCTCTGATGATTGTTAAGTGCCCACTTATTATACTATTAACTGGCCAGATGTTCTGAGCTGGGATCCTTCGTCGATCCAGAGAGCTTATCCTTTCTTGCACTTAGCGATTGATAATACACTAAGATCTGAGCTCCGAAGGCAGACGATCAAGACACTTTGGGCGCAAACATCTTGAGAAGTACAGAGCACAGAAGCACGAGGTTCTCCATTATTATTTCAATCAAGTGTCCGTGAATCTTAAAAAGCTGTGAAAATAACTACCCAAAGTCCTGACGACGGTTGGCCGGAAGGCGAAACCCTTCCTATAATCACTCACCCCCTCCTTCACGCCATCCTTATTCTCATCATCCAGTACACAGCATGGATCCGCTATCGCGGAATGCTTCCAGCAACACTATCACTACATATCTACGGCTCCTTCGAAAGTCCAAAACTTCCCTACCCTACGGACAGCTCATATGCGTTTCCGCTTCTCCTAATATTAGCACTATGACTGCGTTGCTGCGATTGGTTTATGCTGTTGGCCCATTCATCGCCGTACTTCAGGTACACGCGGATATTATTGATGACTGGTCACAGAAAGCTGCGCGGAAGTTGTCGTTCTTGGCTCGGAAATATGGATTCTTGATTTGGGAAGGGGGCCGGGTGTTAAATGTTTCAAAGCGCTCGGGGAAACATCAGAGTATGACCCGTGAGCAGATTAACCGGGATGTTGACTTGGCTCGGAAACGGTATACAAAGGGTGTCGTCAGTGTGGCTGCTTGGGCGGGAATGGTTAGCTCTTGGGTTATCGGGCCAGAGGAACAAGGGAAAGGTGGTGATCGGCTGGTTCCTACCTTGAGATACGCTGCGAGGGAAACGGTGGCGGTGTTGACAAAATCCGTCTGCACCGAAATCAGTGGGGGGAACGAGCAGCGGGATATGGATGACGACGGACACTCTAACAGCACTGCTGGCGATGACAAAAATGACGAGGAGATTAACAATGGTGCTACACTCGGGGATAGTTTATTTTTCCCTGCTCCGCGGAAGGGATCTGTTATATCCCTGACTCAAACGATCACCCAACACACTGAGCCTTCTATCCCTGAATTATCTCCGACAGGAGAAAATCTGTATTCGGATGACGAGGCATATTCAGATGGCGACGACATACCCACATCTCCTACAACCTACCCTCCTCCACCTCTCCTAACGCGAGGTCTGGTGCTTTGTCTTCCCGCGGTAGACGACCCTGCATTCAGCCATGAATATAGGCAATATAGTGTAGCAACGGCAAAAGCGCATAGCGATTTCGTTGTCGGCTTTGTCAGCGGCGAGTCCTGGATTGACGTCTCCCAGACCGGAACCATCATCAGTCCCCACACGGGTTCGCATGACGCGGGTAGTGATGGAGAGCACGAAACAAATGGAAAAAGCAACGAAGAATTAGCCTACGTCCTTTTCGCCCCACTTGAAAGCGACCATATCCTATTTCCCGGACTGGACAACATGTCCCCTCCCCCAATGGATGACATAGCAGATTCCCTTGCAGAAAGTGTCCAGGTGTACCTTAATGTAAACGACGGTTCCTCATCACCTCGATCATCACATTTCCCCTTATCTCCCCGCCAAGCAGCAACTTCAGCTGTGCAAAACCAGCAAATACACACGCTGCACCAACTTATCGCCCGTGCGATATCTGTCAGGGACGTAAAGGCCAGGGCGAACCATGCACAACCAGACTTTCAGCAGGAGTCGATACAAAATGACTTTGAACTGTTATGCATCCCTGTTATTTCGATGAATGCTTGATGATATTCTGTTTTCGGGTTTCTTACACATTTTCTCCCGTCGCACTGTTTGTATCTACCGTACCTACTACCTACTACCTTCTACCTTCTATCTCCTTTTTCTCCCGCGTACCTTACCCAACCAATATACCCGACCCATTAATCAGCAATTGCATCCTATTCATTTGATAATCATGCCAAATTGTCCATTTGCTCTTTTAGTAACTATTCATTCACTTGTTTTCTTTTGTCATGGCATTTTTATGAGTATGCGATCATGATATATGATTAAAAAACACAGGAGGATGGCGATTTCCTATTCCTTATTGCCCCCAAAGTCTCAATTTCATGATTTAAATAAAATCAGCAATCGACAGCTTTTAATTCAAGTAATATTATGGACCTTTGCTTTCTGGAAATGCGGCGTACTGTAAGAACTATGCTGTGGCCTTGGCTTCCTACACACACGTGATGCTGTCCACACGGACCCCGGCCGGGTGAACCTCTTTAACCACGTTACCCGTCTTAACTACATCTCACATTTTGCAATTTTCTCTTTGATAACATGCGCGAGAACCTGTTTCCATAAACCAGTTATCCTATTCTAAAGCAGGTCATGATAAATAAGATGTATAGGCAATGATGCAAACCATCTGCATTCCTCTCTTGGAATAGCTCCGTCGCAGGAGTTGAATTCCACCTTTTTAAGGTTCCTTCTCGGTTCATTGACATCTTAGAGGTGCGGAGCAAATACGCCTTTATATAGTTAACAAACCTTGATAGTTAGTGCGAAGTCACACTGACAGCGCTACAATGGAAGACAACTTCCCTCCCCTTCCCAACGCTACAGGTCTACAAAACTTGATGGGCGGAGGAGGACAAGGGGCAACCCCACCTCAGAAAGCAGCAGAGCTACAACCCACCACGGATGCCAGAGAAATAAGAAAGAAAAATATGCCCTGACAGTGATGTCGTCTTAGGGCATCCTCGTCTCTTTTTGCAGATGCGTGAGCCTGAAAAGTATGCCATGGCAGTCTTGCCACCACGTTGAAGGAAGCAAGCATGTATTTCGGAGTCATCCTGGATCCTGATAAGTTTCGGGTAAGCAGAGAGTGTTTTGAAAGAGAAAGCCCAATTGGACTTAAAACAGAGATGGCGAACTGTCCATGGACGATGTTACGACGCTGGCGGAGCTGCCGATAATTAGCGTCAAGTTTTCTTCGCTTGCCGGCACTTTTGATGAGGGTGATTTAATTGAGAGACCTTTCTGACTATGTTATATTTTGATAGCGCAGCAATGCCAGAATGCGACTATAAAAAATTGTTCTAGAAGCAACTTGCGAAGAAGTCGATTTTATTCATATGCGAACTTGATCATATTGCCAGACAGCGTGGGGTTCAGCCGTTAACGGGAGCTCTTTATAACCCCGTTTGGGTCAAATCAGAATATCCAGCAGAGGGGTGCTAAGCAAGGCGCTAGATCACATCCAGCTTGCCGGATGGAGGATGGCGAGCCCGTACGCCAAACGACATATCTCGCCTGGTTTCTTGAAGAAAACCATGCCGTCATTAAGTTAGTTATTGGCGGTTCCAAGGGAATGGGTATATGGGTGTGTTGGCACTGACAGGGCCGCTATGGCTGCACCTTCCGGGAGGTGTCGAAGGTATACTATCATCCTTCTTGTATCCCTTGTCTTTTGAATAATGAAAAATGAATTCTTCACCCTTTGCTTCTTGGATGTGAAATCCTGGCAAACTCACATACGTTACAAATATGCAAATACTAGAGGAACTCCGTTTCCACCACCAATGCATCCTCGACACCATTACATATTTTTCAATTCTATTTTATCCGTGCCTACAGCTCCATTCCCTCAGATCTCACCAAAAAAAAATGGCCGGGGGTTTTACCACTTTTACACTACCAGCACCGCCAGCACCGCCGCCACCACCACCACCACCACCACCACCACCACAAGCTACAACAAGACTCCAATTCCGTCGAATGTACCAGAACTCGCCCGCCTGCGATTCCTTCCACTTAGGTGAAATTATCCGCTTTTTCACCACATGAACAAAAACCTTACATTTAGAATCCACGTTGTCATCTCTCACCTCCGACTCATTCATGAATGAAACTTGATTGCAGCAGCAGTGTGAAGATGTTCAAACACATATCAGATCTGATCATTAAGAGAATTAATGACTTTGTCATCTGCATGAAGCTTGACTCTGATATTGAGTCACCAGACAGAATATCAGATGAGATCCTTATGTTCCTTCGTTATATATGGTATAAAATAAAGTGACAACCCGATTTGGCATGTTAATTCAGGTCAAGCAAAATGTGGCCGTAAATCACTCGTTTATCAGAAAATAAAGGCATTTAGAATAATACCAACTAGTTACCAAAGACGATAAAATAGGTAAACTAAGATATCTTAAATTACATAAATCCATCAACACTTTCACACCAGTCAGTATAAAATGGAGATACAGAAGCGAATCAGAGGGGGGAAGAAAGACATGCTGACATCAGAAGATGGGCTATCTCGGAGTAGCAAGGAAGTGAAAACCGAAAGAAAAAAAACTAATCGCTCATCAGACATTCAACACGGTTAGTAGCCGAATGCAATGCTAAAACTAAACGATAAAAAGAAAAGAGGTCGAGATTCCGATGGGAAAAAAGCAGGGGGGGGTTTGTGTGATAGAAAGATGAAGCAGGGCGATGTTTGGCAAAGAAAAGAAAAAAAGAGAAATTGTAACGGGGATGAAAAGTAAAAAGATTAATGGAGCTATTACGCATATGGTCCACAAGTCCCAGTAGTGTCCTATCCCACTCAGCTCAAGTCATGATGATACCGATATGAACCCAAACCGACGAAAATCGGAAACAGGCTTCAGAAGGGTACATATAGATCTGGGGCGAAGGCCATAGTCATGCAAGGTATCAAAGGATCATCATTTTTTCCCCGAAATACGCAGCATCAATGCCGAGATTTGCATCCACATCCAGGAAACAGGAGGGACATAAAAAAATAAAAATTCATTGAGGGAAGCATCGTCATCATACTTCGCCACCTACAGCAGATGCACCACGGCCCGGGTAATCTTTCAATTGGTGCCACCGGATGCAGCCTTGAGCCGTGTTCTGAATTTGAATCCATTCAGGGGACAGAAGTCGAGTTCGTGATCCAATAAATCCAGGTCTTAATGACCTTCCTTGGTATCCGGATATTCAAGCTTCAGTTTGGGCGGACATGGCCCTGACGTGAAGGACTCTAAACCGGAATCAGGAATAAAGAGAAGCATGTCCAAGTCCCGTGGTACTGAACAAAATGAATAGGTGAGTTTGTCCGGGGATATGATAAAAAAGCGTGGGTTCAATAGCTGGGAGGCAACAGAATGGAAGGAGGGGAAAAGGGGATATACACGCTGAGAACTGGTATGTTAGTCCATTTTACCTTGGAAAATTGCGTAACGTTCGATGGAAGCTTAGTTAGTTCGACCTAATTGTGTTAGTGGGGGAAATATAGGTCAAGGGTCATCACTACTGGTTAGTGTCTTCATAGATTCCCATTGGATATGGCGAGGGTGGCGAGATAAATCTTGGAGGGTTGAGTATTGTGTTGAAATTTAACAAAAATAAACAGAAAATATGTTACTCCGATCGCTGCCGCTTGAGATCTGGTGTGGAACCCATGACATCATTCATGCCAGAATCTATGAAAGACCGTTTTGTCGACTTAGGACTGGCAGGTGCAGACAAATCGTCCGGATCAGGAGCTTCAGTATCTAGATAATTCGTGGTTAAAGACTCATCGAAATATGCCGCCATTGGTCCACCAGTAGCGTGATTTTGATCCCACACAGAACTCGGCTTCCTTCCACGGACTGTTTGGGTGTCATCCGGGTAAGCGAAGGGCTCGTGATTCGCTCCGTCCAAAGGAGAGCCGTTCGTAGAGTCAATAGCAGGGATCGCCGTGTAGGTTTCCGCCACGGGGCTCTTAAAAAGATCTTCATCAATTTCGAAAATATCATGGGTTGATTCCGGGGTTTTTTGTCTTTCCCCAGTGTAAGATTCGCTCGTCAGAGGGGGGGTGGGTTGCTCTCCAACGTTCGAAAGGAGTGCGCCTGTCCCATTTTCGGTACCTGATATACCGTCCTCGGGTTTGAAAATTTCACATTCATCCACATCTTCGCCATCATGGTCAACAGGGGGTTCCTCTTCTCGCACGGTCTCACTGGTTCTTAAATCGATTTCTATGTGCGCATCGTTATTGGTTTCTGCTTGGATATGATTTTCGGGCTCCTCTCTATTATCCAGAGAAATGGTATGGCTTTCTGCGTGGTCTTCTTCAGTTTCCAAATCAGCACCGTCTTGGTATTCTTGTTCAACATTTGCCTCTGTTGTGAGCCCCGCCTCCAGTTGCGGTGGCGCATGGTTGAGGGCATATTCATCTACATAGTCTTCAGACTGTTGATCAGTTGATTCGTCTTTTGAAAGGTCTACAGTTGGTATTTTCATAGGTTTTTCTGCTGTAGGGCTCTCATAACCAGTGCTGTCCTGGGGTTCTTCGGCGATATCGCCATGTTCGTTTCCTAAATCGTCTTCTATCAGCTTGTTAGCAACAATCCAGTTAATAGTGAAGTAAACATGCACATACCTTCATATACTTCTACTTCTACTTCCACCCCCTCATCCTCACCTTCAACTGATTGACTATCATCGTATTCTTCAGCATTATGGGGCAACCCCGCATTATCATGGCCCTCAGCTTCGCTTGGCAGGTCGCCGTGAATTATTTGGTCGTTGTCATTTCTAGCAGCATGGGGCTTGGGCTCCTCCGGTCTTGGCAAATCCTGGTTCGTGGATTGAATCAATGAATTTTCGCCTGTCGAATCAGGCGGCAAAATTTTCGCTTGCGTATCGGCAGCAACTTCTTTCTCTTCTTCGGGAGGTTCTGAATGGTCAGAATGCAGCTCAACTAGAGAGCTTGCATCTTCAGACATCAAATGGTTTTGTTCATGCTCTTCTCCATGCTCTACGCCTTCGGCACTGTCTATATCGTAATCTTCCCATGTGAGGTAGGATAATCCCTTTCCCTCGTGGGCTGCTGCTACAAGGCGAGAATAGTCAGACGTAAAATTGGATCTTAAAGAGAGAGTTAGATATAGAGGTTCAGGTTCGTTAATGCCATCATTAGCGCAAAGATCGAGGTACACTTGAATAATCTGAATTAAAGATGGGGTGGTTCTACCGGCGGAGTACTGAATATGAATGTTAGTAAGGTCAAATATTGGAGCAAGAAAGGGAGGGGTAATTCATACCTCAGGTAAATGCAGCCCGAGACTCTCGATATCGACGATTAGTTCTTCATCTTTGCTAACATGCTCACCTAGCACTTGACGACAGGCTTCCACTAGCTCCCCGATAGGAGCATAGGCCAAACCCTCATCCCGCAGGAAAAAGGTATCTGAGAGATCACCTTCTTCTGGCGGAAACAATGAAACTTCGCTATCATGGTATATCACTTTGACCGGATGGAGGGCTCCACTTCTATCCAAATGGCCCGTTCCGCCATCCCCAACATAGTCCTCAGGTTTCACAAAATGATAGGTCTCAGTAGTATCCGACAATTTCTCCTGATCCAAAGGCGACTGATATCGCCTTCGATGTTCAGGCTCTTGGTGCTCATGTTCTGAAGATCCAGGTCCTTGAGGTTCAAGCTCATCTTCCCCATGACCCCCTTCATCTTCTAAAGCGGGCTGAGCCTCACTGTCACCATGTCCATGGCCTTCTTCAACGTTTAAGGGTTTAGCACTCTCCGGAGCATGTGGGATTATGTTATCCTCTTCCATTGCAAACTTATCAATTTCTGGTTGGCCAATACTGGTGCCTTTCTGAACCATAACCTCCTCCTCAGCCACTGATGCTCGTCTAGAAATTTCGGTTTCGACAGGTTCTGAGTTTGACGAGATTTTAGGGGCTGGAGGTTGTTGTTGGTTATCAGGAATTTTAACTTCCCTTTCTATTTCTTCTTCTCTGACTTCTACCTCCCTTTCCACCTGTTTTCCCTCATCCGCAGTAGGTACGTTCGTCTCTTCAAAGCCAGTATCCGGGATCGGGGCATCAATATCTTCTTCATAGCCATCTTCCATCTCTGCTTCGTAGTCGTTCGGGTTATGATAGGCGGAATCCTCCTCATACTGATAGTAGCCTTCTTGGTGGCAGTTGTGATATCCGTGACCTGATATGCCACCATCTATATATTGACCATCCGCCATATCCGCATCGTAGGTTGCATCGTCTCCAGCAGCAGGGTGGTCTGAAGCAGTGGCGGACGCATCATCCACAATCACATCTTCATCGTGTTCAGGAAGGCGGTCATGAGCAAGGTCAAGGTCGATTTCGATATCGTCGATATTCCCCTGTTCCTCATCTGAGGTAACCTCCATACTATCATCAAAAACAACGGGCTCCATGGCTGCTTGCTGGCTAACTCGTTCAAGGAGTTATTCGTCTTCTGTTTGTCAAATCACGTCACAAGTGAAACATAGCGAAAAATAGACTATTCTTTGCTTGTATAGTATCACATGGAATAAGAATGTCCTAAAGCTCGCTGGCACTCATTTGCGGGATGTTCGCTGGCGGTTGTGATACGAAGGGGTTGGTTAGGCCGTTCTGGGGAATCAATCAGTGTTACAGGGGAGGTGGCCAAAGAAAAGACAGTAGATTAGAATAAATAGGCCCAATAACTTGACGATGGCAATATCCCGTAAAGCCCAACAAGAGCGTTGAGTGCAGGAGTGCAGTGTGATGTGATGTTTTTGTAGATTGTCACGTTGTCTGGTCGTTGAGGTTGTCTCTATTTTTTTCTCCTTAAGCGAGACTTGAGAGAAGAGCCGCCTGGTGCACGGACCACCTTCCATTACGAGCCAACAATCCTCTTAAATGATAGGAGAGTTAGGCCAATTCCATCACGACCACTACGAAGAACATCCCAACCACAATTACCCTCAAAACCTCTCTCGTTTCCATTCTAGCTTCTTCCTATATGTCCCACATCCTAAAGCCATGGTGGGTTTGATTTGAGAAAGTGACGAACACATTAGTCCCTACGTATACTGACTCCCGCAAAACTCGCAATGCAGGTTATCCTCGCAGCATCGATATGTACACGGGGGGGCAAAGCGGTGCTCTCCCGCCAGTTTCGGGAAATTTCTCGGTCTCGGATAGAAGCGTTGTTGGCATCATTTCCAAAGCTGGCAGACTCCGGCACGCAGCACACCATCGTCGAACAGGACAACGTCCGATTCGTATACCAGCCATTGGACGAGCTATACATTGTCCTTATCACAAACAAACAGTCCAATATCCTCCAAGACATAGACAGCTTGCATATCTTTGCCCAAGTTGTTACCAGCATTTGTAAGAGTCTCGACGAACGGGAGATATTACGCAATTCGTTCGAGCTGTTGAGCGCCTTTGATGAACTTGTTACGTTGGGCTACCGGGAAAACCTGTCTTTGTCACAAATAAAAACTTTCCTTGAGATGGAAAGTCACGAGGAGAGAGTCCAGGAGATTATTGAGAGGGTAAGTGTCCCTCTCCACCTTTCCCTCTCTATATATACATTCAGGTGTAATCGATGTTGTGGCGCGTGTTTCATTCTCTAATCTGCGTCTACAGAACAAGGAACTCGAAGCCACCGAGGAGCGAAAACGGAAGGCGAAGCAATTGGAACTGCAGCGCAAAGAGGCCGCCCGGAGTGGTCGTGGCGTGACTCCACGTGCTCCATCATACCCGGTCTATACTCCGCCAACCCGGCCTACACCAACTGAAGCAATTAACTCTTACGAGGCGGAGAAAAAGAAGACGTTCGGCAAGTAAGTTTAACAACCATGTCTCCACATTTGTTAGGTTTACTGCCCCGACTAATGAGGTATAGGCCCATGGCTCTACGAGGCAAGGGAATGCAGCTCGGAAAGAAATCTAAAGCCACCGATATGTACGAGAAGGTTCGAGGGGATTTGGGCCCTGAATCTGAAGAAATCCCCTTGGTTTCTACCGCTACGGCACCCGCCCATTCAGATGCCGTTGCGCAGTCTCGCGCCTCCGTGTCCGCTGACCGCGAGCCCATCCACGTTACGGTGGCTGAAACTATTTCCGCCAAACTCTCCCGCGATGGCGCAGTGAAGTCATACGAGATCAAGGGCGATCTCCAGCTGCGCATCACCGATGACACATTTGCCAAAGTAAAGCTTGGCTTAACAGCCAACCCTACGCATGGGGCCGTCTTCCGCACCCACCCTAATGTCGACAGAGCTCTATTTACCAATTCCAAAACCATTCAACTGCGGGATACTTCCAAGAGCTTCCCTCATAACATCTCCATTGGCGTTCTTCGATGGCGTGTCACGGGCACAGACAGCCCAGACGTCCTCCCGATCACATTTACCGTCTGGGTTAATCGGGGGGCTCAATCGAGCACGGTCACCATCGAGTACGAGCTGAACGGGTCAGACCCCTTGCGAGACGTCGTTGTCGCCATTCCCTTCGGCACCGTTGAGCCCACAGTGACGAATTTCGATGCCATTTACGAAGTGACTGGGGACAGCTTGGACTGGAATATTGGCACAGTTGACGAATCGAATCCATCGGGTAGCTTTGAGTTTGAGTCAGAGGACCCAAATAGTGACGAGAATGAGTTTTTCCCGATGAGCGTGAGGTTCCAGAAGGCGACGCCCTTTGTGGATGTTGATGTGCAGACTGTGTCGTTGTTGGAGATGGATGGGCAGACGGTGAATTTCTCTAAGGACTTCAAAACTATTGCGGATGGATATGTGGTTGAGTAAATTTGACGCTGACATGTTTTTCACTCCTTGATGTTTATGTTGTTCTGTCTTAGATAATTTTTTTTGTTTGTTTTTCCTTTGGTCACCCCTTCTCTTTGCTGTGCTGTCTGTTCGATTTCTTCCTGTGGGCTACATAAGGTCGTATTCTATTTAACCAATTCTTGTTTTTCTCTCTTCCCCTCTGCGGTTCCTCATTGCTTAGTTTTGGCACCTTTCTAGGGAAGGGAACGGAAGAATAAAATGAAATTGAGGTGATATCTTTAATCATTCTTCGCGCTTAATTCTCTCATTACGGTCTGGTATGCTCACATCCGCCCTGAAGCGGACTATCCTCCTCTGGGAAAAGACTGGTTGTGGACCCCACGCTTCAAACACCTAACCTCCAACACACCTTTCAAACGACCGTCAACACTTCATTGGAGGAATGAGCCGGTTCAGAACACACCCTTCATCGCCAGAGTCTAAACTGTAAGAACAGTGAGATTTGACATACCTGACATTTTTTGATTTGATGCAGCACTTACAATGTGGAACCCGTCTCCTCTTTGACATTTCAGAGGCTGTTATTTCCAGGTTTACTTGAGCCTGTCAACGAAAATATGACTCAAACATCTGGTTCTGTGAATGTCCTTGAGGGATGAGAGGAGGTCAGCTTCATGCTACTTCATATAACAATATGCATCCACATCAGTGCTATCATATAAGTGAATATATATATATATATATATATATATAACTTAATAAAACATATAGTAAAATTAAAATTTATATAATTAAATAAAATATATTACTAATTGTCATAGTTTTTTAATTTTTTAAAAAAACATAAAAGTTATATTTAATAAAATATAAAAAATAAAAATTTTAAAAAGTTTTATTTAAAAAATATATTAATAAAAATATAAAATAATAATAATAAATATAGTATAAAAAATTTTATACTTATATAATATAAATCTTTAAAAAGTAAAACTTCTTATTTATATAAATAAATTTATATAATATTTAATTACAAAAATTTATTATTATTATAATAAATATACTGTGAAATACAGTCTAGTACTTTTTCATAAAATAAGAAAATTGAATTAATTATAAAAATCATATAAAAATAAAAACTATGAAAATAAATGCAAAATTTTATATGAATCAGATTCAAAGAAGTACTAATTCATATGAAAAATTTTAATTATGAAAGATTATCACTCAGATGTTAATCCGTTACAATTATAATTTTAATAAAGCTTTAAAATTAACAAATTAAATCATTAAATGATTTTTATTTTATTTTATTAAATTATAAAAGTAATATATTTATAAATTAGAACTATTAAAATTATTAAAACTAATAAATTTATTTTTTTAAAAAAAAGATTCAAATTATAATATAGTAATTAAATATTAAAATATTCATTTAAATAACTATAATAAAAGTTTTTTTATTAAGTTTAAATTTTATTTATTACTCTAAAAGAATTTATATAAATTAAAGCTGAAATTATTAAATATCTTTAAACTAATTAGTTGTTTAGAAGGGTTTTAAAAAGTTAAAAAATATATATAAGAATAAAGAAAATCTCTTGCACTTCTAAATATTATAACTCACTATTTGTTAACTGATCAAATTATGAAATTTATAAAGTTATAAAGTTAATAAGAAAGTTAATTTAACAAAGTTCTATTATATAAATCTGTCAATTCAGTAACTAACTAGTCAGTAGTTGACAAGTTTAAATACTATAATTCTATATTTTATTTGTGTCAGTTACTTAATTCAGGTACCATCTCAGTTTTTGAACTAAATATTGATTTTTAATACGGTCTACCCCTATCTAATAGATTCATATTTTTTAATTATATTCAAATATTATAATATTTTGTTGAGAAATCTGTGGAATTGTAGGTTAGTCAGCTGAGAAGAGCGGTGCGTTTTATTTAGTCAATCACGTTAGTTATGACGCGGCCCTGCTAGCCTCCAGCCGGGCTTGGCGCCGCTTTGGTTGAAACATCCACCCTGGCCTCTAATAAATATATCAAACACTCTTGAGTCTCCCGTGCTTCACCCACAACCACACTGGAACCCAGCAACCCCTCCCAGCTTCAACAACGGTCCCAGTAACGCCCGCTGAGGACACCTTTGTCACATATCCCCCTTCCGTCCCGCCCGCGCAAGTGTCTGGCTCTGCCGGGTTGCGGCCTCCTCCCTGCCTGTCCATAACTTCAAGAACAATTTCCATCAAGAGACTTCCGTCCCCCACGGGCCCATGATCCGTCCTCTCGTGCGCAGCTATATGGCCTCCTTCACCAACCATCTTCTCTTAAACCCTCTCCTGTTCTCTTCTCGAAAATCTATTGCTGGGACTTGTTAACCATTGGCCCTCGGAACGACCATTTCGCGCCATCCCCTGCTGATACCTTACGATCCCTCATCTGGATTTCCCTCCCTTTACGGAGAAATCTGCCGCTCGTTTCAGTATCACGATCACGATTTTCCATCACAAAAGAGGGTGAAAAGAACAGTACTATATATACAATCCATTGCGTATAAGGCAAGACGCCCCGCACCTGATCGAACTAAAACGTTGCAATCCTGCAGAAAGTTGCTGGCTCGATTTCTGTACGGCCTGGGGATAAATTGGAAGGAATAATTTGATTTTCGATAGAGAGGACATATATCACTTCTACATTTGCACGCCAAAGCGGTAGCCACCGTGGATTTGTGTGGCGTTGTTTATCCGGCGTTGTCATTGAGATCTGGCGTTATCATTGAGGTTCTCGAAGTGGCGGGAGCGACTTGCTCCAGGTTTATTTCATTATGGTTTCAGACAAGTCAGTCTCTCCCACTATCCGTCCGGGTTCTTCATTGTTCGTTGTTCGTTGTTGGGCGGTATGAGGGTCGCGAGACTGACATGGTTATTGTGTGAATGAGATAGATATATCGGATTGGCGCTTGCTATAATGTCAACTACGGCTATTGGTAAGATATCTCTATTAATGATACCTGCCTATGACTGTGATCGATCTTATACTTACTATGCCTCCTTTATAGGCAGTAGTTTCGTAATAACAAAGAAGGTCCGTTCCGTTAAGTTATTTCCCTCTAGCTCATTCTGACGCAATTTGCTATCAAATTCTTTCGCTCTTGACCTAACATCTATATGTTGTAGGGCTTAATGGATGCGTCAAATAGGCACGGCTTTGAGGGCGATGGATTTTCGTATTTAAAGAGCCCAATATGGTGGGGAGGAATAATAACATGTACGGAGTCTACGGGCCCTTTAATCATCAGATCTTCAACTCCAAGCAGCGTCGTGCTGACATCTAGGATTAGTAATTCTCGGGGAAATTGCGAACTTCGCCGCATATGCGTTTGCGCCAGCGATATTAGTGACGCCCCTGGGGGCACTTAGCGTTCTTATAGGGTAAGAAGCTGATTATCGGTGACCGAGCAACTGAAGGCTTTCGTACTAATCACTGCACAGGGCTGTTCTAGGCGCATATTTTCTTGGGGAGCGCCTGGGGGTTCTTGGAAAGCTGGGCTGTGCATTGGCACTGCTTGGTTCTATCATTATCGTTCTCCATGCGCCTCCAGATGAAGAAATTGAAACAGTGGACGAGATCTTGGGATATGCCATTCAACCCGGTAAGTTCCTTTTAAGCAAAAAATCGAGTACGCTATGAAGCTAAACATTTTCACAGGCTTTCTTCTTTATTGTCTAGCAGTTGCTATATTTTCTACCGTTATGATATACAGAGTGGCTCCGAAATACGGGAAGAAAAACCCACTAATATACATCTCGATTTGCTCGACAGTTGGCTCAGTCTCAGTTATGGCTGTCAAAGCATTTGGGATTGCGTTGAAGCTCACTCTAGCTGGACATAACCAGTTTACCCACCCTTCTACCTACGCCTTTGCTATTGTTGTTGTATGCTGTATTTTGACACAGATGAACTATTTCAACAAGGCTCTTAGCCAATTTTCGACCTCAATGTAAGTTAGGAATCATTTGCTATGTACCGTTTTGTCTCCATTTGCTGACCATACATGGCAGAGTCAATCCCCTATATTACGTCACTTTTACAACCGCAACCCTCTGTGCCTCCTTCGTCCTATTCCACGGTTTCAACACCACTGACCGTGTCAACACCATATCCCTTCTCTGTGGATTCCTAGTGATATTCTCTGGAGTCTATCTCCTAAACTTATCTAGAACGGACCCCGATGGTCAACGACTAGCTGGAAAAACTGATGAGGAAGACGGTGTCCCGACCGATGGAATTGCCTCTATTCAAACCCGCCGTTCATTACACAATCGAAGAAGCATCGACTGGCGACCACGCAGTTCTTCTAGCCTTGACTATTACGGAGGCCCCAGTGACCGGCAAGGACTGATGCATTCCTACGATGTCGAAACGGGTGCATTCGGTCTCCAAAATCTTAGAGAAGAGAGCAATCACGGTGATCAAGAGGACTCGACACCAAAACGAAACGGCTCAGCGCACCCTGCGGACTCCCCAAAGGATTCCGGAGTTTGAAGGGAGAAACATTCTTCCCTTGCCATCCCCATCTTCCGGTCCTTTGTTTGTCTTCGGTCAACCTATTCCCCTTCAGTTTCTCAGCACTCTATTTCGTTAAGATATAAGACGTCCCAATTTTTTTTTTCGTTCGAATTTATAATGGTTGCTCCATGATATGATGGAAAATGATCACGAAAATAACTGTTTAAGATCTCTCCCTCGTCTCTTCTCTCCCTATTTCCCCACCTTATCTTATCATGGTCACTGGTCGGACCAGATTCGAAAATGCAATCAAAGCAATTTTAAAGCAAGCACATGAACAACATTTATAATGCTGGCTATTTTGCTCTACTCCTCATCCTCTTCTTCTCCCTTTTATATCTTCTCTCGCTATATTATGTTGACTTTGGGTGGACACTTTTGATCGAATCAGGTTAGGTTAAGGTTAGGCTAGGTGTATATAACGAATTTTCCCCTAACTGATTGTTTTGGCCTTATATCCCATGTATTTGTAGGAAAAAAATGGAGTTTTTTGGGGGGTTGTGATATATATTTTTTCCCACTTATATTATCTTTTCCTATCAATATGGATTGGGTTGTTTGATATCCCCCCACCCCCCGGGCTTTCCCCCCTTTCTTCCTTTTGCCCTCCGATGCTTCATGGACATTTTGTGATTTGCACTCACCAGTTTCCGTTTCCGTTTCTTGGATTGAGAGGAATGAAAGCCAGTAACTACTACATACATCCTTCGAAAAGAACCCCAAAGAATTTATGTACATACATGAATGAATGCAAATAACCGACAAATGACCCAGGGGGTAGTCATTTTCTTCCTTTTTCCTCGTGTATTTGGTTTCTCTCCTTTCCTCCCTCTCCGATATCTTCCAACCTGTGTTCGAGAATTTTATATATCTGGTTTCTATTTCTTCTTTATTTCCCCCAACATGCATTTCTCCGCCTGATAGAGTAAAAGCAAGGCATCTTCCTTCACCAAACTCATATATATTTACCTGTACCCTGACCTAACCCCAAATCTCTCACCTTGCATATCTAGACCGGCCAGCAGAGCAATCTTTCCCCATTTTATGTAAATTGCAGTTATAACATCACAGTATGTGTGGATATCTTAATACACATTGTATATATGCATTCATTGATATTATTTTCTCCCTATCTTGTGAGTTCGATTCAATTGGATGCTAGTTTTCCCATTTTCTCCATATCAGACATCTTCAATCAGCTATGCGTAGAATCATGTCCATCGCAGACCATCTCTCACTTCGTACAAATTTCTTCATCATTGGCTGCCGCCTACGCCTTTGGGAGTTGTTTAGATTTCCCTTCTAATAACAGCAACAGTTTGCTGATGGAAAAGTCTTCAGTTACATGACGCATTTTATATATATATCTGAGATCTCCGTTCTACAACGGTTTAGTCTACGATACTATAGGCGTCCTGACAGTCACCAAAACGATTTGGCAGCCCCTCCAACGGAATAAGGTTTGTTGATACCGTTGGTTTTTGTGCAAAGTTTAAACGAAAAAGCTAGAGTAAGATTTGGTTGGCGATTAACTACTATTGTGGGTTGAGATTTAAGTTCCTGAGATTAACTAAGTTTTTTGCAGTTAAATATGAACCATGGATCATGAGGAACTCAAACGATCGACTTCTCGCAGGAACGGCTTAGACAAGTTATGATGGTATATCTTTTAGCTGATAACATGACGTTTATACGTGAGTATCTCAAATATTAATCACTTGTTAAAACGGCCAGCGACCATGTACCACTGATGGCGGATGTGGGGTTTTAGCTTTTTGATCTGCTACTCCAGTGGCTCTTGCACGGCTGTTGGGAATAAGGTCCGTTATGTCCTCAGATTATACATGAAGTAAGCTACCAAGCGTAACTACCATTTAGTAGGCAAGAGTAGTAGCTGTCCTGGCCTTCGGGCTATTCAGTCCCATGTTTGTGTTCCGCAAACGAAACGTTGTGTTGACCAGTTGTAAAGGCCTGAGCCCCGTGAGAGGCGACGGCCGTAAAAGCTAAATTGCTTACTTTGTCTTTTTCCTGCTTTAAAAAGTCCGATCCTCTAAAGGGAGTTGAATGGTACGGGTTGTTGAATTTTATCTTTTGCTCCTCGTTGGTATATATATATTTCCCCAGAGGCAAATTGTTGTTTTTCGAAAGTGAATGACTTCAATCCCATACGACCGAGAATCAAGCTTTACCTTGGTTGATCATCTTAAGGAGCGAAGAAGGATACTTACTATCTATGTATGCTTGGGAGGCCGAGCTGATGCCCTAGTACTTGAGCATTCAAAGCGGTCTAGTAATTTCAACGAATCAGCCGGGCTAGCTCAATCGGTAGAGCGTGCGGCTCTTATTAGTTTAGACATCGGAATATTCAAATATCTCGTCTAGTTGATCAACCGCAAGGCTGCGGGTTCGACCCCCGCGTTCGGCTTTCCTTTTTGCTCTTTTTTGTTCTGTTGGTGTATCCGTTTTTCCCTGGTGAAACCTGCAAACCAAGCGGCAAAAACTATCATGATGCCAAGCACTAAGACGACTTGGTGAGGGAGCAGTTCAGACCGACAATGGATGGATGGACTCAGTCCTGTAAGGACAACCAACCTCCGTTCGGTGCGACTGAAAAAGAATATGAATTAATAAGCCAAGGCTGAATAATGCAGAAAAGGGTTTTTTCTTTTTCTTTTTTTTTTTTTTTTTTTTAACAACACCGATGAAGACCAAATGTCACCTGGGATAGGGATCACCTCAGGAAGCAAAGGTAAAAACGAAGCCCCGTGCTTCAAAGCTTGGATAGAGCCTCTTATTCGGCCGAGATCCGTTTGGCAGTGGTCCTCTTTCTTGCACAGACTGATATCAGTAAAAAGGGACGAAGTATGGTTAGCATGTACGGCGGAGATAGCTGTTCTCACAGTTGGTGTCTGAGAGAACTCGTGGGCACATCTGAACGAGGGACATTTCAAGAGATGGATAAGATCTAGACGTGTATTTTTCCGCGTTGACTGTCCAAGATTTGCTGTGCCTTTTTTACCCCTTAAAGGTCCCCGGCTATGTCAGCTGTCTAACCTGACCCTACTGGATCCAACCACCAACCTTGGTCGTTGGGGGTATTTTCAGGAGACTTGCACACTCCGGTTCTGGTCTGGTTCACCCACGGCTCAGGCAATAACAGCAACGGCTCAGGTCCAAAGACACAAATGAAAAATGCTCATATTGAGATTCCAATAGAACTACCTGCATGATGACTGCCTGTGCCCGGACAGAGCGATTGCTCAGGGTGGGGGCAATCCATCACAGAAAATTGATTTACATGCCCCTCGGCCAAAGGGCGTGATAGGGAATTTTGCGTTAAAAGCATCACTATTTTCCAATAACTAGTTCCTATCATTTTGACTATCACACAACCCCCATTGAGCTGGCATTCTGGCAGAGCACATCAGATGTTGAAACAGGGTTAAATTAATGAGACGGTGTTTGAGAGGGGGTTGCACGGTCCACGGCCCTGCAAATCTTCTCATTCCCTCACGGGTATGATTTCGTTCTTTTCAATTTCCTAACTCATTCACTTCAACGCATAATTATGCCACCAGTTCGCAATAAAAACACATGAAGCTCTATAGAAATAGAGGAAAGATCTGAGAATATCTACACTATAGCAATCCCTTAATTCATGAAGCTGCATGCATTTTTGGACGCTCTCCATTCAACTCTGACTTAAAATGTGCAACAATGATGCAGAGAAACTTAATGTCCCAAAGCAGTTAGCCTTGCGAGTCTGCCTTGCCTCAAAATAGAAACCGAGCCGCAACTTAAACTCTAATAAGGTTTCCTAGCGCCGCGATTTCCCTTGTTTTAGCACGGGGTTATACGCAACATCTCATGCGGAGTATGTGGTGAATTAATACACCGCCATGCAGGAATTTAAACTGCAGTTTGGTTTAGCAGGTTATCCATGGATAAAAAGGGCGAACCTAGACCCGATGTTCCGAACCCCCCCAATGCCAATATTATTCCTAGTTGTCAAATGTGGGATATTTGTCCATTCTCGTCGTGGTTCTTTGTCATTGTGCACACGCCACCTCGGATCTTCACTACGCTAAGTCCAATCCCAACTACAGTTCTAGTCTACTTGGATGGTGATATCTCGTATCCGGTACCAAACCCACTAACTTTGACAGCAGCAAGTAATTTTTCATCCCGAAGCAGGCGTCCCTAGCCGCACTCCGTCTCTACTGGGCTCCAGAGTCCCCACAAACAGACCTTGGTCAGATCGACTACCATAGCCACACCAAGGTTTGATCGCCTGGTGGGATCGCCCCGTACCTTAACCAACATCCCAGGATACTTTTTGTCAGCCTGTGGAAAATTTCAGTAAGACTTGGTGTATGTTTGTGCCTGGAACTAGACCACATGCTGTGGTCGGAAGCCGGTGCCAATCATTTCTCTGACCCTTCTGATTCCGTCATTTGTTGCCAAAAGGCTGTTGTTTGGCCAGCCTTGCGAATCGTTTTACTATGCATGTGCCAAGTCAGTTTATTTTACAGCCTTTCCTTCTCGTTGTCACGAGAGGGGAAATTGAAACCCAGCCCTCCATCTTTCGAAGTTCCTTGGCAGCTTAGAATCAGTTCTATGGCAAACGCGCAGAATGTATCCGATGGGCACCCTGTAATTTTCTCAACCTGGAAATTTGAAATTAAGCTAACACATGTGTGTGCATCCCATAAATAAATTGCTTCCTCTCAAAAGCCAAATGCCAGCGTCCTAGCACGGTGCTTAATGAATCCATGGTTTATTCCACGTGGTCGACCCGAGCAAGGTTTGTCGCTCAAAAGTTGAAATGCCACTTGCTGGGGGCTGATCTACAACCTGAAACTTAAAGAAAATAAAGCCTGTTATTATATGCATGTGAGTATAAGATTAGAGTTTCGTTTCAGAAGTTGCTGCGCATTTATCCCTTTGCGCATAGTCACCCCCACGAAACTGTGACCAAACCTTCCCGCCAAACAGAATATCCAAAAATTAATGTATGAGAAGAGCGTAATTCTGTCATGGGAGAAAGTAAGAAATACGACCCCTAGTATGGCCACTCTCTAAAATTTTGAGATGGAAGTAAGAAATTGATAGATACAATACTTTAATAGACTTTATATGAAGGAGATGATATTTCTGTAGTATTATTATTCTGTTCTGTCTCATGTAATAGATGGAAAACACATAAAAGCAGGGAACTATATGCCCAAAAATTTTCAGCGAAACGGTAGATTGATAGGGGAGGTCGGGAGAAATAGAAGATACAAAATAATTAACATAATCAAGTCGTAGTTTCTGCCTTCATGCTCCTAATCCAGGAGAGAACTGAAAAAAATGGGGAATAGAAACAAGCGAAATAAGATTCCAGTCATTCGTTTCCGCTGTCGCTGAATTATGTTTCCAACAATATCAAACAATGCGAGTATAGAGGAAGGAGTAAGATTCTACATCAAATAAACTGTTCCTCCAAAGAAAAAGGAGGTATTTGTAAAGGCGAACGCCCTTATGGTACGTTTGCCTAGAGAGCCATCATGCATGGAGAGAATTTCCACATACTACACCATCCCATTGCTATCATTCCACGTTCACCTCGCGAGACTCAAATTTATCGGGACAAAAGAGATGTCATCTTCGCGATTTGATGATAGGGATGATAAAAGAACGTTGGTTTGTATGTACGATATTATTATCGGAATATCGGGAATCGAGAAACTAATGAATTCTAGTAGGGTTTCGAGTAAGAGCTGCGGCGTGATGCGGATAGGTCCCTGCATTTTCATCAAAGATGAAAATAAAGAAAGACTCAGCCGCATATTTCTTGCAATGTTTGTGTGAGAGTATGTGGGTGTGTGAAGATGTTTTTCAAGGTGATTCTTAGCTTTGAGTGTCTGTGTATGCGTGGAAAGTTGGAACGAATGCATTGAGTGCAATGTGTGGATATGGATCAAGTCCAGCAGAGTTCGGGATTGACCAACCCTCCTGAGATGCCGAGTGTGGAAGACTCGTTATAATCTGACCCCAAAACTGGTGATCCCTTTATTAAATTTCCCAAGTACGCAGGGTTGAAAATTGAGGAGTGAGTTTGAGGACTGTGCTTGTAATCCCCTCCCAGCCGATCGTCTGCGTGGTCAGAATGTAGCGTGGGAGATGTGCTGTAGACCTGGGATTGCCGTCGGGATGTAATTATTGTTGGTATCTGGTATGGAGAAGCAACGATCGCTGGAGTTAGAGGAGAGTGGAGGGGAGATGTCGTATAAGCAGAGTAGCCGGAGCCACTGGATGGAGAGGTAGATGGGAGATGCAGATTGGGCAGTTCGTGGTATGGATTGTGCGAGCTAGGAGAGTAGGCATCTAAGGAACTCCTCGGGGGCCACTGGAGACGGCCGCGGTATTCGGCAACAATCTCGCATGGTAACTCCATCAGGCTCAGAGCCAACTGGACTTCTGGAGCAAAGGGTTGAGATGCTTTCCTCGCATGCAGGATTCTACGAATGTCTTCGATTGGAAGGACTGACATGGTGCCAAGATATGAGCCCCCGATTTCAGGGAAAATTGGCTCCAGGGCCAAAGCCACCCCAAAAAATTGAGAGAGCACTGCAAGCGCACCAAGATCCGTTTCTCCGCCTCTCAGCATCGTGGGGGGAAGCCAAAAGAGCCACGTTCGTAGTGGCTGAAGCCTCTCAAAAGCAGTATCCGGCGATTGCACTGGCAAATCATCGCGCAACCGCTGAACGAAGTGTAATAAATCAGTAACTCTTTCATAGTGTTCCTGATTGTGGGAGAGTCGCTGGTGAATGTTTAACAGAGTACCCAAAATCCGGTCCAGTCTCAAAAGGTCTTCGTCTTGGAACTGATCCATTGCTCCTGGATACGTTGGTGTTCTCGCACTTCGAAAAGCTCGCTGGTTATCCATAAATCGAGCTAATTCCGACTCTTCCTTCCACCACGGTTGCATTGAGTTAAGTACCTATAGGTAGTGTTAGACTTGTCAATTAAAGAATCAAGCAAAAAAAAAAAAAAAAAAACCCTCTTACAGTTGAGACGCCCTGCTGCAACGAAGCCCAGCTCCTCCTGTGAAGAAATTCTCGTTAGTGGAAATTCCGACCCAGTCAAAAAAGGACAACACCTGCCATTCTTTAGCTTGCCATGACAGAAGCATCGATGCTGCTAAGATGGCATCAGAGTTTTCCTGAGAGAAGCTACCGATAGCTTCATGGAGGCCCTTTAAAGCAATGCCCCGATGATGATACGCAAGGTTTTCCGTTTCAGGATTTTGGGTCATCCAGGCGAGGTGAAAGGCAGATAGAGCGAGAATCGCACTCATGACAAACTCGTTCGACAACGCGATAGCCAAAAAGCTGCAAGTCAAGTATGTTAGCATTATACACGTTATCAAGTGGGAAAGTAAATGTCAAACTTACATGGGCATTTTCTGCGCCCAAACTGTGCAGTTACTGTATCCTCGCCGATGTAGGTCGATTGAAAGTCCAGCAATGTGGTGAATAAGGCGCAAATCAGTCCGCGAAAACTTGAACCAGTATGCCCTAGAGCTGAGTTGCAGTTCGGGAAAAGGGGGATTTCCAGTCTTCAGCCATTCATCGATTTCGATATCAATCTCTGGAGACATGAGAAGATCCGGTCCAACTCTCTGTGCCGGTGCTTGATCTCGGACTATAACATTGTCCATGTAATCGCAGCGACAATTGTGTTTGGTGCAATTTCGACTGGACAAGCGATATTAGTTTGAGATGCCATATTCACTGCTAATTAATCTACCAGTTTACAGGGGTATGCGTACCATTGAGGAGTTGTTTCGTCACATCGAATATGTCGTCTTTTACAAGTCTTGCAGCCCTTTCTAGACTTTGTATGGCTCTTGCGAGGAGGTCCACCTCCAGGTCCAGCCATTTTGAAAAAACTTAGGTTGATGCTTTGGGTTTAGAGAGTTGATGTTGGAGCAAGAAAACTTTGAGCACAAGGCACACGATCATATAGAAAATGAAGCACAGTACAAATAACAAAATAAAAATAGAATTTCACTTCGTATATTATCCCACGAAGAAGTTCGCGAAAAAGGATGATCAGCAGGAACGGGAAACGTTTCCGAGCTTCGAGGGAAAGTTGAAGTAATATAACTTTCTTCTTTCCTGCACGACAACACGAGGTGCGAAAACCCCGGTCAAGTCACGCCCAGAAGTCGGCAACGTGGGTTAAAAGCAAGGTGCCAAGGAGCTTCGCCCAATCGAAGTAAATAAATTGGAGGAGAGTGACAGGCAGCGGATATGTGGGGTTACGAGGTGTTGGGAGGGAGAAGGAGGCGCTATCACGATATGCTGCAGATGAAATAGGCACAGCGACCTTAGATAGTTTTGGGCAAAAGAGAACGAGACCAAAAACATACGGTACAACGTTGTTTAAACTTGGAGACAAAACGAGGTGTTTCGATCAAGTTAAAAGAAAACGGAAGGAGAAGATATAATAAATAGGAAGAGGTTAACAAGGGTTGGGGCAAAAGAATTGGCTTCCGCAACAAACGTTCAAACAAAAAAAAGTTAAGTCAGCCCCCAGTCAGGGACACAGAGAAAACACAATCAATGCAATAATCGATGGGCGTTGCCTTCACACTTCTTAATGATCGTCGATGATCAAATCGAACTCTAGGGTGCTCAGCTGCATAAAAAGTGAGTTGGCTGGTTCCAAACTGGGATCCCATGGGGGCTCAGTCTGGGACATTGCCAGAGTGGGTATTTTTGCCGCATTATTATGATTCCAGGAAATGGGCTGGGCAAGGAGTGACATGCAAAGTTTGTATTTTGATGTAGTGGCTTCCGATGTAATTTTCTTTTTGCAGATGTCTCCATCAGCCTATCCTGGCCTTGCGGTTGCCAGTTGGATGGATCAAGCGGGGCTAGTGGGAACCGTCGTTGGAGCCGCCACGAGCTTGTTGAAAGGACGCCATGTTTCCCATGCGGGCTTCGTCTGGCGACTCGATACAACATACAGCCACACATCTTGGGCCATGGCATGCCTTGTGTTGGGCCGTTTCGCTCCCGCATGTGAAGTTCGTTCTAGCGGCCAGGCGGACTCATTTCCACCTGATTCTTGTGCTGCGAAAATATCTCCTCCCTGTCGATCGGAGGTAGCACAAAATCTACATCCCCCCTCCCTCAGACGACCGCTGACATCTGGCGGCCATTATGCCCTCACTGGGTTGACGGGTTTTACAGCCTCCCCACCATTTGCACCAGCGTGGTGTATCATGCAGAGGTGCTCTGGATGACATGGTTGGACCAACTATGTTGAAGCCCCGATGAAAGTTAAATCTTGGTATCAAAAAAAATGTTATTAATAAGGTTGTTATTATTATTGATGGTTCGTGGGCTGGAATGACTTGTTTCAAGGTGGTGCATCGTCTCTCTTGCAAAATCAAGCCTGCAAGGGGCATCGGCACAAATGTGGAGGAGTTCCGACCCTGATGCCAAGTATTGAGGCGGAGGCCGCTTGTTCCCGATCTCTCTCGTCTTGGTCTCAAACAACCGAAGTGGTCATAGTTGAGTTTTGCTTTTTCTCATTTCCTGTTGCTTCATCTTTCTCTCCTTATTTTCCCACTCTTGCATTGGGAAAAGTACCGTGTGGCTGAAGACTAGTAATGACGCGAAAATTTAGGCTCCAAAACTTCATTCTTTACCAACGGGGGAAAAGACAATGTATCCAAGAGTGCTGCACATACATACAAAATTACAGCCAACCAATCCCTTTGACCAATTTCGCAGCGACCAAATTATCTGGAGAGCAAAATTACTAGTCAGCTTTGTCTTTGGTGGACTCAAGAATTCAATAATGATTTGTCAGAGCAGATCCAGCCGCAATATCAACAGCTCCAAGTCAGTTGCGCTTTATACAGTCTGCAGACTGGCTTGTCATACATTCATATTTGGAGTGTGAAGTACAGCATGGACTCGGACTTGCTTGAGACAAAAGAATGGGTTTTGTTTATGTTAATACTCCGTAGTGCATCCATCAATCACGTAAAGATATGTTCCATGAATAATAGCAACGCCCAGGTGTTGACCTAGGATGGCACAACACACATCATTTTGTATGGATTGCGTGTATAGTACAGAGAACACGCACCGTCACCCTCTGAAGAGTCCGACAAGTACCTAGGAGCTCTTGAAATACCATCACAATACGTAGTGGAAGTTTTATGCTCACCCTATTTTGCCTGAAAACACTCTCACTTTTAAGAAACATGTACCCGAACCCCGGAAACCTCCACAATTCCTGAATGTATTTATCATATATTATACCGTCGCATCCAGAATCTCATCCGGCAAAGTCGGCGGCAAATGTTGAAACAGGCATTTAATTTCGGGGTCTCCTGGGCTCCTTGGAGCCTTGCGACGGCTAAATTTGTCAGCATGGAGATAGATTTCGCACTAGTCTCAAGCGGGATAAGACTGAAAAGGTTAAAAATCATAAATAAGCCTCACAGAGCCCGCAAACCTCTGAATATAATTATCTGATCTGATCTGATCTCAGTCAACTATCTGTCTTGATTATGACTGTGGATATGTCGCGGAAATTTAGGTGTATTGGTCGGAATTTGACTTTGCCCAGCCTGTGCCCAGCTTGAAATGAACAGAAAACCTCCTCCCAAGGTTAAACAATGATCAGGGCTCTGGTTGAGGCTGGTTGAATCACGAGCAAAATCAGAACAGTTACATACAAAACCAGAACATGAAACGGTTGACTTTAAATTATAAGCCTATGGTGGAATCCGTCGATCTCGGTGTTCTTGTTGTGAGACATCCGTAGGGCTCTCCAACTGTATTGAATGTGAGTTTGGCTAACACCACAGCTACCAACGGTTTTCACCAGAGCCTGGTTTATCTGCTCGGTGGAATCAAAAAGACTTCACAATTTTAAAAATCAGAAGTTTGTTGCATTGGGGGAAAATGACTCTGCCAGGGTTGTTGGCTGTGTCAATATCTTTGATATCCTTATATTGTGATTGGATCGGACCCTCTCTCTGTTTTATTTTAGTCCCCTGAGAGAGTCCTCCAGGCCGGTTATTCTTGGTCCATTGTTCAATCCCACCCGATTGAAGGACGGAAGCTCGGATCTAACGGTGGGCATGAGTAGATCCTAAATAACCCGAATCACCACGGATTCTATGGATTCATTCATCCGCCCAGACGACGAAAGCAAAAACAACGCAAGCAAAGCTTTTAAAATAATTGATGAGCTGTTGGAAAGCCAGATACACAAGGTCTTACTGTGAAGCTGCAAAAAAGGACTAAAGTTCAACCGAATGTCATCAGTTGGATCAGGGGTTGTTGACCTTAGTGGTCCGATGAATCATGAAATGGGGTCGCTTGGAAGATGCCAGTGCAGGATTGGAGGAACTATTTTAATTGCATGGTAAGGTTGACTGTCAGGCTCAACCTTGTGACACGTTCCAGCACCGATGCGGAAGCGAGAACTCAAAAAGCAAAATTTATCAAACAAAGCAAAGAAACTTTGGATCTGCAGGCATCTTGAATCAAAAGGTTTGATATAGCCTATCAGATCCCAGAGAATGAATCAAATCCCTGCAACTTGTCAAACCCAATCTGGAAATCGATTTTCACACTTTTGCCTAAGTGGGGTGAAAAAATCCCAGTCAGACGGACGGGAAAGTCTTGGGTCAAGCCAAAGGTCAACCGCGCTTCTGGACAATTCAGTAACTAATAATTAATAATAATAATAATAATAATAATAATAATAATAATAATAATAATAAGGGGGCGTGGCGTCTAGCTGGGGTTCGCAGTGGAGCTCATTCCAAGGGTTGAGTCAGGTTATCAGTCTCTAGCGCAGACGACTTGAGTGTCATTCTCCTCCCCGACGATAGTTTGAACCCGTCACCAGTCATATTGCAGAAGGAAGCGATTTTCTGCAAGTTTCCCCCCGATATTATGTATTTGACCATTCTTATTTTGGGAAGATGCTAAGTTGCAAAGTTACCCCGAGTAAATTACGTACCGGTAACCAATATTCGGCTATTTGGGTTACTGAGGACAGCATCCTCCACCAGTTCCATTTGAGAGAAGAGCTGGGGACTTCGGCCTTTTACCATTCGTCAACAAAACGGCAATGCTTGGCCCCGCGGAGGCTTGATGTCTGCTGAAGCTGGGAAAACTCCCGATATCACAAATCTACCTTGGTAGATGAGCCGACGAGATGTTGCGCGACTTACGAACCAGTTCACGCACCTATGATTGTCGCAATTCGTAGTGAGGTTCCGAGGGGATAGTTAACCGGTATATGACGCATATATTTTACCCAAAAAGAAGAAAAAAGAAAGAAAAAAAGAAGAAAAAAGAACATTACATTCAAACAGCGATTCACCAAAGAGGAGGCGGGAATAAAATGATGCCGATCTATCCTTTGGGTTCGCACCTTACTTCCCTTGAAGCTTTCCAATGCCTCATATAGGACGGCAGGATGTGTACGGAACAACCTCTGAGCCTTGGGGAAGATAACAATTTTTCAAAACTGATGGCGCATTATTTCTTCAATATGCACGCCCTTTGGCCGACAGCTGCCATCTTATCAGGGGAAATAATATCGCGTCCTTGGGTTACAGCGAGATCTGAGACCAACAGCACAAAATCACCAAACTCCCTCTTCCATTGGCCGAACGCCGTACAAACAAAAACATGTGGACAAACTATGGACCTACCTGGCCTTTGCAAGGTGCATCATCACGTGGAAAAGCAGCTCTCAACCTTGGAATGGCCATTGATCATGGTGGGATCGGGACCTAATCTGTTTTTCTTTTTGACACATTCATCCTCTTACTTCTCTGGAAAAGAGATATAAAGGTTTTGTCCTATCTTGAAGCTGAAGGAAAACTGTGACTTTGGGTTGTTTACATACATACTAACAGCCATTGTCAAACTTGAAGCTATTCAAGGCGGCCACCAAAGCAAACAACCCATGCAAAGTTCATTAAATCATCATAGTCCAGATGAAACAGCATGCAGATTGGCCAAAAGAAGCTTTGGGGTGTTGATAAAATCCTACTTTTAGAACCTCAAATGGCGATGTTATGGCGGGGCTCAGAGCTGCTTAACATCAACCCTCTCGTTTTGCTTTCGCCTCGGCTGGAATTCCATGTCAGCGCGCTTACCTTCAAAGGGAAATTCGTATTGGAGTGCGGATGGCGCAGTTAACCTTAAATTGACCAGGCTCTTGAAATCGTTTAGCGCCTTTGATCCTCTCCTGATATCAGTTTTGATTCTCGATCGATTGAAGAATACCCCTGATTGGTTGCTTTCTTCTGGCCCAAAGAAGCCCCGAAATGGTCATGGATTAGGACGGATTTAAGCTCAATGAAGCACCATCCCATCACAAACACAGCCCTTGGTTCAGCGGCAAGATGCGGACACTTTAGCCGTTCACACAATTACTGCGCTGGAATTCATTTTTTACAGTGGTCATTTGCATTATATTGACGTTTTTCTTGTTCTCTTCTCTATTCACACATAATCTTGAACTAAGGTTCCAACAACGTTCACTTCGGCTGCTGTCCGTACAGTGTACACTATTATTCGGGGAATGTGAAACTCCAGGAGTTCCTCGGCACGGCGGTGCAAATACACAAACGCGCTCCTGGAGATCCCTTTTGTGGAAGTTCTAGCGTTCATCCTTCACCGGTACCATGAATTATTTTATAATGGTTTTTTTTTTTTTTTTGGGACTAACAACAATGAACCAAGCAATTTCCTCTTTTGGCAGGTTCTGCGCCTCCAGAGTGCTATATTCAAGTTTAATTTTGGAATCACCGTGGGCTGAATGAATATCAAGATTGAAATCATTACCGCCTATCCACATGAAATTTCAGAGTTCTTGCTACCGACAGGAATGTATGTACCTAGGTGGAATACCCACCTAGTAGGTAAGTAGGAATACCACCTCAGCAATCTACTTACCTTTCTTGGTTGCTGAGTGACAGTCACATTATTAATCAGACGGGTTGGTAACTAACTAGATGCAACGGAACGGACTTTGCTGAATAATTTGCCAATAGCATTGAAACTAAAACAGCGAGTTCGAGAGTGACTCACAAACAGCAAAGATGTGCATGATTTTTCGGCCTCGGTATCCTTCATCTTCCCGCGTCCCAAGCCGCTCCGTCCGCGCCTGGCCCCAGCAGTCTACATCTAATATGGAGATGGACAGCCAAAAACATTTGCAACATTTCATATGCGACAGCGATGGCATGACGTCTATTCCAAGAATAAAATAGCTTTGATTGTCCATCAACAGCACATGCAGAACACAACCAATCACCAATGGGTTCTGGAGTAATTTAACTCGATGAATGGCTTGACGGGAGGTAGTGGCTTACAAGTATATGGACAGTACTTCATCTAGCCCATAATAACTGCTATCAATTATTTTGTCTTGGTCATGTTCAATTTCCCCCTTCCGCTTCCCCCCTGGAGTCGAACAAGGCTTCTCTATCAGGGATCTTTTCATTTACTTCGTCCAGGAGGCCATCTTTGGGACAACATGTTATGACAACCTGAAACAGATATGCATGCCAAAAGTGGTGTTGTCAGAGGCAGTGTTAAGAAGAACGTGGCGCGGTACAGGCCTTCCCCGCATGGAAAGAAACAGTATAATTCTTGAAACAATAATCTGGCACCAACGACGATGCTAAATGCCTCGAAGGAGTCAAGCAGTGCCTCCCTACGACGCCTAGCCAAATATGGATATTGTTTCACACCTTTAACACAAAAATAGCATCAACCGAATGCAGATGATCCAGCTTTATGCAAATTGTGAGCTTGCAAACAATTTCGCAAAACATAATTAAAAAAAAAAAAAAAAGAAAGAAAAAAAAAAGAAAGAGAGAGAGAGAGAGAGAGAGAGTGTGTGTGTGTGTGTGTGTGAGAGCAGAAATGCAGGGACACCAGCCTTCCCGAATACGATCAACCGCTGTCTTCAGAGCAGGAGGAGAGCATGAGGAGAACCCAGCTAATCAGGTTTGATGGAGTAATAATCCTTGCAGTTCGCTTCGAGAGTGGGGTTGAAACAAGTTTCTCGAATAAAAAAAATTCTGGAGAATTTATTGGTTTTTCGAAGTGTATTGTACCGCGAAAACGTGAAAGCATTTTCATAGTCAAAAGATCCCCTTCCTTCAGCTGCGTCTAATTCAAAACAGGGTACACAAAAGACTGCTCTTTTCTCATGATACCGATCAACATCACCACCAACCGTGTTTCGAAAGGCAAGTTCCTCATTCGGCTACGTTCCACAAAGGAACATTCCAGTGGGCCAGGCTGGCACGCTTTTTGCAACATAGATCTGGGAGCCATCCCAGGGAGCCATGTGGACCGCAGAATGATCCCTGGATCCCGTTACTTTCAATGTTGCACAGGAAAACAAACCTCTGATAGCAGATCACACGAAAGAATCGCTATCTGGCTCCCCTTCCAAAGAATAACATTGGACTTACTGCGCCTCCTCTATTTCTGTCCTCTAGTAATTGAAATTTTTTCTATTATCTTTTCCTCTTTCCGTTAAAGGCCGACGAAATCCGGGCAGTGTGCATAACGTTACCCTCATTCTGGTGGCGTGCGGCTGAGTTAAGACGATCTCTATGGGGATCTTGATCGATATGCATTCATTCTCTGGAACCAATGGTCTTTGGCCAAAACAAGGCTCCCGGTTAGAATGCTACCGGGCGGGAGTACCACGGGATGCACGAACATCTTCAAATATGACCCAAACGGCCTGACAACCAACCAGATACCGTTGGGTTGTCGCTAAATGTTGGGAAGTTCGTCGCATGAACAGCCAGCCGGGCTACTCTGATCTCTGTGCGGATTTGTCGCTTTGTTCGCGTGGGATAAGCCCGATAGCCACAACGACCTCATATTTATCATCATAGTGTCGCTAGAATACTATTCTACTCTCGAGACAAAATGATGCTTGACCGGCAGCTTACTCCAGATTTAACAAGTTGTTAGCAAATCTTTTTATTCGGACGGGAAAACATGGGGCCTCATTTGTGAAGTTCTCTGTTAGTGAAGCTCTCTGGAGGTCCATCGATATTTGCGATTCGACACAAAATTATATTTAGAGTGGAGGGTTTCCAAAATGGTATTCAGTTGAAAAGCGAACCAAGTCTAACTGCCCACGCGAAAACCCACCAACTGACCAGGAGAAATAAGGGTCACCAGTAAGAATCAATACCGACACAGACGTTGTCGGGATCAATGCAGCCGCAATAACTCTTGTGTTTCGGTACCCAAAAAGGGTTCCCCGGATCCATTGGTTGTCATCCTAGTCTGTTTTGGCAATGTCGTTATTATCCGATCGTTTCCCTTTTTACCTTGCGTGAAGGGAGAGTGACGGTATCTCTTTGGCAGTGCAGTTCTACTCGTGAGCGACCCATAGTATATCCTGGAGGGGGGAAGGGGGGGGGGGGGATGTTTCTTTCTATGCACTACGGCTAATCGGGAAAATAGAGGAGTCTACCAGGTTCAACGTTTGGGATGTTTTGACTCTGGTTGTTCTCGCGGAGAAATTGACCCAATAAGTTGTGGTATCCATTGAAAATATACTGTTATGCATTCTCCCTGGGAACAATCTAGTCCCCCACTTGGAAACAAATGAACCCAACTCCCCCACGCCTTGGCGTCTCTTACCAGCGCATGGATGTGCTTCTTAAGTATTATACATGTATATACACTTGCATTCCAGGGCGGCCTATGACGCAGGTTCATCCAATTTGGACCGTAACTTCATGATAATGAGATGATATAAATCACGCCCATAGGTGGCAAGGTTTTTCAGGTAAATTGTCATTGTGACCATTGAATGGTGGGAAGTATTGAAATCAACACAGCGCTGCCGCCATTGGACGGGATGGAACAGACGGACGGAATGCGGTGGGGAAGTATGGTCGTTGGAGTATCAACGTTAACGTCAAAGGGTACTCACGGATTAAATATCAATTCCGGTTAGCACGGAGGCAAAAGGAAAAGCAAGGATGGAAGTTGACACAAACCTGTTTGCGACTTTGCGAATCATTCTTGGATACGTCGTCGGTCCTTTGCTAGAGAGTACGTTTTGCCTTAGAGAAATCTTGAGAGTAGTATAGTTTGGGAGCGAGCTGTTGGGCCGAAGCTTCACCCACCAAAAAAACTAAAAACTAAAAAAATAAATATAAAATAAAAAGTAAAAGGATTAATTCTTTCAACAGAAAGGGTTAGCAACAACAAAAAAGCGGCTGGATGATACTGCAACGGGGTAAGGATTAAAAAATGTCGACACAGGCAGGATTCGAACCTACGAGCCCGAAGGCATGAGATGTCGAAGATGAAACTGCAATCGGGTGACCACAGCAAGTTCAAGTCTCACGTATTAACCACTCTACCACTGTGCCGTGGCTGTTGATAGGCCAGCACTAAATAAGATAGTTTATGGTGCCTCGGGCCGCCCAAAGCGCAAGGTCAAAAGATTTCACAACCCACAACCAAAAATCTGTCAAAAATTGCCCTTCTTTTGATTCTTAACTCCCAAAACTTCATCGTAACTAATTACTCCAGTCAACTTCATTACCACTTCGTCAAGGGTTTCTTCTGTGGTCACTGTTCTTGCAATGCCAGCAGCGGCTGCGTAGGTCGCATTATTTAGCCAGTACCATACATAAATTGAGATTTTTCCCCTACATTTTCTGTTTGGGCCGATGATGCGTCATGATGAACGCTCCCTCACAGCCAAATATTGTTTGATTCGAGGCTAACTGCACTCTAGGAATATTGAGAGGTTGTACTTCTAAGAACGGGGGCAACGCGCCGCCACGGCTCGAGCAGTTATCGGACATCCCACGGACCACGGACCTCCCCCCGATGTATTCCGGGTGACAGACATACAGTATGCATAGTTGGGTGATTTGTTTGAGCGATAGTGGTTTGAAGTTTTGTGGCACTGCTTCAAACCGGTGCTTAACTACCTATCTTTTCCCAGGGTTGTTTAATCAGAGAATTTGATTTAACTATTTAAGTGCCCTAATAAGCGAACGACGCAAATCGCAATGGGAATCAAAGTCTCCCTTGTCAGGTTCATGTCAAACCAAAAAAAAAAAAAAAAAGAAACAAAACAAAATAGAAAATACAAAGTGAAAGAGAAAGGAAAACAAATGAGAACAAAAAGGAGAGATAATAGGAGAGAGAAGCAGGGCTCAAAACAATTCGCTCCGAGCGAAGAGTCGACTGAATCCCAGGCATTTAGTTACAACATCACGAGAAATACATCTCCAATTTGTGAGCGTTTTGTGACAGAAAATAATCTCACAAGCTCGTAAAACTCGGATGTTGCCCATATTCTTGGCTTCATGATCCATCTCTTTCATACCATCCTTATCATAAGGGTCACTGAGACGGTTCCGCTAGTCAGCCACGTTAAAGAAATCTCCCCTGCGTCTTTTTTCTTCCATTTTTTTCTTTTTTAATTTTTCCATTTCATTTCATTTCATTTCTCTCTGTCTCCCTTCTTCAATTTTCAGTTTTGCATCCATGTATGCGGATAACATATATGTTGGCTCAATTATCGATCAGGATCGGCCTTCACCGAGCCAATGGTGGCCAGTTGCGACCATTCGGCCGCTACTCGGCTACGATGCAGGGGAACCAATGCTCAGCAGAGTCAGCAATCGACAAAACAGCTCGTGCAAGCAAATCGGAAAAGAGAATGGACAGAGCCGCTCTGCCATATTAAAACAGAGATAACCAGAAATGGGGTGAATCCCCGCCGCAGCAACAACGACTTCGTCCGGCGTTCGGTGATGTTTAGGTGAGTGAGCAAGGCAACCTTCAACGTAAAATAAATTTCCACAAAACAAAAGATGTATTTGCTTGCTTTCCAATAAACATGCAATGCACTGACTTCGCTTGCTGTTTATCTATGAGATGGGGCAGCTGAATTTAACATGCTTGTTAGTTCGAGGCTTTGCTCGCTGGGGGGTCTTCCCCCGGTCACAAGCACTAATTAAACATCATTTCTATCGATGGCGCTATCCAGGGCTCTGAAAAGATATGGTAAGAGACAGAAGAAGGGATTCACAACACAAAAGATATACATACCTATATTATGCATACTCCGTCCACTTGTTCCATGTTCGTATTAGCCGTCCCTCGCGTCCGCAGTCCTTGTCCCGGCTGCAGAAACGAGCCTTTGAATTCTTCGCGATAAACGAAGCCAGAGCAGAAGCTGAACTCTTAGCAACTCACTGCCACAAACCGGATAACTAACATATCAGCAAAAGTGGCATCACAAGACACGTCAGATTTTGTCTCTTAACCTTCATTCAATCTGTGTTACGGCAGAGAAATATCAACTCTGTCATTAACGGGCAGAGCGGAAAGGAGGTGACTGGCGAAACCATCATCCTAGACCCACGGAAACCGATGCAGGTCATTACTTCTCCTGGCGTGCATCAGCAGGGGCAAAAGATGTCTCAGGAAAGACAAGAAATTATTGAGGACTGGAATTATGCATCTGCTCCGCTTTTTAGTTCTATTTTCCCACGTGTGTGGTTTCTGTACAACAATCCATGGATGCAGCAGACCCCAATCCATGTGCATGCACAACGACCCAGTTGCATACATAACAGCAGTGCAATACAGAGACACCGATTGATTGTTTCACAGGCTTGAAACAAAAAGTCGAGGTCTCTCGCTTGTTTTTTCCTTTCTGAGTCTCTCTTTCTAATTTTATTTGCTTTCTGTGCATGCCTTCAATTTTTTTTTTTTTTTTTGATTGATTGTACAATGGCCATTATCGTCGCAGACCGGAGCGCTCTCAATTTCCGAGAGGGAGGGGAGCTCGCTGATCGATTTCGCGATCGAAATTAACTGAAGGTGGGCTGGGGCCAAAGGCAAGAATGGAAATAAAGCCCTAGTCCAGTATGCATGCTAATTTTACTCAAAAGATACTTCGCTGGTGGTGCAGTCAGAGGCCTTAACTCTGCACCTCACCCCATATTTACTATTGAATATCTACACCGAATACCTGATAAGATAACAAGAGGTGTTCCAGCGGGGGAAAAGCTAGGTGCTCCATTAGATAACGGATATTCCTCCATTTATTGGAGGTAAATGGGATACGGAGGCGGATTCCTGAGCGGGCCGCACGAACGAGGCATCTGGAATTTCCTGATCTAGAGATTTTTTTTTAATGAGGCTATATGGTGGGCTTCTGGGTTTCGCAGATATGAAATGCTTCCGTCTACCTATCTAAAAATAAACAATTGCTGATGGAGATGAAGGTACAGGACCGGGCTGAAATCAAGAAACATAGGGAAATAATTACGGAACTCTGCTGCCTAATTTGACCTCTCGTCAACATCACCAGGACAAAGGAAAAGGAAATATAGTCAAGTGGTAAATATCAAATATAATCAATGACAAAGGGACGGTCGATGCTAGGACAGCAGCAGAAAAAGATAATCCCTATTGGCTCTTCTCAAGTGCCCACATATCGGTGCCTTCCGCACGGATATGAAAACTGGATGCACAGGAACAATGTTGGAGAATATGCGGTGGGAAGGTTGTAAGTGTAAGACGTAAGAGGATAGGTATGTATATAAAACTAAACAATGTATACACGTTATCGCGATAGAAAAGAATGAGGTAGGGAAATCGAAAATCCCTTGGATGAAGTAGAATCATTCAAAACATAGGGGAAAAATATGGTTAAGAATGTAGCCAACTGGCTTGCGAAGAAATAAGAAAACTGAGAAAAATGCAGCTTAAACAAGTATCTTCAAACAGGAATGGATCTTTTAGCCGATGGGAGGATAGATAATCGCATTCACCTCTTCCTCAATCTATCCTATCCACGACTTTTCTCGCAACACCTGTTCTGGTGCCCTTTAACCAGGCTCTTCGCTGCACATTCGCGAATATTAGGGATAAACCTTAATATTTACTTCTCCCTCCTCGCTTTTCCAGCTGGTCAAACATAAGGCTCTAATTTCCCAGCTATTTTGCTCGTATCTAGCTGGATCTTTCCCGCACCTCTGCAGTTGCCAAAATATGCCAATAAAAAGCTTTAATTTGGCTTTCCAGATCTTTCGGTTATGATATGCGTTGTTCTTTCACGCCATAAATAAATGCGGAGGCGAAACAAAACATCAAACGAATAGATGTATTATTTTGCCACTTCTCCAAGTGTCTTCAGAAAACAAAACGAAAATACGACAGATCTTAGGAACGGAGACATGGTTACAGCTGTAGGTCAAGAGAGCATGGAGCCCAGTAAAACAGGGAAGAAGGTACCAATGCCAAACGAAGTAAAAAAATAAACGAAAATACCCTCAAACGTACGCATTTGGAAATAGAGTATATAGAGCTTTAAAAGTTGTTTTGGCAGCATTCCTTTAGAATGTGTTGGATGAAAACGAAACATTTAAATATTATCATACCATTCATTGCCATCAGGCGGTTTCTTGTGTATATGGGGTAATTTATTATCTCTTAACACATTATAAACATAAAATAAACAAAACTGCGTTTCGTATCAGACTTGGTATGCTGTTTGGAGTTTTCTAGAAACGGCCGGGGGAAGTGATGCCATAAAGGCGTTGAAGTCCGGAATCAAATCTTTATATCCTTGGAGGACCTATATGTGGAAACGTGTCAGACATAGAAACATAGAAATGCAATAATAGTCTAAAAAACTGAAACATGCGAGTCATTTGAGGAGTTCTTTACCTGTTGGAAAGATTGCTGCAAATCATGGAAGTGCGGCTGATTCAACGATTTATGCGGGAATATCGCGATAGCATGGAAATAATCCGAAAGACAACTTTCCATAGCTTTTGGATTTTGCCGGACGATTTGATTGAACCCAAAAAATGAGCTTGCCTTCTCACGCGTAAAGTCTATCTTCGCCATTGACCGGAGGAACATATCCGCGAATTCTCCTAAATGGGGAGCAAGCTGCTCGGGGCATCCGATCCCCAACCGGCCCAGTGCCATTGCGGCGTTCTCATTGACAGAATCGGGGACTTCTTCGTTGCTCACGATTGTAGTGAGTGCCTGGTAGAGATTTTCTAGGAATGGAGCCATGCCGGCTTTACTGGCAGCCGCAATTTCGCCACTAGCCCAGCAAGCATTGTTGATCACACGGAGAGCATTCTCTGACTCATCGTCTCTTATTGAGTTAAGATCAAGCTGTTTGATTAGAATGGGAACTATGGTATGGAGGACGGGTTCGACCGTAGGGAAAATATTGATAGCACAATCTCCAAGGAGGGCATAGGATGATATCCGCACTTCCCAATTGGAATCTTCCAGGCAGAAGCAAAGGAGCTCGAAGAGCGGTGGTTGCGATGTTCTCACAAGTTCTGAACTTTTCTGGGGTTCGATGGCCTGTATGATAGCACCAAGCATGTCTAGGCTTGTTACTAGAAAATCCTTATCTGGCTCATCGCCAGTGTTGTTATTAATGGCAGTGAGGTAATCCTGGATATTGGTGTATAAGATTTTAATACACCTGGTGAATATTGGAGGTGCAAACGGCGAGAAAGCATCGCCGTATGCGGCGGCAACGTAACCCAAGCATTCCAAAAGAGGGAAAAGCTCTCTCGACTGATCGGATAATTTGTTCCATCGTTTGATAAGTGCAGGCATGAGAATTTCCACCAATTCAGGTTTTGCCAGTTCAGACATTACATTTTCAGCTAAGGTTTGGACACAGTCGTAGAGCACGTACATGTTTCGATCTTTGTATTTCTCAAAACACAGAACGAATTGTCGTAATATCGGCTGGCAATAGGGCAGAAGGTTCATGTCCGATTTCATTTCTAGGCTTGTAAATGCCGATGCAGCTGCCTCCTGGACCTTCTTATTGTTGTCCAACATCCTGTGCAAAATTCCCTCCATCATCGGTTCGAAATAGACTGCCTTCTCAGCCTCAGGGAGGTGAGCAGCCCACTCTGAATATCTCCCCAGGCACCAGCAAGTAATTTTCCTGACGATTGGTTCGGGGTCAGAGAGGAGTGATATAAGGTAAGGGATGAGTTCTGGTAAATGAGGCGTAACGGTATCCATGCAACCATCTGCTATAGCCCCTAACGCTAGAACAGCTGCTTCTCGATTTGTCCACTGGGTATGCCGTAGGTTGTCCTTTAGATATGGCAGTATTATTTCGAAAACAGGCTGGTGATAAACGTTAGCAAAGACATCTAGTGCAGCGGCTGAGCATTTTCGTAATGTCCACTCTGCTTCAGGGTCATCGTCTCCAAACTCGTCATAATCATCTGCTATCTCTCCCTCGCTTAAATCATCATCGCCACCGACTCCTTCATTGGCAGGAGCATCACCGTTAGCTTTGCCGTCACCGCCGGCAGACTGTAACCGAGAACCTTTAGATTTGGCAAACTGAGGCTTCAGATCTTCTATCTTGTCTTCAGTTTCGGCGTCATCCTCTTCTCCAGCTAAAAGTATCGCGTCGTCTTCATCATATATCATACTGCGAAGTAAAACCGGTATAATTTTACCTAGGTATGGAACTATGGGTTCTTGTAGTTTTTTCTGTTCCCCAACAGCGAGCCAGAATTCCGCTGCATCCAAAGCCAATTCCGGGTCTTCAGGGTCATGCTGCTGCAAGAGTACATACTCGACCAGGCCTGCCATATGAGGAACAAGTTTATCAGGGGCAATATCGACAAGTTGAACAAATGACTGGCATACTGTCCGCCGAACATCTGTATTCGGATCGCTGGCAAGCTGGAAGACGTGATTGAGAAATGTATCTAGAGAGCCGATTAAAACATCGGACCTTTGAGAGAGGAACATGTGAATGGTTGAGAGAGCTGTAGCGCGGATTTTCGGGCTAGGATTGGATGTGCATTGCAATAACCTAGGTATAATAATATTTAATGGGCGCTGACCCTGGAAATCTTTGTCCAGGAGCTTTTTATTATCCTCGCAGACCTTCGCAAGGGCTGACATGGCTGCCTCTTGGGTTAAAATTGGTACTGATCCCGAGGAATTGCAGACCAAAGATAGGAGTTCGTCCAGTAGATTTGGCCATGCTAGTAGACCGCCTCGCGCAACAATCTCCGCAATTATGGACCCGGCTGAATTTCGAATCTGGGGGGATGGATCCTGAAGGACTGCAAGTGCTGAGGATCGAATATACGCCAGACTCTCTGGCGCAACTGTTCCGTATGCAATCTTAAGTTTCGTTTTCAGATTCAACGAGGCTGCAACTCGAATGACATTATATGTTTCGGGGCTAAAACCAATCTGAGGAGGGGGTTGGGGGGTGCTGAAAAGGTATGTGAGATAATTTGCAAAGTCCGGGGACGTTGTGGCTTGCACCAGCATCTGCGAAACAATCGCCATTAGCTAGCTACACCTGAGAGGAGCGAAGGGAGGAGAACAAATCCCTTTTTGATGCGAAAGTTTTGAAACGATGGGGCAAGGGGGTACAAACGTACCTGCTCAGCATGTTTTCGGACAGAGCTATCAGATCCATTGAGTGAATCGTTTAAGAACCCAGCCAGTTGCCTCAATGGCTCGTCCTGCGGTTGCCATGCCATAGTGATAGAAATCCGTAGAGAAATGCCCACCACAGAACTTTATCTAGAGTGCGGAGAGCTCTAGGTGAAGAATAAATATATCACGAAAGAGGACGCCCAACGATCAGGTTCCCGGCGACGCGCCCGTATCGCCAGTCAAGAATAGTCCGAACAACAATGCGACTCCTTCCACTGGGTTTCCGGGGGATTTAAGTCTTCGCTGATAACGGATGGGGTGGACTTCTAACTGCAAGACGGTTTTAGCAGGATGGCGGGGTGAAATTAGGCTTATTATTGGAGATGGGATTGAAATCTGCAGGGGGTGACAAGGTCGATGCGGAGGCCAACCTGGTAGATCAAAGACTTGATTTGCTACATGAGAAGTGCCGCAGCCCAAGGGGGGGGGGGAAAAAAAGAGAAGGAAAAGAAAAGAAGAGAAGAGAAAAGAGGAACGAGAGCGCAGGCAGGGTTGTTTGGCAGCAGTGAAATTTTGCGCCAGGATGGATCGTTTGCGGTGGTTTGATAACACGGGGTTGGGTTTTGGCGGTGGCAGTCGTCCCAAAAAGGCATTAACCCGATAAGAGAGGGCGGTGGCGGGCAGCAGAACGCTTGGACACAGAAACAGCAACATCCAAACTTCCGATGGATTATTTTGAATATAACAGTACAACTTGTCCCTGTCTTGCCAGCAGCGGTGAAGAATTGACTACAACAATTCATGTTGTCCCAAGAGAAAACGTGGCCTACATGAAATGCGTTGATCCAGTTAATTTTTCTTTGTGTGTTTGGCCCTGCTTTTTGGTCGCTTCAGGTACCTATACATATGACTCAAATCATGTCCACCGACGCATATAAGCCACACACGATTTGGGGCTGTAGAGATGCCCCACCTATGACCTATCTCCCTACCCTTGAAATAAACCGGGCTGTCTTGGACATAAGAATATACGGGGCGGTTCGGACAGGAAAAGAAATGATCAAACAGTCCATTTTTCGAGGTCGATATCTTAAGATATGCATGGATTGGATCGGGCATCTCCGCTGGTTTCTGGTAAAATAGACGATTACCTCGCTGACGTTGCATAGGTTGCTGAAGAACCAATTCCGACAATCTCTGGGAATGGTTGGTCGTCATAGTTAGTTATCCAAGCGATTGTTAGCAGTACATATGTGCGCATCACACACTAGGAATTTTTGCAACTTTGGTCGAAATCAAGCGAGACGAATATCCACCTTCATCTCGTTTCCAGAAGCGATCTTCTCTATCTCACCAAGGATCAGGGGCCAAGGGGGTCTTGACTGGATTCTTTTTTGCTTCTAGAACATATCAAATACGTCAAAACCTTCCCGAATTAGGGCCCCCCGGGAAGCAAGCCGACAAGGCTCCGTTGATGATGCTCGCTAGATCCGAATCCCCTAGCATTAAAACCAGGAGGTTATGACTTTCATCGATTCTGTGCTGCTGGAACTCAACGTCTTCCTCTCTACGTTCAGTTTGGCTTTCGCTGATTTTCTCTTTGTGGGCTATATTCGGTTGGTTGTCAATCCCATCCCCGTGAATTCACATATGAATGCACTCCCATATGCCTTATGCAAATCTTACAAGAAATATTTCAAACGCTTCTCTCCTAGTGGTTCACCCTTAATAAATAAGGATTCCTTTTACCCTTGGATCTTTTACATATTAGTTTCGGTCCCCAATGACTGGCGCGACAAAGGCACCCTTGGCTCACGGTTGTCCGACGGAAACAGTCCGACTGTGTAGATTACTAATATTTCAAAAGGCGCAAGACAAAGGGGGTAACCTCTTCAGTTTGGTATTCAGCTCTATGTGAGAGGGAAGTGGATGGCTATTCCTCTCTTCCCCATGAAGTTGTGATAACCTGAACACAGGAAGTTCCCATTCACATTACTCTGCCGCAAGCAGAAGCAAGCATTTTGGATGATGAAAAGTATGAACAAATGATCATAGCCGATTCAACGGCCGTTCCCTCCTCCGCAGCGTATATGTCTAAAAAAGAACATTCGAACGCTTATCACCTGGGTATCTTCATACGTAATGCATGAATGCTGTTCATCAACAACACAATCAAGGGAAAGAACAAAAGGAGAATATTACAAGGTGACAATAAAGGGATTCACTAGCCATCTTATGACGAGAACAAAAAGGACTTCAAGCCCAAACCAACTTCTTTATATCAAATACCAAGTGTTCCAAATACCCCGTACGCTTCTTCGCATCAGTCAACGAAATAATCTCCACTTCTTCAACCATCGACCGCGTATCGATATCTCCAGGACCGCCGCTGGCGTCACTACCTGGCTCAAACGCACTCCGGAGCGCAGTGTGTTCAATCTCTTCACAGATCGCACGTGCTGAATCCCTTACTTCAAGCTGCACATTGCCAACTGCATTTCTGGTGGTCAGGTTGGTTTGCGGGAGGATTTTGAACGCCATGAAGCGTGAGGAAGGGTGTTTACTGCCTGGTTTGAATAGAGAGGAGATATCCCAGTCCGGGCCTGGTGTTGAGGTTGGGCTTCGGGCAGGTGCTGGAGTTACTGCCGCTGTTGATGTTGAGATTGGGGTTTTATCGGCAGACAGCTCGGCTGACGATGATTGCTGGGATTTCTGCTGGATGAGGCTTTGGAGGGAACGTGTATTTACGCGCAGAATACTTTCTGCGCCGGACTTATACGTGATCACCACGCCCACGTTGTGCTTTGGGTCCATCTGGACGTCGATAAGGGTTGAGGTGATGTAGGTGCCATAGTTGATACTGGTAATGGAACGAAGATCAATGCGCTCAAAGGAGGTTACTTTGTCCGTGTCCCAGTCGAAGCGACAGCAGTAGACTGCCGCATTTGTCAGTAAGAGGACGGACTGTTCGAATGGTAGTGAGCGTAAAGTGTTCGGCTGATTGGGGCTGGAAACCGTCCACCCTCCCACCAGTTCCTCGGAGTCATCGCTAATGACGATCTGGCAGCTGGTGTCGATGGCATGTTGCCGTACTTTCTCGATGGATATTCCAGGGTCTGTGGACATTAGGTTCATCTCAAACTCATCGAAAACACGCGTTGTGACGATCCCGAGCAGGTAATCAATGCAAGATTGTGAGAAGTAATCATTGACTATATTGTTAAAGTAGCGTGACAGGGTTAACCCTAGGTCATTGAGCGCACCGCGAACATCTCGTTTCCTCGTTCTCGTGTAGTCGCCTTTCAGAGCAGCAGTTGAGGAGTACTGTTTGGATATTGCATCTCCATTATCGGCCCACAGAACATTGAACCACTGCGTAGATGTGCTGGTTCGCAGGTCGATAGAGTAACCCTCGTTTTCAAGCTGCTTCTCCAATGCTTGTTGGGCAAACGCACACTGAGTAACACCCGTGCGATCTAAACAGTCCATACAATTTGTCCTAACGATGCCAGCCTGACTTTTCAAAGTCGTGTGGTTTTGTATGACAGTACTGCCAAATCGATCTAGTGTTCCCGAAATGGAATCGACTAGGCGCTGGACGTTTTCAAATTTCATTCCACGGCACTCTGTGTGGAAGTCAAACCATGTGAACCCGATTCTGGGTGAGTCCGGATTGTCTCGTTTGTTATAAGTGTCCATGAAACGTTCGTACGTCTCTCCAATATTGGCCTCGACGCCATATTTGTCTAGTAGACATACGGCCTGAATTTCGCCATACCGCCTGCTAAGGTCGTGTAAATGCCTTTCAAAGGATTCTTGATTTGTTTCAGTGGAGTAGTGAAGAACAGGTATTGGCTTGAAATAATACGGAGATTGGGAGAAGTATAGCGGAATCGACCCGCGAACTTGCAGTAGAGAGTACACCTTGTCACAAGGATTCCACGATGGCCTAGACAATATTTGTTCTGTCTGAACAAAATTTGCTACATTGCCTTCGTCGTCTACTCCTCTTCGAAGATATCGAAGTCCTGGACGCTTAACTGACCGACGCGAAATCAAAGTGAGAAGAAACTTGTCATTTTCTTCTTCATTATCTGCTCTGGCTGCTTTAGGTGGATTCCGAAGAGTCTTGGATTCCCCTTCTAGAGGGACGGCAGCATCCGGAGCATCTGGAGCTTTTGCAGACTTCTTAACGGTAAATTCCTGTTGTCCCACGAACCCCTGAATCAGGGGAAGAACGAATGAATAATGTCCACTGTCAATGAAAGGGGTCATCAAGTTTCGATTCCAGAAATACTATAGCAAAAATCAATAAGAGTCGATAAACAGTGGAAAAGTAGCAAGGCTTCATACCATGGGGTCCGCTATTCTATGGAGGGGTACTGGGGACCTTTGAGGATCCGGGACCCCAAACTTTCTTGTGATGTCGCAATCGTAAGAAAAATAAAAATTTCGTGAACTGAACAGCATCTCCGTATAGCGCATAAACTTTGGCATTAGCTCGTAGGTTGCTGTTCCTGTTACCGGAGCATCAATTTCCTGCGGGGCAGAAGAGGCTTTCTGCCCGTTAGACGAGAGGTCATCGAGCTCCAAGATATCATTTTTGTTGTCCCCGCTCTTTCTTCCTTTAAACGAACCCACAGCGGCGGGGTCAATCATCCCTTCGAAGCCCACATCTTGAGACGGTCTATTCTCCCTTGGCCACTCATTCTTGGAAAACCAGCGGGACGCGAACCCGCCGTACAGACCTCGTTTCTTTATAACATCTTCAGCAATAGTGCTTCCACTCCTGGCGTTATGGTTTAGCGGAGGGAGTATTTCTTGCTCTGGGGATTCTGGAACCTCTACGTCACGGTCTTCGCTGCTACGACCAATGGAGAGATTTGTTTCGCTCCCTGATGATAAAGCGCCAATATCATCTTGTTTGTGGGTGGAGATATGGGTTTGGGCTTTCTTAATTGCTTTAGCTGCCTCCGCCTGAGACGAAAGTGGAAGGATAGCTACGCCTGTAATGACAAAAATAGGCTTCCCTAGGATCTGAGCTACCTGTTCGCACTGAGTGATGGATATTAGGAACGAGAACGAGGCGAGGGAGAGTAGGCCTAGGAACGGGAAAAAAGACGGTTAAATAAAATCACCAACAATCGATTCAATGCGGGATAGAATCGGGAGCTCACCAACAACGCCATGCGATTCTAGACAAGCGTCATCGGTGCTTGAGGGGGTTGGCGGGGAGTATATACGGCGAGTTTTGTATTCGATTTGCAGAGCGGAGGATCGATTGTTTCCAGGAGTACGCTGGTGAGAGTTTGCGTCGGGTTGAAGGATAAGCCCGTCCACAGCAGCAAAAATCAACAGCTTCCTCGCCAGTCGCGGCATTTTCTTGTCTCACTGCCAGGAAGGCCTGCGTTCTGGAACTTCTTCACTACATTGAGGTTTCCAAAGTTTCCATCAGTGTATTTAATTGTGAAGCCCGCTTTGAAGCCCGCTGAAGTAACCCTCTTCCAACTTATGTCACCGTGGTCACCCACTCGGCTTGAACTTCTGCCGAGTTCTGCTGATCATGCTATTTCGCTAAATAAATGGACTTTAAACTAAATTATAGGTAAGTATTTATATGATTTATTTTGGCTCTATTTGCAATAGTTAATATATACATCACTTTTATGAAAATATTTATTACAATACTGAGATATCTGTATCAGGGTAGCTAACTATAACAACGGGTGATTTGGGGGGTTAAAACTCCCCTCAGTAGGTTGTGTTAAATGTTAAGGTCATCATCCTCTTTAGCAGTCTAACCATCAACCCCTAATTAACTGACATTTAGAAATACTCATCTCGTCTCCAGCCACTCAAGAAATCCGAGAATTAACTATTCAAAAACTAGAGCCAGTTCACCAACAATGCTTTGGAAGGCCGCTCTCTTTGACCAAGGGTTTTTGAAACGGAGGACGGACCTTTCAATCTTGCTAGGCGTGATTCGAATTTACATTTTAGACCGTCTTGCTAGGAGCAGTAATATTTAATCAAACTTAAGACTACAAATTTCCAAAATCTTGCAAATGGTCTGATTCCTGCATTTGAAACTCCTCCGACGACTTCCGTCTGGTATACATTTCATTCAGGGTCGTTGTCGAACAGCGAAATAAAACTGAGCAATTCCAACAAATCAGCTGTTGCATCGTTGATAAAACTACAGCAATCCGTCCCACCCACAAATACAATCCAAAACGTATACCACTGGAGATGGTTCCCCCCGTCACGCCAGATGTCCCTGGACTGTTGCCTCAGACGTACGGCTGAAGTCCTATAAAGTGTGGTCCAAACACTGGGAAATCATCCTGAACCGAGTATATGTCTGGCAGCCGCAATAGGTTGTCGTGGTCAAGACTGGTTAGATGAAATATGTCTTCTGCCAGGGGCGATTTGTAGGGGAGAAGAAGGATAACAAACTGCGACACACCGAAGTTGAGCAAGGCATGATGAGTAGGGGGTCAACACCAGTTGTAGATTGGATGCGCACAGATGCTTCATCATCTCTTCCCCATGTTGTTCGTGATAGCTTCGCAGGAGGCTAGTATTTGTTCCGAATCGCGAAAGAAGAATTCTGCATTTCCGGCTCAGAACGTAGCCACAATTTCTTGTGTCAACTATACAAACGAAAGAAAGATATAGCAGTTGGGGGATAGTCTGTCTTCTCGGTTTTGTGCCTTTGCGAAAATCGGAATGTTGTTGAAATTGCCCAAGTTGAAACCCGCTTAGTTGTTAAACCCGCAAACAGCATGTTTGCCAGACATGCAAACTGAGCATTGACATCATCCTCATCATCCTCAACATCAAATAAACATCGAACCTGGGAGAACCGCAGCAAGAAGCAGCGCCAGGAAATATATATATACACATAGATCCCAAGCCCCTTTCTTGGATCGCACCGGTATAACCTACGGGATACCCAACAAGCAGTGGATTGACCGGGAAACCTCAATCACGGGGGAGCTTACTACGAATTATTACAGAAACCCGCAGCTGCAAGCATGGCGGACGAAGGTGGCTGGAGTACTATCGAGTCGGACGAGGTTTGTCTCTTCCGCTCCCTTACTTGGACCGGATCTGCTTCAATTGCTGTTGTGTCCAGAATCTCCACGATATATACTTAGCTATTAACCTGAGCATCTATGCTTTTAAAAACATGACTGAACGCACTGCTGAACTGCTGAACACAGGGTGTTTTCACCTCGTTGATAGAGAGCCTTGGGGTCAAGGATGTCCAATTCGAAGAGCTTATATCTCTCGATGCAGACACCATCCGGTCGTTAAGGTATAGTGCTCGCTCCTACCTATTAGACCCACCGCCAGAGGCAATCTGAACAATATACTAAATTCTCCCACCCCACAGCCCCGTATACGGCGTAATCTTCCTCTTCAAATGGGTTAGCGGCCAATCCCGCAACTCGGCTACGCCGCAAGACGGCACCTACGACCGTGACGCAACCGATGACGGCCTCTTCTTTGCAGCTCAAACTATCCAGAACGCCTGTGGCACGCAGGCCGTCCTATCCGTAATTCTCAACCAAGATTCCACGACCCAATCCTCACAAATGGGTATCGATATCGGGCCCGAGCTCCGCGATTTCAAGGACTTCACGACAGGATTCCCACCAGAGCTACGCGGGGAGGCTCTTAGCAATTCCACACGGATTCGCAACTCGCACAATGCCTTTGCGCGCGCTTCGCCGTTCGTCGACGAGACGTCCCGCCCATCTCTCTCCGAGGAGGATGCTGAGCTATACCATTTCATAGCATATACTCCATTTAAAGGTGTCTTGTATGAATTGGATGGATTGCAACCTTTCCCCATTAGCCATGGGCCGTGTGAGGAAGGGTCGTTTCCAGAAAAGGTTATTGAGGTGTTGCAGAGGAGGATTGCCAGGTACCCTGAGGGGGAGATTCGGTTTAATCTGATGGCAGTAGTGAAGGATCTTAGGGTGCGGGCGCAGGAGATAGGGGATGTAGAGATGTTGGAGAGGCAGAAGAGGAAAAGGAGGGCGTGGGCAAGCGAAAATGCGTTGAGGAGGTGTAATTTTATCGGGTTTATTGGGGAGGTGGCTAAGGGTGTTGTCGGGATGAAGATTAAAGAGGGGGAGGAGGCCTACGAGAAATGGGTTGAGGGCGCAAAGAAAGAGACACAGCGGAGGTTGGAATTGAGGAGGGCGAGAGGGGTGAGTGGGGGGGATCTGGAGTAGCGACGGAGGAAATTTTACGAACAACTAGGCGGGGTTAGTTAGCATGCTTTTATCCTTTGCCGGTTATGGTATAAATTCTCTTAATATGGCCATTTCTTTCGGGTATTTTCATTATGATTCCCCAGTTCGCTTTTGAAAGATCATCCATCAATGAGAATTCCAGGCAACTTATTCTGCGATGCGTCATCCTGCACCCAATTTCACAATCTGTTTCCTCCAATTGCATCTCATTCTTCTACTAGCCGGATCTTCAAATACAAGAACTTCTGTGCATGTGCTCCGTATGTATCGTCCATACGATATAATAGCCCATCAAGCAAAACGCAGGTGGATCGACAAATCAATCAACGACATAATCAGTCTCCAATGGTCAATTTAGCAAGCGCAATACCAAATACTCGTACCAAACTCTGCGGAAATCCACGGTATCGTAGCCAAAAAAAAAAAATAATAAAAAAACCACCATGCAGATTAAACAGGGAAAATTTTTAATAAAGAACGACCTTGGAACAAAAAAGGCAACCCACTTCCTGCTATGAGTGAAAGAAAGGTTAAGCTCTAAATATATTTTATTAAAACAGAAAACTCCAGAAACACCAGCAATGATGCAGGCAAAAGGACCAAACACGAACACAAATGAACAACGGAAACGATGGCGTATTTGAGCGCCCTAGTGCAATTTTCGAAGCAAATGCAGGCGGTGGATTCACCCGGGCTAGGGTGATAGCCGTAATTCTGTTGAAACTGTCACTTCCCACCAGCATTCGTAACCGTCCTCAAAACCCCAATTTCCATGCTTTCAAGTATGCAACTTTCAATACCCAATTACATGTCCCTTGATACGCTCGGCCATGTCAGTAGGCAACTCGCTCTCTTTTATAAGACCTAGCGACAACATATCCGCCCAGAAGAAGAGAGCCCGATCCTGTGCGTAAGCTAGGTAATCAAATTCTCCCGTGTGTTCGTCGGCTATCTCACTGAGGTGGTCGCTTCCGTCGTTTGATTCCGCGGTGCTTGTTTCCTCCATTTCGGCCATTGTTTCGGGCGCCTGTTTCTCTGTCGTTGTTGAAGCAGCAGAGGCGGAAGCTGCTGCTGCGAGAGCTTCTTCCATCCCAGTGATTTTGGCCTGGACGATCCCCCACGCCACCCACTGCGCAGAATTCGCCGCACGCCAGAGTAAGGTTTCGCGGAGGAGACTACGTATTTCTAGATCAAGAGCTTGATCGGCTCGATCGTTAACCTGTCGCGAAGATGGTTGGATAGGCGAATCCTGACTGTCAAGCATAAAGGGAGACAAGCGGGGGCTGTTGGAATGTGTAGCATAGACTGGAGTCCCCACAGCGCTCGATGAGGTACTTGTATCCGGAACTGAAGTGGGTGCGGACTGGGTATCACGTCTTTCCGTCGATTGTATGATGTGTGGTCGATGATTGAGATATGCTCTAACGAATCGTTCCTGCTCTTCAGGGGTGGGGTACCACTTTGTATTGCATGCCCATGGCCGGTCTGGATCGTGGTAGTTATAGCACCATTCCGTCTAGCGTAGTTATTTAGCTGACGAAAAATTACTGCTGACAGTGAAACCTATCAATGGAGGAATCAACTTACAAAGTGGTTGCAGAACTCCAGACCGCGAGTGTTGGCTGACGCATACTCAAAGTCGATGACTACAAGCTGCTTATGCTCGTTCGGAGGTAGCAGAAGAGGAGATTCTCCGCTTGGCTCAAGGCGGAGAAGGTTGCCATATTGCGTCTAGTAGAATATCAGTGTTTGCGACTCGCGAGAAACCATTGGTAAGACATAGACAGACAGTACTTACGTCATTGTGAGCAAATATAAGCTGTTGATTAATTGCAGCTGCTCCGCCGTAGAAATTTACCAGCCACTTCCGATAAGCGTCAACTGCCATCCGGAACTTTGGCCATGGCAAACCGCACACAAAGCCTTGTCGCCGCCAGCACTCTGTTTCAGACTTGGACTGATTATGCGAAGACATAATTTCGCGATCCAACCACGATGCCACCTGTTTGCATCTCTCAACCCATTTATCCCAGTTCTTCCATATAGACGGACCCCCCTCTATCTCTTCGGGCAACAGTTCAATGCCATCATGCAGCTCCCGCATTCGTTTGGCAATTTGTTTAGAGGTCTCCGGGTTTCGAATGTCCTTTGGCGTGAGAGTTCTGGCATGAAAATACTGTTCGAAACGGCCATTGTTAAACGACCCCAGTACACGGGGTCCGATATTCCGTTTTGCCAGACGCCGCAGAATTTGGAGTTCATTCTTTCGATCAATCAAATGTTCCACTTGCGGCCCGTAGATGCGCAATAAGAGTTGCCTGGTAAGTAGTGTTAACTCATGTAATGGACCCCGGACTTCTGAATGGCATAAACTTACGGAGGAGGACGCTTAGGCGCAAGTGAAGAAGTACTAGGTGAGTTTTGCGGTGGAGAGACAACATATACGGCATTTGTTAGTGCTCCACTAAGGCGAACAACCTCAATATTACGAGAGTCTTCGATAGGGACTCGTCTCCAGCCCCTTAAGCCCAGCGTATGCGTCAGGCGTACGATTTCATATTTGAATCTTATCCAATGTTCTTTGTCCTTAGAAGCGGGTTTATTTAAGCCCTGGTTCCCGAAATCACTGTCCGCTTCACCTCCGCCGTATAAAAGAGTTTTGGAGTTGTCAAGGGCAACATTAGCATTGGGCACAGCTTGATCAGCATCCGAGTAATTAGAATCGGATATAGAACCCCGCCTTAGGCTTCTTGTACTAGTTCGACGCCTGAGAGAGATTGACGATCTCTTCCGGCGGATTACAGTACTTGGAATACCTTCCTTCCCACTAACCGGATATTGTGCTAAAATCTGCTCTAGTTTTTCCAAAGCCAATGTTCCATCCGAGCATTGGGAATCACTTCTCTGCCGAGTTGCCGCATGGGTAGCGTCTCCAGAGGCCATAGCCGGCACGGGGGATTCTGTGGCACCAGTCTTCTTCATCCTCCGCACTGAAGACTTGGCTTTCTCTTGTTGCAACCAGTCACGGACTTGTGCGAGCAAAGTTAGCTGAGCATGGGAGCTTTCCTCAACATTGCGACCCTGCATTTCGGGGTCACTCTCATCTTGAATGACTGATTCAAATTTGAAGCTCTGGATTTGAGTGCTTAGCGAGCCCAGTGAAGCCATAGAAGGGGGAGAAGAGTGGGGCGCTGGCCGTGCTGTTACTCTCCTTCCTGTGCTAGCACGATGTTGCTTGATTGGCCGACTTTCCACGCCAGGTCGACCAGGCAAGTCTCCAGTCGTTGGTTGACATTGTGGGCTAGTGGTATCTGTCCTTGGGCCCATATTTCCTGCCGTTTTCTGTTAGTAAATCTATGTTATAGAAGTATTGGTTTGATTTCGGGTAAAAGCACTCGCAACTGAAGAGATGCATATATGATGAAAGAGGATAGTTCAGAAATGTGTATATGACGCCAAAGTACTAAACCATGATATATTTAGTTCTCCTATTCTCTTGTAGAATTCAGAGAGTCCAACCAAAAGGAACGCACATTCCGACCCACCAGGAGTCGGGGCCGGCCTCAAGTCATCAAACTCAACAGGTTTCATTTTACAGAAGGGTAGTACAAAAAAAAAATGCAACAATACAAGTCTTCTCAAACAGATAAAAAAAAATAACCAACTCCTGTACTCAAATACTAAAACAAACCACCCAACCGCATAGAACACTGCAGCAAAATTAGAATCCAACTTACTAGAAACGCCATTTTGCGGTTCCACGGGTTCTTTGGAACCGACGGAGGTATTAACGACCACGTCCTCCATATTGGAGGGCATTATCACAGCAAGCTGCTTTTCGACGGGTGTGATGGGTGAACCTCAGCCTAGTGCATAGGGATGAAAAAGGTAGAAGAGCAGAAAAGAAAATAAAGGCATCAAATCTGCTTATATTCTAGAGGGAATAGCGGCGTAGGATTCGTTTCTACCCCCCCACCCTTTTTTTTCCAGTTTCGTTCTAGGATTCACTCTGTGTATGGATGAGCTCATTTGCCCATTTGCATGGAGAGATGGAGCGAACGAAACTGTAATATCAGTGAGGGCATGTTGGGGAAGAGGCGGCGGTAACGTTATTGTGGTCTCTATCGAAATCAAACAGGGAACTTCCGATGGCAATGATTGATGCGCCCATAGAGAGAACCGGATGACTTGACATGCGATGGCAGCTGTCGGAGAGCGAGATGAAAATGTAGAGAGAGCTCAGGTCCAAGTTATATACATATGTTCTATAATGCACGAGAGTGGTACCTGAGCAGAGGCATCACCATCAACAAAAAGAAGAAATAACAATATTTTTTTTTTTGCCCCCGAGGTTCGAAGTGTGCAGTCCCGGTCTAGCCAAACACAGAAGCGATCATCACCTGATGCTGACTCAGCAGAGCATATCGCTACCCTTTTTCATAACAGATCAACTAACAACAAAAATATTTTGTATTTGGAACGGTTGAAAATGGATGAAAGACAATTAACCAGTTTTTTCTCAATGTTGATATAAAAGATAAATAAATAAGTAAATGATGATGTATGCTAACTGGGTTAGGGGGAAAACATGCTTTGCAAACCCCTGGTAATTAAGCTTTTACCTACATTTCCCGCCTCAACTTTTTTTCAATCTTCGGATGGAGCTTAGCTCAACCTCAGCACGGGAGCATCCCAGGCAGGTCTGGCGTACTCGCCCATGACCCGACCCACTCAGTCCTCCAAGAATCAACATCGGAGAATATTCTAGGTCTTCCCTGCTCCGCCTTTACGAGATTGCCCTGCAGCAAGCTCCCGCATCCATGGATCTTGTGCATCTACACGGGAGAGCTAAGCTTGCTCATTCACCCCGCAGCAGAATTAGGCTAAGGAACAAATGCAGATAGGTAAAAGCCTCTTATTAACAATTATCAATTTCTCCCCATCGAACACCAGATACTATTTAGCCAATTTAATGAAAGGAATTAATAAAGACCAAGCTTCATGCAAACAGACGGACGCAATAAAAGAATACAATATGCAATATAAAACAACGGGGCCAGGAAAGAGAAAAACACAAAACAAGATACAGAAAGGATAACACCCTCTCCAGTCACAACGATATTCCTCCTATAGGCTATGGCACCATTACCAAACAATCCGCAGCATGCTCGATAGGCCACGTCCCAATCGAGCGCGGTAGATAATACCACCAACGCGGCAGACACCCTGCCGTATCAGACGGGTTCAGCGCCTTTACATACTCCCAGTGTTCCGGATAAACACCACCCCTTTGCCAGTTGACAAGACAAGTCACTCGCCACTCGCGGTGTGCGGCAATTTCGACTTCAGCACGGGTAGCATTTCCAGCTACCACTTGGTAGAGGTTCGGATTATTGCCACCAATAGGCATGCCAGCTTGAGGGACCGGGCTTATGATGATATTCCGGGGATGGAGGTTGCCATACGTCATAACCATGTTGTGATCTTCCCGAAGATGGCCTTTGAGTTGCGTACTCCATGCATTTCTTTGGGGAAGGTGACTAGTGACAAATTTATTGAAGTCCACCTCGTTATAAAGAGGTTGCAATGCGAGATATGTGTACCCTCGCGAATCCCTGCAGCGACGTGGAGAACCGCCGCCAAGAGTGGCTTGGCGTTGTGAGAACGGACGGGGAGGCTCGACAGATCTGAGGGCCCTGAAAATTCCTTCTAGTTGATCCCTGATTGAGACCTTCTGCTCATGGTCAAGCCGGCTCCAGAGGTCACCTAGTGTATATCCGGTACAATAATTCGACATGAATAGGAAACCCCACTCCATGTTCATATCCACTGCCCTGAGACTACCGTGGATTTTCGGCAGTGGAACTTGGGGAGCATTTGCCGCGATATATCGCAGCATCTCAATGTCATCGAGCATATCATACTGGCCAATTTTCACAACAAACATGTCGCTAAGGTTCACCAATATCGTTCGGTCCTCCACGCCAAAAAGTTTCCCCTCTGCAATCGCCGCATTTAATCCCTCGATAATGTCACTCAATGGGAGATTTCTTTGCCGTTGCTTCTCAGAGGTCAGGTACGTTCTAGCGAGAACCTTCAAGTCCGGGCTCAAATATCCCATTTGCACAGCGTTTGGCAGAATCCAGTGTTTGTCCAGATGCACATTATTCGGCAACTGTATTCTACGGCGATCAGGAAGGCCGAGCGCTCCAGAGGCCGAGAAGATGGTGGCCAGCCTCGCAACAGCAGAGTCTGCAATCATCCCCACGTCCATGGGACGGACTTGGGGATCTCTGAGCAGATCATTCAAAAGAACATGAATCATCTGGTGTATGCGGATCATAGTGAAATGCGGAATATACCGTACCCTGTGGTCAGTATTATTGTTTCCCTCTCGGTTTTCGTCATTCTGGTTCGTTGCTATTAGTGGGTTGGGTATTACCGGTGGCGGCAGAGGTGCTATCCCTAGTGAAGTTGATTGTTGCGCAGCATTAGGTACCAACTGTACATTCGATCGCGACTGTGGACGTGATCTCGGATGTGACGGGGATGCAACGGGTTGGGATACAGACTGATTTCCTGGCTCCAGGGCTGCAGGGTGTCGACGGGTTCGACGGGTTCGACGGGGCTGGGCAACAGGCTGAATTGTTAGCCCAGGGGGTCGACGGGGTTGACGAGATCGGGGGGGTTGTGGAGGTTCCCTATAGGGAATTGGCGGAGGAGGCGCCATTATTTCTACTATATAATTCGCTAGAATATAAACGCGATGGAACAGAAAGCTAAGAGCGTCATCCGCGGTTAACACAACGTCCCTCCTCCATCAAATCCCAAATCCCGCTTCAACGGTTGATACATACCTAACAAAAGCATGAAATCCAATTAACCAAAGAAACACCCCCCAACCCGAAACCTGGAACAACGAAACACGAAACCAAAATCTGAAAGAGAATGTCCTAGAACAATATCCAAATCCAAACAATATCTTTCCCCCCAAACCCAAACCAAAAACAAAAATATAAAAATAAAATAAGAGGTCAAAAATTCACAAATTCAAAAATTCAAAAACTTCAAATCCCAGCCAACACCCACCGCCCAAAAACCCCAATCACACAATAAACAAGCAGCAAAATAACCACCCACACACAAACGAGCGAAAAGCAACGGTACACCCCGTTCCCGTTCAAGTGTCGATGAAGGCGCAAGATCCGGCTCGGGTACAGTTGGCGGAGCCGAAGCTGAAGCAGCGGACACCAGCAGCGGCGAGGACGAAACTTGCCTTGACGGAGCTGTAGTTGGTTACTGGTATCGGTATCTGTACCGGCAGCGGCATGGACATCGACTGCGCCATACTCTACGTCCATTTGGGCACATTTGGGGTGTCTTTTTCTGTCCTTTTTTGGCGTTGCGGGTGTGGTGGGTGGGATTGAGGTTGTTGTTGGGGGTGGGGTTATGCTGGCAACGAGTGTCCTTGGAGGGCTGGAGGCGGAAATGAAGGGGATTGAAAGGGGAAAGGGGGGGGATGGTGGGGTTTTATATGTAGTGCGTTTGGGTTGTGTTTGTGTATGTTGTGTGGGATTGGGAAGGTGCAGAACAATTGCATCCCGGGAGGAAGGAGACTTGTTCCGGGGGTGTGTGTATACGTGGAAGGAACGGAACAGACGATACCAGATCCACAAGGGGAAAGAGCTAAGTAAAATATAGGCATCCAACTTAGTATTACATTCTACAGACTACGGATCATTCATTTGACTTCCCCTTTTTTGTGCAAAAAAGGGTTAAAAAGCGAAGCAATCCTGTCAACAGGAAACGGTATCCATATCCATGTCATAAACCGTATCTCATCTCATGAAAATCTATATATCAATGCAATTATTGTCTCGGTAGACAAACAGAAAAGAGGCTCCTTCCAAGGCTCCTCTTCATTTTATTTTTTTTTTTTTTTCCCGGGCCCGAACACCTATTTCAAATCCAATGCAATGACCAAATTTCTTATGCGGCATAGGGTACAGAAAGCCAAGTTAACAAGAAATAGAGAATCCCGAAGAAAAGAAGGTGAACACCACACATGGAAAATAACTGGGAAATAATATGAAGAAGAAAAAAGAAAGAAAAATTAAGTAAAAAAGGGTGAAAGAAAATAAATATGAAAATCACTCGCCAAACGACATATGATGATGGATGCACGAAACAGCTCAACGTAAGAAGAATTAGAGGTCAAAAATAAAAATAAAATTAAAAATAAAAAATAAAAATAAAAAGAGGGGTTAATCAAAATCATGGCTTAAAATCCCAAATAACGAACAAATGTAGAGCGGAGGGGAGTGCTCGATTAATTGATTCGTTTAAGAAATACAACAAATACATAATGATCCCCATCACGACGCTGTAGCCCACCTAACAACCTCCAACGCGAGCATAACAAGCACAAGCGTTGACGGCAGAATCCACACAACATAGCTCTGAAACAACAACCGCGCCATCACCGGCATGTACACGTTATTCAGCTGGCATATCTGCGCCAGCTGCAGCGCGGACGGTGCCCCCGTTAGCAGGAAACAGACGACGATAAAGATCGGGTCATCCAGGATGCTCACTGGGATGTATTTGGCGGCCAGCGCGAGGAGCGGGGACATGAAGAGGGTTGGCAGGAGCATGCGGGAGAGGAGGGAAGCGATGATCAGGTTTCGCTCTTCCTTAGGGTGCTGGGGTTCATCGGGAAAGGAATCCAGATCACAGTCCAGCTTTGATGAGGCGGGTAAGGTGTTCCGTGCCAGGTTGGCGCCCAACACGACGAGGATGAGAGGCACAGCGACACCGCCGCTCTGCTCTACGGCGCGGGTTACGGAGTTGCTGAGAAAGGTGCCGCGGGTGAACAAGAGGCGTTGGAGGGAGGGGATAGAGGCGACGAGAATGGCGAAGAGCATGGCCCAGAGCGGTGGGTTCATGAAGTGCCATATGCCGATGAGGAAGCGCGTGAGGGCGTGGGAGAGGGTGCGGAGGAACTTTTGAAAGGGGAGAGGCAGGGAGTGAAACGCTCTTTGGGAGAGGGTTTTGGTGGTGTTATGGAGGTGGCAGAGGGCTGAGAGGAAGGGGGAGTCGAGTTTGTGGTGCCAGGGGTGCAATGGTTTGGGTTGAAGTTGGTGGAAGGGGAAGAGAGGCCGGCAAGGATCGGAATCGGAATTGAGTTGTTCGATTTCAACGTCTGAGTCGTCCATTGCGGCTGCTAGTTTTGAGTAGGAGTACTGTCGGGTGATGATGGGGGTTGCACCTCCAGACTCGAACTGCGTTACATCCCCCGAACTCGACGGTGCGCTGGACGTGGCTTGTCCATAATCATCATCACCACCATCACCACCACCACCATGAACGTCAACAACGTCACTCGTGTCGATAAGCGCTTGATCTGGTTCATCTGTATATATCTCCACCGTATTCACACGCTCCTCCTCGTCCCGATAGTACGTCTCTGGTGGCGCTAAAAGGACGCGATAACCCCAGCTCCAGCGCAGAAGCTGTCCCAGTTGCTGGAAGATGAGAAGGTAAAGGATACCGCGTGCGGCGACCTCATTGTCGTTATCGTTGGGGATGCGGTCCCAATGAAGGCCTTTGATAGTTTGGGAGAGGGAGAGGACAAGGGAGATGGGAAGGGAGTTGGAATTCCCGAAGACCTGTATAAGAGTTAGTATCTCCTTTTGAATTATGAAGTATATATTGATATTGGGCAGGCAGATGCATACCCCCATAGCAACAACGAAGTTTGACTGGCGCTTTTTGAAGCGGAAGACGCGGGAGACGATGACGGAACAAAGGTACGAGATTAAGGTTTGGATGACAAAAATGAAGGGGATGATGGCGAGGTCGGTAAGCTTGTCTGCGGTGAGTTGGGATGCGAGTTTCGTGAAGACTGTCTTTGTAATTAGCATGACATATATAAATAGATAGATCGATAGATAGATAGATAGATGCATGTATATGGATTGACGGATGGAAACCATGTGCAAGAGAACACATACCAAGACATGGGGTAAACAGAATAATATTGAGATTCGCAACGAATTTCTGGGCGTTAGCATCGAACATGCCCATGCGGGCGACGATGTATCCCGGCAGACTGACGCAGACCACCTCTAGGACAGCCTCGAAGACCAGCAAGGCCAAGTTTGGGAGAGGGGGTTGGGCGCCACGGGAGGTTGGAGATGGCGGCAGGGCAGCAGCAGCAGCAGCACCAGACACAAAGGGCGAGGAGGTATTATTATTGAAAGAGAGGGTGGCGGCATAGCTGCTGAGCGGGGTATTGGCGTTCAGAAAGGATTTTGGGAGGGTGAAAGACATTATGCAGCTGGTCGGAGGGGGAGATCGGGGGGAGGGAGGTAAAGATGGAGGTTGTGGAGAGAGAGTGTGTGAGAGAGTGAGAGTGAAATGTTGGGTGTGTGTCAGCAAGCAGTGGGAGCAGGCAGACAAACAGGGAAGGCAAGGGAGAGCAGGCCAACCCAACACCACGTCAACCCGCTCAGGCCGAGGACAGCGGGCGGGAGGCAGGGATAGGACGGCTATGTTTATATGTATGCAAGCCTGGATACGATGAAAGCGATGGTTGAAGAGAAAATAACAGACGACGAACGGGCAAAAGAAAGAGAAAGAGAGAAAGAAAAGGAAGACGAGAGAAAATAAGTAAGGTTCACTCCAATATGAGTAATCGTAGTTTGGGTGTGTTGCTCTGGCGAGCAGGTTTTCTTGGTTTCCCGGGAGGCCTTTTCAAGGGCTGTTTCAAGCTATAATGCAATTCCGTGGGAACTAAGTGTCGCCAGAGTGGGACAGGGAATCTTATATACCAGATGGCAACACACGGCGACAAGTTGGAGGAGAAGAGAGGAGGTAGGGAGATCTCTCCGCCATTGTTACGATCTGGATATTTATATCTGATATTGAGGGATTGGTTGACAGCCGGGACGGGCGTGGGCGGGGGGGGGAGCCAGAGCAACACGGGAGCGAATATTAGGCTGTGGTTGGCTGGAAGAACCCGGTTCGGGTGCCAGAATTTAAGGTTCCTTATTTACTACTTGAGTGGATAGATGCCTTGGGGCGGGTTCTTGGCAGGAGGCAACCACCACTTTACGGTTCCCTCCGTGGGTGGGGATACCCTCATACAAAGGATGAGTATATACATAAGTATATATATATATATATATATATATAGATAGATAGATAGATAGATAGATAGATAGATATAGATATAGGATATGAAGGGTCAACAGTTGTGAAGGTATTGTAAGAGATATTAGTTGCTGATCCCCTGCTTCAGTCTTCAGGATATTCCATTTAATTACCATTATTATTTTACAGCCGACAAAAGCTTTGAAGCTCATACCTCGGGAGGAGACAGATATACTCCCAACTGGGTATCCTATCTTGCCTTCAAGAGGGACACGGACGCGGACACGGACCAGGCGGGAGAGATCCAGGGACAGGCCAAAGAGAGGAGATGCGTGTATCTATAAAAATAGATACGCGCTTCCTTATTAATTGTTGCCTCTTTGTTTGCGTCTATCTTCAGTTCCAGCTCTCCGCCAAGTTTAGTTATTTGATCGACAGCTAGACTGGGAGCACTGACAGCGGCAGGGTTGGGGCTAAGACGACGCCCTACTGTACGTTCTTAAATGATAGCCTAATTATTTAAAGTTCTCAGGACGAATCCCTTGGCCTGGATAGGGCGATCTGGGAAATCTCATGGACGATACGTTAGACTTTCACCCGGAGGAATGATAGTACTATCTGTATGGGTGAGAGAATATTCTGCACATAATCAGGAAAAACAACAACGAAAAGGAGTTGGTCATCTCTAAAAAGCTGAATGAAGACAAAATTGATTTTGATGAGTAAAAGAGAGAAAGATTTTTTGTTTTAACTATCTCTCCCTGTCAGCAGCAGCTCATGCATTGAGTTTTGGTGCTCTTTCAAGGTTTTTTTGTAGCGGCTCAGCCAGCCGATAACAAGAACATTGACTCAGCGTACTTCATATGAAGAGAGAGAAAGAGAGAGAATGTTGCATTTTGATTTATTTTATTCAGTTAAATGTTGATTTTGATTTGCGATATTGAAAGACGAGGTGAGTTGCTTTTTACTTGCAGACTTCGTTGTTGACAATGATCGACTGGCAGAGTAGAATCAACATTTGTTTTCTCTCAACATCTTTGTCTGACGATATAGCTAAAAACATCCCAAAGAGATATTAAGTCAAAACTGCAACTAGACCATGTTCAGCAAATAGTTACCTAGAATGCTTCCTTTTTTTTTTTTAATAATGAACATTGTCTGGCATGAACGTAGATGTAAAAATAGGTAATGCATCTCTAAATTGTAACTAAAATCTTTAACTAGCCGTAGTGGCCTCGAATTTCAGCGACGATAACAATTTACATCACTGTTATTTAGCTGCCTAAAATCTTCTTTTAATTAAAAAATATTTTTTTCCAATATTGACCTGTAGGTTTCTCCATGTACTGCTCAACTTCGGGGAATGAATAACTATCGTATCCAAGGCGGTGTGGATATCTGATCATGTCCTCCGGGAGCCCACCAACATTTCTGGCAATTTCTACTTCGATAAACAGTTAACTACCAGAGATGTCTTCACTCATACGTAATCCTGCATGCCGCGTTGGCGATCAATTATGGAGCCCTTTTCTCGCTCTCTCTTCTTCTTTCTTCCCTCCTAAACTGCCAGGATTCTGACATCACCCGTTTCACTAACTTTGCAAACATCACATGGCAATCTGCGAATTATTTTATAATTCTTCTTATTATTTATATTACATATAACTTGTTTAGTTATTTTAATTATTATATTATTATTTCTAATTTATTCTTATTGGATAGATTTATTACTTAAACTAGGTAATTATTATACTGTTAGATATTTTAATTATGGATTTAAGAAGATAGTTATTATATTAATGTAATAAGTAAAAATTTCCAGCTTTAGACCAATATATAAATCAGTAATAACATGGTTATAATGAATAGTTAAATAAAATATTTAGATAAAGGATATAAATAACTTGATAAATTCCTATTAAGAAATCTTGTTAAATCTTGCTCTTCTAATTATTTTATTAATAATGTATATCTTGTTATTTAGTTAGTAAATATATAACAGAGCTAACTATATCACTTAACTATTAATAAGTAATTATTATAGTAATAATGTATAATTTCCTGTTCACTTCGACGCAATGCCTTGGCTTTTCTAACTAATTGGTGGGTACTCGGATAAAAAAAAAAAATCCCGCTGTCAATCTTCTTGGCTTGCGCGTTGGAAGTGGGGAAAGTTGGGCAGTTGGACGTATGTCAGGAGCTGTATATTGTTTAAGGCTTGTTTGCCTTCGGGCTCGGATATTGACAGTTGGTTCAAAACGGTTTATATTGCCGTTGAGGCGCGGAGTGAGGTTGCCAACAAACAAAACTTGTTTGTTCTCTTTGTAGTATCCACATATTATTCCCACCTCTGAGGAAGATATCAAGACATGGATAACTAACAGAACCTCCGTAGAAATGTCGTGTCGATTGATCTCATGTATTGCAGGTGTTATCTTTTTATCCGTTTCGTAGGAAGTTGAATTAAAATCAAAAAAGAAAGCAAGAGACAAGAGGAAGAACAGAACTTCTCTCTTACTCGGATTTTCACGAACAAGTCACGTGAGGAAGGCAAAGAAAACCTGGATCTCACCAAGTTTCCACGATGGAGATAAGGAAAACAAATAACCTTCAATAATTCCCACAAGTTACCATAATCTCTCCTCTTCTTTCAAATTCTAGATTCACAATAAGCTGTACGGAACAACCACAGTAGCTTATTCTTTCAATGCTCTCAAGGGTACAATTTCCCCCGTTGAAGGTTCGCATTCCCACACTTTGGACGAATTACGAAAAGCACAAAGAATAAAAATAAGTCAATGTGAGCGGGCATCAAAACATCTGTTCGGGAAGTCGTACTATTCCTCCCCTAGCACCGCCACCCTGGGCGGGGGGGGTTAAGTCCTTGAACCACCATATCTTCCAACCTTCTTTTCTTCTTAGTTGCACACAAGTTAACTAACTTTTGGCTCCGGAGAAAAACGCCACAGACAAAGTTCAGCGTATCCGAACAAAACAAACTGTTGCGATTTCCCACTTCACTCGAAACGTTCGCAATCTTGGATATCTTGGCCCAAGGTTAGGCTCGACAGGCACGGGCCCCCAATCAAGCGTTCCCAACCAGGCCCATATTGGGTTCCAACCAAACTCTCTGCTGAAACCGCCATTCATTGTAGATAGCGTCGTATATATATATATATATATATATAAAAGAAATTCACAACACAACCCAAGAGATCGTATGCAAAATCAATCAACCATTATCCAGCCGGCAGCCTTGGTTTGGGGGTGTGTTGGGTCTTAAAACACTGAAATAATACATTGGAGGGCAGGGTCGGAATTCTTCTATGACAACTAAATGCTCGATTTTGTCGATGGAGTTTTATTTATAATATTTTTATCTTATTAGTTATTTTATAAATATATATATATTTTACAGGATTTACTTATCATCAAATGACACAACTAGGCAATGGTCTGAATGAACGGGCGTATGAGCGGATGCGAGCGGGATTACCGGAAGGCTAACTGACTAACTGGTTAAGTTATCAAATCGCATGATCAAGAAAATGCTGTGCTAGGTCGCCGGCCGGGTATTGCAAAAGTCCATGGGCCACTGGCTGGGAGGGGGGAGAGGAGATGAGTCAACTCGTTGTATTCTGCATGGAGAAGAGACTTGCTTCACTGCAATATGGAGTTGGAAGAGACTTGGAGACGCGTCCATTTTTATTTTATTTTATTTTCTATTTTATTATCATGATTTGAATTCCGACTTCCGAGACCGCTTTATTCGTCTTTGAGACAGAAGATATACGCGACTGAGTCATTGAGCTGAAATGAAATCAGTTTCTTTTGAGCTACTTTATCTCTCTGAATTTCAGCTAAACTAAGAACTGAAAAGCTGTGGATCATTCTGAAGATAGAGAATAATAATGCATTTTATACATTTGTTTTCAGCGAGCATTTTCAAGGTTGGTTGAAGTGACTGTTTTAAGATAAGATTTACTTAGGCTCACCAGTCAAAGTCTGCACAGGAGCTGAGTTAAGGTTTCAACTCTAATCTTAACTAGAAAAGCAAAAGAAGGAAGCTCTGCAGGAGAGGAGAAAGCGATTCAAAATTGGTTTCTTTTCTCTGCTCGGATAGGAATTGTACAGCCAGCTCGTCATTTTTTCTACTTTCTAAGCGTCATACAGGTTTTTTTCATGAGGGTATTATTTCAATGAAGCCAATTTAACTCTTCTGTTAGGGCTGAATCAGACGAAGGGTTCGATTGAGGGTTGAAACCACGCGGTGTGTGCAGCTTGCACATATATTCATCAGTAGAGTTTGCAGAATTTTCAATGTCAGGTTCTGATGAGAGGGCGAATGATGGAATATCAAATAAAATCAACGGTTCTTCATACAATAGGGGTAGTATTGGCGCGACTCTATCTTCACTCTGTTCAACTCCACCCCCTCCCCCCTATCAAAAATGTCGCCGATTTCCCGCTAGATTGCGCACATTGGGGCCATTCTCGCAGAAAGAACGACAAAACGCGTCCAAAATCCACTGCGTAACTACCTTCTTTTTGGGCGCTCTGGCTATAATACGGCGGTATGAGCGTATGTACCACCATAACAACGCCACCCTGCCTCTGTCCCCATGCAACATTCCGATCATACTGATTTTTCACCTCCACCCCATGCATGCTCCAACGCCCATCCAGTGCAGCAGATATGCCACGGACGTCCTCGGTGAGGATCTAACTGTCGATCATACCCGTATACGATCGGCTCTGCTGCAATGTGGCTGTGGAAGAGCCCAAGCGCACTGGGACTGCAGCCATCCAAGGGAAGCAAGCCGGTGGTGTGCCACAAACCAGCTTCTTACATAAGCCAGCTTCTGCCTGAGTTAACTAACTAGTTAGTTAACTAACCTAGTTAAGTAGTTTTTTCACTAACTGAATAGTGACCGAGAGTCCCTCCAAATAAACACTCGGTTAACTGGTTTCCAGCTCAGCCGTGACCCTAACGGCCCCAAGAAGTTAGTCAACCCGCTAACCAACCGAACCAACACCCAACCAGGCAGAGCTTGGCTGGTCAGTGAACTCCAGGGTGAAACCTGTGCTTCTCCTCTGCTACTCTCCTATTTTTTTTTATTTTTTTATTTTTGAATATTTTTATTTATTTATTATTTTTTTATTTTATTTATTTATCTTTTCCTTTCAGTTCGCGGATATATCGACAGGGCCCAGATTCCCCGTATTTCTTATGGACGCTGCGGTTCCTAGTCTCCACCACTCAGTCATTGATTGGTTGGGCCCTTGTTGTTGCACTGGCACCAACCAACTTAGTCCAAAAGGGGGCCCCGTTAAATTCTGCTGCCTTGAAGCCCGCATGCCACTACTCCCACCTCCCCGCTCCCAACCAAGGTGACCCAACTATCCACTCCTCTTTCTCTGGTTTGTTCCTAGTATCCACAGGGGCAGGAAAAAACAAGAAAACCTGAAAGGAGGACGAACGAAGAGAGAACCGAAAAAAAAAAAAAAAAAGAAAAAAAAAGAAAAGAAAAAGAAAGATAAAGAATTAAAAAGGAAAGACTATTGCTTCCTGTTGGGTTATTTTGCCTCCCGTCGTGCACATCTAACCGCGCCGTGCAAGCCACCACCCCCGCCGAACGACCCCCCTTGATCCTTGGCCGAAAACTTTTTTTTTCTTCACCCCTCCCGTCAATTCTTGCCGTGACTGGCCCGGTTTTGACAGCGGAGAACTTGGGTGCCAGATATTGCACGCTCTATCGACATCTATATATCCGTATGTAAAACTACCTGCCATCCCTCCGTCAGCCCTCCTTCTCGTCCCTTGATCTCCTCGCTCGTTTTCTGCATGCCCCCCGTGATAGATAGTGGCAAACGTGCTCTGCTGTGGCCGTGCGTCTTGTGCGGTTGTTAAGAACAAGTTCCCCAAACAGATTTCGCGAGTGAAAACATACATATATATATATATATATATAATAGGTTAGTAGAAGCCGGTGGGTCGTTTGGGTGAACTTCGTTCTCAAGCCTATATCTATGGTCACAACCAAACTGCTTACCCCCCTCCACGATTCGTCCGTAACAACCAACACCCTGCCTATTACGCTGGAAAGATGGATAGCCATGACTCACCGGATTCTACCGACGATGATCTCTCGGGACCCGTCCCCAATCTCCTGTCAACTTCTTCCCTTCCTTCGCTCGAGTCTCAGCTCCCAGCCCTGCATTCCGTCGGCGACAACCCCTCCCCAGCGATGCCCCGGTCGTCCACTCCGCTTGGCCACGTTAATGCAGCCCGAAAACCTCCCGTTCGTCCTCCCGGCGCCATCCCACGCTCGAGCGGTTTGAACCAGGACATCCAGGCGAAAATGAAGGCCTTTTCGCTCTCTAGACAAGGGGCTCCACCCGGGGCGAACCCGTACTTGAACAGCAATATGCCTGGAGGAAGTCCCATCGTTGGTTCTGCAATCCAGGGTATTACTCTGGTTGGTGGTCCGATACCGGGAGGCATGGCGAGACTGCCATCCCATTCCTCCCCTGTGTGGCCGGCGCATTCTCCCGGATCAAACCCCAATAGCCCGGTAATACAACAAAAAATGGGCGGTTTAGCTGCAAAGAGGGGGCTTAATCGTGGCATGAAGCTGTCTGACGCTACCGGACCTCATCCTGGGGCAGCCAACCTGGGGCAATTTGGAAGTTTTCCGGGTGCATCAGCTGTTTCACAAGACGCTAGAGGCCCTCCTGAGACCCTGTTCTCCAAATACTCAGACTTCGTTGACACGAAGGCAGGGACTTTAAATTTCCGCAACAAGGCTATTATCCACAGTGGCGGCATAGACTTTACCTCGGGGAGCAGCTTCAGCATCTCGTTAGATGAAGTTGACACCCTTGAGGAATTGGGCAAGGGCAACTACGGTACCGTCTACAAGGTTCGACACTGTCGTCCGCATATGCGAAGACCTGGCGTGGGATTACGTGGCACACTTACAAGACAGCAGTCGTCGTCTCAAACAACGACACCGCTCTTTAATGACGCAAAATGCAACACATCCAACGTCATCATGGCCATGAAGGAAATCCGCCTCGAACTAGACGAAGCAAAATTCACCGCCATTATTATGGAGTTGGACATCCTGCACCGTTGTGTATCACCGTTCATCATCGATTTCTACGGTGCATTTTTCCAGGAGGGCGCTGTGTACATTTGTGTGGAATACATGGACGGTGGGTCCGTTGAAAAAGTTTATGGCGACGGAATCCCCGAGAATATCCTCCGAAAAATCACTCTGTCCACGATCATGGGTTTGAAATCTTTGAAGGATGAACACAACATCATCCACCGCGACGTTAAACCGACTAATATCCTAATCAACACGCGTGGGCAGATCAAGATTTGTGATTTTGGCGTCAGTGGGAATCTGGTGGCTAGTATCGCGAAAACCAACATCGGCTGCCAGAGTTACATGGCTCCGGAGCGGATTTCTGGTGGTGGCGCCACTCCCGGTGGCGGAACATATAGTGTTCAGAGCGACATATGGAGCTTGGGTCTGACAGTGGTCGAATGCGCCATGGGCCGGTATCCCTACCCTCCCGAGACGTTCAACAATATTTTCAGCCAATTGAACGTAAGTATATTATTGCAAATTGAAATTCTCACAGCAGTGGCCCCAGTTATAAAATATATATATATATATTCACTTGAAAATACAAATGACTAACAATACATTCTTTTTTCTCCTTTTTGCAGGCCATCGTCCACGGCGACCCACCCAAACTGCCCGAAGAAGGCTACTCGGCCGAAGCCAAGGATTTCGTCCAAGGCTGTCTGAACAAAATCGCCGCGCTGAGACCCAGTTACGACCACCTCCTCCGCCACCCCTGGCTATCATCCCTGAGACAACCACCTAATTACCACCACCCACCCCGCCGCCACCGGACGACCGACGGAGACAGCGCCGATGGTGTCGGCATGGACATGGACATTGACATGGACATGGACATCGGCATCACCGCCAACGTCGACCCTTCCAAATGCACCTCGACACCCTTCGAAACGGCCGATGGGGAAGTTGCTGCGTGGGTCATTGATGCGCTGGATAGGCGTGCGCGGGGGGTCATGGGCAAGCTGGAGCGGCCGGCGCTGCATGCTGTGGCGCTCGATGCGGTTCCGGGGAGTCCGTTGCTGGAGCATTCGTCGGCGCCGTCGCGTAATTAATTACTCTAGGTGGATGGGATGGAGGGGATGTCTGATGGTTGAATTCATATGGATTGTGCGGGGTTAAAGGAATGGGCTAGTGGCTGGGGATTATGAGTACGAGTGAAGAATGGGATGGAATTGGGGTAGATGCTCGATTCGAAGGGGTTTATTCGCAGCGCAAGGGTGCAAGGAGAACGACACAATGGCGTAAGTGGGAGGGGGGTTGGGTTTTGTGGTGAGCAGCTCAGTAGATGGTGAAAACATTCCAAGCGAGAGAGAGAAAGGGGGAAGCATGAAACTGCGCTGGCGCGGGATGAATGAATGGACGAATTGTTTTCCTTTTTTTTTTCTTTTTTTTTTTTTTTCTTTTTCTTTTTCTTTTTCTTTTATATTAATTTTTCATTTTTCATTTTGTTCTTTTCAATCTTTCCTGAGGGATTTGGGATACTCCATGGAGCTAGCGATCGTGCATTTATCTACCGGCAACATCTTGGTGGCATTTTCTCATTCTCTTCCCCCTTTTTCTTTTTTCTTTTTTCTTTTTCTTTTTCTTTTCTTTTCTTTTTTTCTTATTTTTTTTTCTCGCCGCGTACTTTGTTGATGTCAGCCGGCGGACCGTTTTGGTCGCCCATGTTTAACACTTAGTATACGTATCTTTATAGGACTCATCCCAGGTAAAAGCCCTATAAATACTCGCTATCAATGTTAAGTTTCGGAGTCTTTTAAAAACATCTACTTGAGGTGAGTGTCTTCCATACTTAGTATGTCTCATTTGTCCCCAAATGATAATAATCTCTGCTCTCAAATTATTTCACACTTGTTTCTATTTTTATCGTTTCTGCTCCGCACAGGTAGTTTTTATACACCCAGACTTTCCGCCCTCTCGGAGCGCTGACAAAAAAGTTAATTGTTGACCTTGGCTTAGTCACCATTAATTAACTGACTACCTAACTACCCGCATTTTTCCCAGCTACTTTTTCGACTTCGTTGTGAAATTCTGATCCTTTCTCTCTCGAGATAATAAACTAATTTCGCCAATTGAGTATTTAAGAAAGCAAAAAAGTGACCAGGAATAGGAATTGAGCGGAGTCCAGAGTTGGTTGGCAACTGTCCTCTATTCTAGTGCTCCTGTACTCCATCCGCTGTATTTCCGCTGTATTGAAAATCTCACACCCACACAACCTAATCCTGCCCCACCATCTATCTAGACCTAATAGATGCTATTCCTATATCAAGGGAATGCCCCCTCTCCGCCCTTTTTCCAGACTCTATTCTTCTTCGTCTTGTCGTTGTTATTCTCTTCATCTCTCCAACGTTAGACCCATAAAGTTCCATACAACAGCAACAATCCCCTGCGCATTCTTACCCCTGGCTATCTCCGCCTGCAATCCTCCCAATCGCCGCCACCACCACCACCACCACCACCACCACCACCACCACCACCACCACCACCTCTCACAGTCGAAGCTGGCTACCACTGCCTCCAGTAGAAGTTCTATTCCGATCAATCTACGTCTTCATTCCCTCTCCGCACAGTTTTCCCTCTCGTCTCCCTCTTCCCGCTCTGCCGCATCCACCGATTTAGATTTATCCGTAACCATGGCTCCCATCGACGAAGTAAAGAAATATGACTACATCGTCATTGGCGGTGGCAGCGGAGGAAGCGGTGCTGCCAGGAGGGCATCGGGTTGGTACAAGGCCAAAACGCTCATTATCGAGAATGGACGGTCTGGTGGTTGCTGCGTTAATGTCGGGTGCGTATTTCCACATTATTATCTCGAGAACCAAAAAAGCAAAAACCAAAATCTGATATAACCCGTTCAACTCCACCATCCAGCTGCGTCCCCAAAAAGATGACCTGGAATTTCTCCTCCATCGCCGAAACACTCCGCGATGGCGTCCACTATGGCTACGACATCCCCCACAACCTGACCTTCGATTTCTCTGTCTTCAAACGCAAGCGTGACGCCGTCATCGAGCGCCTCAATGGCATCTACGAGCGCAACTGGAACCGCGAGGGCATCGACCTCATCCACGGCACCGCCCGCTTCACTGGCCAGAAGGAGGTTGAGGTCCAGTTGCAGGACGGCAGTGGGAGAAAAGTCCGCTACACGGCTCCGCACATCGTGATTGCGACGGGCAGTTACGCTCTTTTCCCCGATGATGTCCCCGGTGCACACCATGGCATTACCAGTGACGGGTTCTTTGATCTCGAGGTCCTTCCGCCCAAGATCGCTGTGGTTGGCGCGGGCTATATCGCTGTCGAGCTGGCTGGTGTACTCCAGTCCATTGGCGTTGAGACGCACATGTTTATCCGTGGAGATACACTGCTGCGCAGATTCGACCCAATGATTCAGGCCACCATAACCAAGCGGTATGAGGATATGGGCGTTACAATCCACAGGGGGTTCAATGGCTTTAAACAGGTGGAATTGATTAGTGATGGCAAGGGGTCGGATAGGAAATTGAAAATGACCCATGTTAATGGTGAGGTGTTCGAGGCTAATGAATTGCTGTGGGCTATTGGGAGAGCCCCTGCTGTGAAAGACTTGGGCCTCGAGGGAATTGGCGTCCAGCTTAAGAAATCTGGTCATATTGTTGTTGATGAGTTTCAGAACACCTCTGTCGGAGGTATTTATGCCCTAGGTGACGTGACGGGGCAAGCGGAGTTGACTCCTGGTACGTCAGGCCATACATATATTTACCAGCCATCATCGGTTCCCCCTTCCACCGTAAATTGTTACTTTCGAATGATGACACTAATATCCCGATGCAGTCGCCATTGCCGCCGGTCGGCATCTCGGAAACCGCCTCTTCGGGCCCCCAGAGCTCAAATCATCTAAGCTCTCCTACGGCAGCATCCCCACCGTTGTCTTCTCGCATCCCGAAGTTGGTGCAACGGGCCTCACAGAGCCTCAGGCCATCGAAAAGTACGGCAAGGAGAATATCAAGGTCTACCATACGAAATTCACCGCGATGTTCTACGATGTCATGCCCGCGGAGGAGAAGCAGAAGAACCCGACGGAGATGAAAATTGTCTGCGCAGGGCCCGATGAAAAGGTTGTTGGATTGCATATTTTGGGTCTCGGCGTGGGTGAGATGTTGCAGGGATTTGGGGTTGCGATCAAGATGGGGGCGACGAAGAAGGATTTCGACTCTTGCGTTGCTATTCATCCGACTAGCGCAGAGGAGCTGGTGAGTTTTACTTGACTCCATTTTTATTTTTATTTTTATTTTTAGTTTTTTATTATTTATTTTATTTATTTATTTTTTTTTTTTCCAGCTGTTGTTACTGACATCATTTTTTTCCGTTCAGGTTACGATGAGATAGATAGGAGGTCTCTATATGTTAAAATTTCTGTAGCTCTTGATATACTAGTGCGTTTATGTTTTAATATAAGTTGGTTCATTGAATAGAACCTACAATAAAACCTGCTGTATCATGCATGTCTTGGGTATCTCAATGCTTAACCCCCAAAATATTCCGTATGAACCAAAAGATCCCTCACTTCGCGCAACCAGCCTCTCAACCTCTCCCATCATCTCAGCTCAAGAAAAGGAAAATATAAATAAAATCACAACTTCACCGCCTTCGCCCTGGGCTTCACATCCACCGGCGTCCACCATGGGTAACACTCCGGCAAATCATCTTTCTTCGCAAAACTACCCTTAAAACTCGGCGCCCTTTTCTCCAAAAAGCTCTTCACCCCCTCCTCGTTATCCACCCCCCCAAACAACCCATAGATAACCTTAGAATCCAACAAATGCGCCTCCTCCGCACTCCCGGGCCCACGATACATCAACTCCCGCATCAACGAGATCGCCATCGTCGACGTATTCTTCGCAATCTCATCTGCCAGCTCTAGCGCACGCGCCACCGTGGCTTCACCTGTTGGCAACACTTCGGAGAACAAAGAGCCGAATAGGGGGTGTTCTGCTGGGTACGTGGCGCCTGTGGCGGTGAGGTGGAGCGCGCGGCTGTGTCCGATTAATCGCGGGAGGAAGAAGGAAGAGGCTGCTTCCATTACTAGGCCGCGGCGTGAGAAGACAAAGCCGACTTTTGAGCCGCGGGTTGCGAGGCGAATGGCTGCGGGTAGGGCCATGGTTATGCCGATGCCGACGGCGGGGCCGTTTAGGGCCATGATGGTTGGTTTGCGGCAGTTGTGGATGGCGAGGGTTACCCGGCCGCCGCTGGATGGGGAGGTTAGGTAGATTAGATTATTATTTTATTTTATTTTATTTTATTTTATTTATTTATTAATATATATATATATATATATATATATTTTCAGTTTTTTGGGGATGTAACGGGCGGGGCGGGGGAAGAATGTATGCTGACACAGAGGAGAAAATGCCAAAAGTCACATACCCATCCCTATGCTCTCCATCATCGCCCTCATTCCTCCTCTGCCCACCACCCGCCGTGCTCTTAGGGAATCCAATTTCCAAATCTGCACCAGCGCAAAACGCCCGCCCGGCTCCGGTCACGACGATAACCTTGACACGGTTATCGACATCTACTGTGTTGAAGAAGGATACCAATTCCTCCGCCATGGTGCCGGTGAAGGCATTGAGCTTATTGGGCCGGTTGAGGGTTAGGAGGAGGATTGGTGTGGGCTTCGCGGAGTTGGCGGGCACATGGTCGACCTTGATGTGCTGGGTTGGGAGGGCGGAGTAGGACGATGGTACTTGGATGGACATGGTGATGGAAAGGGGGGGTTGGAATAATAACCCTTTGGCTTTTGAGGAGTTAAAGAACTAGAGCAGCCTGTTAGCTTTTGGGATTTGTAAGTTTCTTTTATCTATTTTGCTTGCTTCTTCCTGGAGTTTGGTTGTTGTTGCATCAATTCTACCAGCACTGGAGAGACGATGTAGCTGCAGTGACATGTGTTGCGCTGCGATGATACGTGCTGAACAGACCAAACAAAGAAAAGAAAAGTTGCATGGTTGCATACCTTTGCGTATATGTCTGTACTGCATAGAGTATTATTCTGTGCAATAAGATCTGGTAACGATGATTGATCTATTTATTTACATACACTTGTGTACATATGTCGGTTGTCTCCGTAGCTGAAAAATGCAGGTTTGGCCTTACTAAGCGGGGCATAGCCGAGTGCCGCGTTCTGTGATTGGCTGCCGTGGGTGTCAGATGCGCCGAGGTACCGGGTAACAACTAGGGCACAGCCGGCAATGCCGAGAGTCTATATGGATGATGACAATACAAGATACTGACAGGTGAGGGTTAAAACATTCTATATGTAACATGATTAACTGCTGCCCGCTCTTGCGTACATTGGCAACGGAATATGATTATAGCCTCATTACGAAGTATGCCGCTCCAAGAAGAGCAAGATCTGCACCTATGCATTGAAGACGGCATTTAAAGTCCGGATGCCCCTATCTTTGTCTCCGACACCACCCCACTACAGCTGATCAACCTTCAAAAGACACAATCAAATAACCATCATAGGAAAGAAGGAATCATGCGCTATCTGTGATGTCCTCATCCGTTTGAGCTATTGCACCAGAACCCCTAGTCGTGACTCGTCGAACAGCATTCTGTTGGTAGAAAAAAAAAAAAAAATCAAAGGGCTAGACTGTACATGAGTGAGGATGGTGTTTGAGTTACAAAGGAGTCCATCGTGTTTCACCCTTGACAGATCAAGTGTTCCTCGTGCGAGAAGGTAGTGCCACAGTCCAGTCGAGTATGTTTGCTGACGAATTATGGTGAGTTCCTTATAGGATGTGCATTGGATTTGAATCCAGTCCTTTCTTGAAATGATCATATCACCAGTGAAATTTTCAGGAGCTCAGAACAGAGTCTCTGTATACTTCTAGGTTGTTGAATTCTAAAATGCTTCGTTTCGACGGATTCAGCAACGGTTGGAACCACCGACGGGGCTCTATATTGACATATACATTAGCGGATGGAATAAACATGACAGCTAGTCAGACATTCACTTTCTTGAATCATGAAGTCACTGTATCAGGGGATTGGAGTGAGGAGCTCAAAGTCAACTCCATGAGCGTCAAATATTGTTCTTATGTTTTTAACAGCACATATAAGCACAGGGAGTGGGAAATAGGCCTTTCCGTCGGCTCAGCCGTACTCAAACCACTCGCCGGCATGTCAGTACTTGAGTGGGTGACTATCAGCGAATCCGGGTTTTCGTATGTTTTTTGGACGTTGGTTCATGCTTTTTTCTTTCTTTTCCTTTTTCTGTATATCTCCGGCAGTGATTATATGCATCCTCCATGCTAAATTAGAAAAAGGAAAGTTCAAAATCTAAGAGTCCGGTCCGAGTGTGCGTTTCTCATCTACTGTTTAGTTAGAAACTTCTCGCAAAACAAGAAAACGCAAACTTACTAGATTGGAAATGCCTGCCAGGAACAGAGTTGTGCCAAAGAAAGTTTATCACCCACATCTTGATGGGGAGTAAGCATGGTAGCAGCCTTTCCAATGTTATACGGGGGAAAAAAGAGGAGAGTGTAGGAGGCGGGAAATGGGGTACGATTATGTCGAAAACCAGCGTGATGCTACAAGAAAGGATAATACAACCGATCACAGCCGCATACACCCTTGCAAGTCCAACTAAGAAGATTCGTAGTCCATATCCCAGTCCTTTTGCAGCTGCTTTAACTGAGAGACCAAAGAATTCACAACTATCACAACCAGTTGCTGCTGTTGATCCGCCCAGCTTATTTTCGACTGAATAGTAGTTTTTAAACTGCCGCCGATATTTACTGACGGTCTGCCACCCAATTTAGGGCTGAATGAGACAAATAGTGATTTCCCAAAGGTGCATTTGATATTTCGAATAAGAGTAGCAAACAAATCACCCCCTTCGCCTCCGGGATGGTGGGACCAACAACCAGAAGTTTCCTGGTCCCCGTTAAATTTCGAAATGATTTCTGCTATAGATTGCAGGCGAGATTGAAACGAGTTAAGGGTTTCGAGCATGTAATTTGCCTGGGTAAGCAGTTTGCTGACCGCAAGCTCAAATGCCGTTTCGGCTTGCCTATACTGAGCGTCTGAAATGCCAGATTTCACAACTGGTCGATTTAAACGCATATTCAATGCCTCCATAATGAGGTCGACAAGACTATTGGATTCATCGACGGTAGTAGTAATCAGTGACCTCTTTATCCTTGAAAGCTCTCGATCGATTTCATCTAAGGCAGATCCAGAGTGCCAATATAGAGAGCGGCTTGTTTCTTTGGCTTGGAGAACGGCAATCAAGGCATTATCGCATTCGAATTCTACCTCATGCTTCGATCCCATGTCGCCCGTCCATAAGCTACAGAGCTCAACAACTGCTAACTCGCATCCCTTGAGAAGGCCGGGAATTTGGGAAGCAGATACGCCTGAGTTGCTAAGTATTTGCCAAAGTCGAGCACGGGCGTCCATTAAGAGTTCCAGTTGGCGTGGAGTTCCTTCGGGAGTAAATGGCGCTGACTCTGAAGATGTTGCGGACTTTGTACCCTCTGTTACCCATGATAAGAATGTTACCCTAGCCAAATATACTGCAAAGGGTAGCAAGATGCCTATTAGCAGGTATTTGGTAGAAACCTTGGGCCGTCCTGAGTCGTCTGTGACGTGCGACGATCTTGAGAAAGCGTGATTGCGCTGCTTCTCCTGCTTTCCATGATCCCGAGGAGTGTCTATGGGAAACGGATTGATAGAACCCGCAGCCCCTGTATCCCGAGAGGTTGGGGGGTTGGATGTCAAAGGGGAAGGGTGGGAAACCACCCAAGAGCCATCAGGAGAATAGTCTTGGTGTATAGATGGCATAACGAGCTCCGGACCGGATAGTGATATCATGGATGCGTCCTGGAGGAATCCAGACTGAGGCATCAGGCTGCTGTCAATGGATAGAGAATTACCAGGCACCGTTGATGGGTTTGACGAAGGTAGATCTAGCCCAGAATAAAATTCATCGTCGCTATCGATACATGTCGACTGGTCCGCGTCTTCTGGAGACCAACTAGCCCATGATTCTCCGAGCAGTCGGGATGCCCTTGGTTGGCTTGAGGATGCCATCTTGTCAACTTGATGTTGGAGCGGAGAGAGAAACCGGCCAGCAAGACGTTCCAGGAGTTGTAAATTTATTTTTCAAGTGAATTCTGTAACAAGCAGCCCCACAAAATGCTGAGGAAGAGAGAACGTTGTTTGTTATTTATTCCCTTCAAGAAGCTGGTGTTTAAGACGAGTGTTGCCTGGAGGCAATAGGCGAGGTGTAAGGAAAGGGACTCTTTCATAGGTTGTTTTTTGAATCAACCACATATGGTTTAGATTAAAAATGGGGTCATGAGCAAGCATCTATTGTGTTGTTCATTTATGCAGGTAGAATTGCGTGCGCGCTGTTCGACTTCAGCAATGAGTTGATGATGAAGTTTAGGAGTTGGTGTTTGGGGGGGAAACAACGCGATGTCGCGATTTTAGCGTTTTAATAAAGAAAATAAAATCAGAAAATTAAAAAATAATTAATTAGAAAAATTAAAATAAGAAACTAATCCTAACCACCAAACTAATTGTTCATCGACAGCCAACAACCTTAACCCCCAACACACATGCGGCCGCCCAGCATCCTCACAGGGCGATGGCGCTGTCTTCCCATCTGGTCCGCGGCTAATACATCTCCTCAATCGAGACACAAACTCCATCATCCCGCAAACTTCGCTGTGAGAAGCTGCTCATGTACGGCGTCGCAGGCCACATTCTCCACCACCAATGATTATACACCTCACCATGATGCTTCCTCTCCACAGACCCCAACCCTTCGTCCCGCAGATCACAGAGTGGTCGGAACGGCGCAAGATCTCTTCACTACATCCGTTTACAGTCCTGGATCGCCTCTATTCCTCCCAAACGGCACACATATCCTCAACAAACTCACATCCTTCCTGCGAGCACAGTATGCACAGTACGGATTCCGCGAGGTCCTAACTCCAAGTATCTACAAAAAGTCGTTATGGGAGGTTTCGGGCCACTGGCAAAACTACAAGGATGACATGTACGAGGTCCGCGGGAGAGGAGCCTCCGGTGAGACGGCGGAGGGTGAGATTGGCGAGGACGAGTCGTATGGTCTTAAGCCCATGAATTGTCCCGGCCACTGCTTGCTCTTCAAGTCACAGAATCACTCTTATCGCGAGCTGCCGCTCCGGTATGCTGATTTTAGCCCTCTCCACCGCAACGAGATATCCGGATCGCTTAGTGGCCTTACCCGTGTCCGCCGGTTCCATCAAGATGACGGCCATATTTTCTGCCGCCCGCAGCAGATTGGCAGTGAGATCGAATCAGCTTTAAGATTTACTGATACTGTTATGAATACCTTTGGATTTAATAAATACAGACTCGTCCTTTCTACGCGGCCGGAAAGGGATTTCATTGGCAGCATTGAGCTCTGGGATAGTGCGGAGCGGCAGTTGCGGGATGCGCTGGAGAAAAATGGCCGATCATGGGAGTTGAATGAGGGGGATGGTGCTTTTTATGGACCCAAGATCGATATGCAGGTTCAAGATTCAGATGGCAAGTTCCACCAACTTTCCACCATCCAGCTGGATATGAACTTGCCACAGAGGTTTGAACTGGGGTATGCCGTTGCAGAGGGCGAGGAGGACTACAACCCCGCTACTCCGGGAAAGGCAATGCCTGTCCTGATCCACCGGGCGATTTTTGGCTCGCTTGAGAGATTCTTTGC